CAAAAATGCTGATGTACAACTTCCCCGAGCAATACAGCGATGCCCTGAGACTTCTCTGTGAAGGTATGCTTGGCTTCCCTCTGTAATCCTTAACAGCTGGCAAAATATATTCAAGTGCAGAAACTCTTTACGTACGGTCCTATTTCTCTTCCGTGTCAGGTTCAAGTAAGCGGACGCTCTGTCTTGAAGTATGGAACACGTTTATGTCTTGCATTGGTTGTGTTCCTTCGACTGAGAATGAAGTGCAAGGTTCATCCAAAGAGTTGTTAGGCGATGAGCAGGTATCAGTAGTACAGGCATGGTAAACCAGTTAGGCCTCGTTTCTCAGGGGATCTCTTTATTAAGGAGGGAATACATTAGCACCGATGACGTCATAGACTCAGAGTCACTAAGCCCTAACGTAATTATGCAAGTTCTATTTCCTGTGATTTCGCCTCAAAAAGGAGGCTTAACTGGTGTACCCTGCTGCTTAAAAGGTGTGGATTGTGTCAAGTTTAGTTCTGTCGCTCCTAAAGTGCTTAAAAAACGCAGTGCGAATCCAAGTTTTTATATATAATAATCAATATTTATATTGATGCAAAGTGTTCTCAAACGTGGAATTCTTTGGTCAACTTCAACAGGTGTTGGAAACCCTGGACTGGCTGACAAAGTACTTTAGCGGTCAGCGGGCTGAACTGGGAGGACATGTGACCGGTGGCCTCTACACCATGTGGAGGCCGTACATAAAACAGCTTTCTTTTGTGCTCGGTTTCATGTGCCAACAAATTGTAGTTAGAAGAGCTGCTGTGGTCTATGCAAACAGGGGCCAAGGATTAGACGCAGGTGGGGCTCCTATTTGTAGTTATCCGCTGTCTCAGTAGTGGGGCCTCCAAAGATATTTTACGTGCATCTTGTTTAGCTAATCTTTGGAGTGGCTGTTCACAACAGACATGGCGCTGATTTTTATGCGACAACGTTCTGTATCTGCATTGTGGTTTTCTAACCATTTCTTTGGTGTGTTTATTATAGTGTTGACTGAGCTTTGGACGTTGATCTGTCGCGTGTTTGAACCGTGGATTTGTTCACAAGACTCTCCTATTCCAGGGTAAGATTCAGTTCACTTACACTTGTTACAGTAGTTTCTGGATTGCTTCATTAAGTAATCACCGTGAACATTAAAGCCTTCAGTTATATTCTTCATGTTCTTTTTTGCATGTTGCAGTTAATCAAGCGCATGTATGATAACTTTATGTGGTGCCCTCGGCCCTAGACTACGAGTGGTCTTCATTTTCCTCGTCGATAGTAGAGAGAATGAAACACCCGAGCGCGCGTTCTAATCTCCATCCGCGCGGAAGGTGCCGCGTTTACGTACCGTAAAATTCCGAAAATAAGCCCCTCCATGTAATATAAGCCCCACCAAACTCGTAACGCAAAAAACCCTTCGTTAAATCGCCCCTCCAAATTCAAGCCCCTCCAAAAATAAGACTCTCATAAAGAGGCTTTGTGAAATATAAGCCCCGGGCTTATTTTCGGAATTTTAGGGTATTTCGCTCATTCTTATCCCTGAAGAAAATAATGGACTACTAATAACTTATTGACTACCTTCGGCCCCAACGTTTTGAAGCAACTTGCCGAACCTGTCTTTCCTGTTTTGCAGAAATGGTCCGGTAGCTCCTTGGAATGAAAGTGAAGTACCTCAGGCTTCAGACATGGTTACCCTGTTCACTGATACATTGGGCTGCCTGCAAACTCATTTAAATGGTACGAGTTTGTGGGTGGGGAGGAAAACAATGCTAGTAGCCAGCAGTCGTCAGAATATTGACATAAGAGTCGTGTATTTAACTCATTTTGGAATTTAGAAAATCTCTGTATTTTAATCCTTTAAACCCCCAATATCAATACACAAATTCTTCTAACTGGCCTCTGTAATTTTCGTAAAGTGTATGTTGGAAGAAGTTGTTGAAAGAGAAAAACAGTTAAGGTGTGTTAGCTGTTTTACGACTTTTTCTGGTTATGTCCTGATATAGTGTGGAGACATTTGATATGATTGGTCACTTCTGGGGTTTAATGGGTTAACTGAGAAATCTTTGGAGTCGCCTTACAATTTTAATCGAACATGTTAGCGTTAATAATGACACAGATGGTTTGAAATGTAAGATCTTTCTCCACGCCAGTGAAAGGTGAAATGGAGAACAGGTGTTCGAAACCGAACTTTTCTTAAATTAGCTTTAAATTCGCTAAAACAGATGTCTACCTTGATAAAAATGAGGTCTGCTTCAGTGAACGCGAGTTAAGGAAAATCTATAAATAGTACTTTAAGCAGATAGCTCTGAATAACATCTCTAATTTTTTTAATTTTGCTTTTAATTTTGTATTGTACTCAGCCCCTTACAGCAGTACGTCGATGATGAACATGTTTTGGAGTTTCTTTGTAACGTCCCTATCCAAACCGGGAATTCCTGATTATGTTCTACGAGTGTACAACTCCAAGTTTTTTCTTCTTCCCTGGCAAAGCTTTCTCCCCACGCTGCACAACTTACAGCTCATGCAACAGGTTCGTTTTAAGGTCGCGTTTGTCACGCATTTCCTCAGTCTCCCGTTCTTTTATCAGACATTTTCTTTGTCGCTGTGGTCAACTTTTCTTTCTTTTTCCGTTAGTTGTATGGCGTGTGCAAGAAAAGTTTTGCCTTTCTTGGTATCGTGTTTCCTCTTATGGACTGGAGTAAGATCATATCTGCCTACTGGTAAGAGATAGATAATGTAGTATCAATGTTACTTACTGGTATCGCTGGAGCTTCTGGTGGTTGCGCTCGCGCAAACGACCTTTATATCTACTCTAGCTGCCTGATCGCAGTGTAGATTCAATCTAACTGATAAATATTGTCGTTATTTGTAATTCTCGTATTTTTCCCGTCTGGGTGTCTTCGGCTTAGCTCAATATCATGGTGAGCTGATGCGAGGAAGGAAAGAAAAAGCTTAAGGGCGGGTGAATGTGACGACCGCGCCCTAAGAAGTTTGGTATTTTTTCCAGCGTAGTACGATTTCGCCTTTATCATTTTACGTTCGCATTCTCTTGTGGGATGGGAGGGATATGTCGATGTCATTTTAGGGCAGATATTGTACAAAAGGTTAGTTAGTGGGAGGTAGTGAGTGGAAAGAAAGAGACATGGTGTAACTGAAAGACCGCAGAGGTAACGGATTTGATTGATTTTTTTTCATTTGGTTTATCAGCGAGGGCCAGACTTCAGAAGCTGTAGTGCGCCTTCACTCATCCCTGTTTCATCTGCTTGTAATCTTCGCCAACGAGAATGACATAGTGAACGACACAGTGACCGCAAAGGTGAGTATTTCAAAGCAGAGGCCTTCGTTGTTATTGTTTTAGTTTGATGCGTTTCGTCGCGTTGTTTTACCAAATTTTGTCGAACTTACTGTAAAATGAGACTTTGTTCTTGAAAAAGAGTTGAGCGTTGCTAGTAGCATAGCAATAGGAAAATGCAGGGACAATTTAAATCTTTATAGATAAANATTTTTTTTCATTTGGTTTATCAGCGAGGGCCAGACTTCAGAAGCTGTAGTGCGCCTTCACTCATCCCTGTTTCATCTGCTTGTAATCTTCGCCAACGAGAATGACATAGTGAACGACACAGTGACCGCAAAGGTGAGTATTTCAAAGCAGAGGCCTTCGTTGTTATTGTTTTAGTTTGATGCGTTTCGTCGCGTTGTTTTACCAAATTTTGTCGAACTTACTGTAAAATGAGACTTTGTTCTTGAAAAAGAGTTGAGCGTTGCTAGTAGCATAGCAATAGGAAAATGCAGGGACAATTTAAATCTTTATAGATAAAAGGAAAGTGAAGATTGTCCTGTTTTACCTTCCTGGTACACTAACTCACTGGATTATATAGGTCATGGCAAATATGGCAGTAATATCAAAACTTTCGACTGCCGTGGTTTAAAGCACGGTTTGTTCGAAGGCGTGTCAGCTGGGAGACAGTTCGTTCATCAAATGATTATAAGCGTGTCCAACTTGCTCATTCCATCCTTGAAAATTGTCTGAATTCTTTATAGCGCATTTTCTTCTAGACTATGAAAAGTAATTTGACACTAGAGTTATTTGGCCTTGAAATAGTTTTGGAAATGGCTTTAGTATTTTAAACTATTATGTTCATTTTCGTTTTTTCGTGTAGGGAATGCCGAATTTACTGGAGTCTGCACTGAAATTTCCTTGGCACTACTTGGATGGAAGGTTTGTACGCGACAAAGTTTCATACAGACTGCTCTAACAACCACACGCCGACTTTATTTTTATGATGTAATTAAACAATGATTAAACAAGGGAAAATTTTATATGAGAACCGAAACAATTCCCTTAGCATTATGATACCGCTTATCTGTGAATAGTCTTTTCTAAGAACGCTATTTGCGTGGTTTTCCAGCTTGTTTTGCCGGAGTTAAGCATGCAGGGAACGTTGACTATATTTTCAACGTTTCTAATATTTTACAGGTCTTTCGAAGAAGTCGTTTCGTGGCAAGTTTCTCACGGTAATGCAGAGTTAGTGCTTCAAGAAAACTCCTCCATTTGGTATGCCCTAAGGTAGGTATCACAGGTACAGTCGAAATAAATCTTATATGTGTTCTACTTGCTATCTACGCACTGTCGATAACACAGAGAAAGACAGTTGATTTAGTCGCAGATTAATAAGGGTAATGTCTTATAGTTTGGTCCAATCCATTCTTTCAATGACATCATCCTCTTACGTCACATCTGATCAAGTCGTTTTATTTCAGATTAATCAGAGCTGCTGCGGGGATCGTGGTCTCGGAAGATGGTTCAATGCAGCCTACACGGCCTGTAAGTTCCTACACATATTTGCAAATAATAATATTTCTCCTTAGGATTAACATGAAGAGGATGGGCGATCGGTGCAAAACAGAGCACGAAAATATGTGGTGCGGTGATTAACAATTTGCAAGGTATTACAAATGCAGGGCTAGGGGCACGGGGACGGGAAGAGTATGGAGCGATAGTCTTGTCTAGTCGTCCAGTCTTCGTGTCAACTTCGGAATTCCTTGGAAGCCTTGAGGGTATTTTCAAGATGATTCGGATGATCTTCGGAAAGCTTCATAGGAACAAGTGGCACATTGACTGGTAGTCCAAGTCTGCTTCTATTAATCTTAGCATTAACACGAACCTGTACAAATGTTTCTTGCAGGATACTGCAGTGAAACGAGCGTCATACGTCCGCTGTGTTGCGAACCTGTTAAGCCGGTGTTCCACAGACACGAAGCTCAAAGCAAAGTCTTTTGGTCCAGTAATTCTGTTTGTTCTCAAAGATACTGAGTCTGTTGCCGGGTCAGGTTAGTGACATAAAGTTTTTTTTTTGTCCTTGGCCTTAAAAAGGCATCAAATGATATCTCCTCAGGTCCTCAGATAGAATAGTTCGTTGCTATAAGAACCTGATGTTAAGAGCATGTCGGGGTAAAACTGGACAACTTCCGAGATAATCTCGTACGGTTAACTTGAACTCTTAATAGCTCACCATTCTACAACAACTGACTTTCTGTTACTATCTCATGCTTGTAAAGCACGTGTACTTAATCTGACCCTTTTTCGTGTATCTTGCCTAATTAATCTTCCTTTTTCTTATAAGAATTTTTTTTCTTTACATTTTATTTTACGAATCTTAAATATCAATGTTCCGCTCTTTCAGGTGTTGATCCAGCAAGCACCGCCTCGGAAGTCTGCCTGATGATGTGTGAGGAACTCAACCTTTTAAACATCTGCTCCCCTATGGGGGATGTACTGAAAGTCACTTTAGACTTCATATTACAGTTCATCCGGGAATCCACCTGTACAATGCTAGTTTTAGCTTCCATCCCAGCAGCCTGTAGGACCCTGGCTAGCATCCAGTTTATGGTTTCTGTTGTAGAGACTGGAATTGAGTCGTATTTTAGAAAGCACTCTTCCTCAAATTCTATTGATTCTGGAGCGAATGCGGACGGGGGCTGGGGCCACATAGTCCCAAGTGTAGCTGTCCCGGAACTAGCGCAAGATGAATTTGTCAACGGTTGGTGCTATTTCCGTCTTTTGATTTGTTTCTTTTGTTTCTTTTCGAGCCGAAAAGTAAATTGGGTGACACCAATAGGCGGAAGAACAAACGTGTTGTGCAAAATTAAAGAAAGATTACCGACGGTTATGTCCATCGGGGTCGATCTTGGTTGGTCAGCGCGTACAAACCAAAGGCCTTGTCGTTCTCAATCCTCACTTAAATGATCGTAAATGGACATTTTCGTAAACAGCCGCCAGAGTGGATTAGTTGATACGCCGAGAAATATCGATCTCTTGTGGAGAGCTTTGAGCACTTAAGTTTGTATGCGGTTACAAACAGAAACAGACTCGTGAGGACAGCTAAGTATCGGCCGTTCAAACTTTCACCTCTTAAAATGGCCTATCAATCTTCAAATATCTTATTGTAGAATCCTGAAACGTAAATACAGTCGGCTCCCGATAATTCGAACCTTTAAGGGAAACAGAAAAAAGTTCGATTTATCGGGAGTTCGAGTTATCGAGGGTCAAATTATATAGAAAACTATCTGAAGGGAAATGTAAATTGCTTCAAGTTAGCGGCATTGTACTGTAGTACCATGCAAGAGTTCCCCCTAAGAAGTTTCATTTGAATGTTAACACCTTAGGATTTCATCCACATGTGTAAAAGTGAGAGTGAGAAATGATTTCGCCTTAACTTGGTCTAGGGGTAAAAAGGGTTAAATCTCTTGTTTGCTTTAAACCCGTCACGTTGAATAACACTTTACTGGTTAACACAGAAAATTGTTTTATATATTTTTAGAATGTGTAGGACAGGGTGCGTTGCTTACTCTGTACACAAACATCCTGCTCAGATTATCCACTTGTCAGAGCCCCGTCCAAGAGATGTCTGTGTTAACTGATATAGTCACATGGTGTACGCACATTAAAGTCAGGTAGGTTCCGCAAGTGAAGCTTTCATCGCATGCTGCCGCCATCTTTGATTTTGAAAAAGGATGAAGCCTCGGGAGAGTAGGTTTTGAAGTCATCATGGCAGCCGATACACGGAGCCCAAACACCCCGTTGCCCCAAGAAAACTGATACCTGCGCCTTAGATTTCAAGAATGACATAGAAGCATGGTGACTAGAAAGGACACAATAATTATCGAACACGTTCAGTTTGTCGTTGAATTTTACTTGTGGCTCAGTTATAACTATTTTGTACAAATTATTTCGGGGTTTGAAAGTGGTGGCGGTGGTAGTAGACTCCATTGCATCACTTTTACTTAGGGATTGCCTCAGGTGTCAATATAGATAAATTCATTTCCCTATCAAGATGAATTTATTCTTGCATCACGTTTATCACCATTAATTTTTCAGACGCGAATTTGAAACCAAGCTTGCTTTACTGTGGCACAAGATTCTTCAGCTGTCCATCAGACAAGTTTATTTCGCTACTGGACCTTTGAATAATCTCACTAAACAACTGTCCTTCCTTGCATCAACTCTTCATACCTTAGGAGAGGATAAAGCTTCATCTGGTTTGCTAGGGGCCATTGGCTTTGGAAAGAAGTCTCAGCTCAGCGTTAAGTGAGTTGTTATATTTCATTTGTTTAATAAAAGGATTTTCTTACGAACACTCCAAGCCTTTTACTCTTTCATAAATTGCTAATAGTGGGTAGCATATCACTTGCCAGAAAAGAACTTGATCGCAACCAAGAAGAGAAATTTCGAACGCTACACTTTCACTTTTGACCTCAGTGTAGAAAACATCTGTCTCCGACGGATTCGAACGCATGATCTCCCGACAAGCACTCTGACGCTCAACTGTTTAGCCTCAGATAGACTCACTGCGGGCTCGGTCATAAATGGCATGCGTCATAAAATGCTACAGTCAGCATTGTGGAAACAGGCTGGCGCAATGATATGTAATGAAAGGTGGCTAAAAAGTATGGTTTTACCATTTCCTTTACGTATCGTTTCAGATTCCGATTCATGTGCAGGGCGTTAGAAGCATTTCTGTTGGCACAGATGCCGTCTAATTCATTGTTGAGATTAGATGCTAAAGCACCAGGATATGTACGAGAACCAAAAAAGGTACACAGTATTCCCCTTCACCCCCACAATTTCAGACTGAAATATGCGGACAAACTTTGAGCCTGTGGGTTGAAACCTTTTGTGCGGGCATGTACATGAAGCCTCGCTGTTATTTCGTTCCCGTGGCACTGCTTACTTTTCAAAATTTTGCCAGCGAGATTTATTGAAGTCATTTTGATTATGGAATTCCTGCAGTGTAAAGTGGTTTATAAATCATCGCCTTACTCAGGAGAAGAAATGCAAGTAAACTTTGTCAAGGTCCGTTAAGCCCCTGCCTAAGTGGCTCATGTTGTTCGTTAGATTAAATTGATGTATCATTGCATTTGCACTCTCTTTTCCACTGGGTCTCCTCGCTACTTGTGTAATGCGCTTTGTCTTATCTGTAATATGTTCGTATCACATTGTTTCACTATGGCTTCCAGTGTATCTCTGTGGCTCATGTTTCATCCTATCTAACCTGACTCCTTTCTATTTGGATCGCACGCAGAGGACGGAACGCGAGGGGTGATGGGAAGGAGGAAAATGAACCCTCGACCACGCATCTCTCGTTAATATTATGGACCTTAAGATCCGAGGACGGCGACCACATCGTAAACGTCTCTTAAAAGTGAATTTGCGTGCTCTCAATCTTCATCCCGATTATCCATGTCACTTACTCTGTGAAATGTTGGCGAACTTTTCTGGAGTTGAATTCCTAAGAACTATATTCAAGACAAAAAATAAAGAGAAAAATTTCGTAGTTGCTTGTTCACGTCCTCCATTAAACGTGAAACAAGGCATTTTCACATCGCAGTCGTGCAGTGACGGCAAAGAAATGTGCAGCATTGCGTATTTAACGTATTGCTTATTTGAAGTTGTCGTTGCCGTCGTCCGATCTTAAGATTTGTATAAATAGGACACTGACAGATGACTGCTGCGTAACAGAACGCGAACAAAATAAAAACAATTCCGGTTTGTCGATCGTGGTCCTCCTTCTTAGCAATGTAGGTGACGACTTCGGCTCGTTCGTGAATGATTGGACCTTCGAAATGCTCAATCATTTGTCATGCGAAGGCTCGCCGAGTATATCATAGAAGCTCATTCCTTCATAGCAAATCCTCTGCATTCCCTCATGGAGGGGCCAAAATTTGTTGTCAAGCTCGTGCAGCAGCTTTTTCCAGATGAAAGAGCTTTGGATGTAATCGGCTTCTACGACGCCCCAACAGCCAAACCTTAAAGAAAATTCTTCACGATGTGGCAGAATTGTTGTAAACTGAATGCGAAAGTCATCGCAATGGGCCAATCAGAACTAGGAATACAGTAACAACATCGCGGCTTCTCGGTACAGCGCGGGAAATGCTTAGCAACCACATCATGATTGTTTTGGGATTCACGCTTGATTGGCTGGTGGAAAGTTTGCAGGAAATCTTCAAGCCAATGGTGAAACGAGGAAATGCAAGTGGAAAAAATTCACTTTGGACACTCCATCAGCCAAACAATGCTCAGAGGTGGAACTAACCTCACTGAATTTTCAGTGAATTTGAATTTCACATCAGTTAAATTTCAATGAATTTGTAAAGCATGACTTTGCACTCTTTGGGGTCTGAATAACGGCGCTGTCTTCATTTAATAAAAAAAGGTCTATTGGGTTCAGTAAGAACTGCAGTATGCCGTTCGATGAAGTCGAATAATGCCACACATGACTTATATTTTAGAGATAGATTATATTAATGTTGGTCTCCCTCGGGACCAAATAGAAGTTGTTGTATAATAGTTTAGAAACTTTCAGTTAAATTTCCGGTACACAGTATGACGGTGCTCTTTCTCTCTTTTTTAATCGGGGAACTGCATTTCTTTTACGCCCGGAAGCGAGAGAGTACGAGTTGGATGAACTAACACTCTCTTTCCCAGACATGAGTAAAGCGTCTCTTATGGTTAACATAAATTTATATATTAGCTGCGATCGAGGGTCCGTTTGCATCAAGAAACGGAACTTAAGATTGAGTGGGGCTGCTAAACAACTATTCTCTTTTTCGAAATATTTTTTTGTGTTTTCTTTGCTTCCTATATCCCTCGACCCGCCCGCTTTGGCTGGGTTATCCCTCATATCATGCGAGAAAATTTTCCGGAAAAAAGAGAATGGTTTCAGATAATTCGCACTTAATCCAGGACTAATGGCCTGTTTACATGGACTTGGGGGACACCATGTCGGTGAGATAGCCCTTAAAGGTGGGTAATTCGCCTCTCCATCTCATATATTCACCCCACCTATCATGTAAACGTGATCAAATTAAAATGAAAGATAATATGGGCAGGCTGATTACTCCACCTATCTGGGGCCCCACCTCCATGTAAACAGACCCTAAATCTTAAGTTGCATTGTGCAATATGCCGTAAACGTAAACTCGCCTGCTGTAAATAAATCCCATTCCATGGAATATTGGTAGCTCCATAAACCATCATAAAGTCACTTTTCAAAAATATTATTCTTTTTATTATTTAGAATTTACAAGTGTCAAAAAACCATGTAACTTCCTACACCTTTTCCTCGCACTGGTTTTTGACCCGGCACTGGTACCAACAAAACCTTTAACGACCTAGATTGTCCGGCATGAACACTCAATGCTTGCTTTATAGAACCCAGCAGTTTCCAAGTTACCAACGCAAATAAATGTTGTGACTTTTTCTACCCGAGTTGTACGTTTTGTGATTCACGAATTTCCATTTTAAAACAAACATTTGAAATATAGCGGTATTTCACTTGCCTAATGACTGAACAAACTATACACTACCAGTTTATACCCGTTTTAATAAGGTCATGGGTCTATCAGTATTAACTGCAAGCAAGCTCAATTTTGTATCTTAGGCGCGAAGGCAAGTGTTTAGCCAAGTAAGTCGCGCGGAAATCTTAGGGACCCATCACCGCCCAAAGCTAACTTTCACTCCAGACTCGTACCCAGACACCCTTCCCATGAGCCCCCACGCGCCTCAACTTAACCCCAATTTTCTCTCACCTCAAAAATACGTAAATAGCGACTGGGTAAGAGTCTGGTTTCACTCTAAGACAAGTAGACATTTTACAAGAAATTTGCCTTGGATCCTATAGGATCTACAACAGTACACCACGTCACTTACAATTCTAAACAAGTCACCGTACTTAGAATAAGGACTCAGAGCAGTTTTCAAGACTTCCGAATTTTGCGAACGTGACATTCACTTATCAATCAGTAGAACAAATAAAAACGCAAGATATTATGCAATTGTTAGGGTACTAGATTAGAAAGTTAAGAAACCTTTCAAATGTTGCTTTTAAGTGTTATTGCACCAATCTTAACAAAACTGTTTTGTTCTTCTCGTTTTGTAGTTCGTGGGAAGTTCAAAGCGATGTAACTTTCACTCCTCTTTTGCTAGGATCCAATATCTCAACGTTCTTCTGTTCTCGTCCAGTTGATTTCTGAAACACTCGATGAAAGTTCGGACTTGATATTGGAGAATCCGTGGAATCTCGTCTGCTTTTCACCATCGGCTTATTAACAGCACTTTTCTCCGAACTCTTTCCTTTTCGCGAGCGACTACATTTCCCACAAGTGGACTTTGAGCTTTTGGATTCTGGGCGGCGAATCCAGATGTTTTCAACGTGTTCGCAGCTGCAGGTCGACGATGCAACGCTCTCAGTGTCCGCAGAGCGATGAGAATTGACTTCCGATTTTCCGTTTTGAATCCAAGCATTGCTTGCCTCGGGGTATCCCGTCGGTTTCCGAACTTGTCCGAATAAGTGTACTTCTACCTCGGAGTCAATCTCAGAGTCCGAGTCGCGGTAAGATTTGAATTTTTGCGCGCTCCTTTGGTAAGATCGTGATGTACTGGACTGATCTGGTGCTTGTCGCGATCTCACTTCATTTACTTCCTTTGGAATTAACTCCGCCATTTCATAGGTTTCTCCAAACTCGCTGTTGGTCCACTGATTGAGCCTCCGCGCAGTGCTTGGCGAAATAAGAGACATGCCGTCCCCTTGCTGAGGTACTGACTGCTGGGCGTGTCCCACACCCCTTTCTGTATTCTTATGAACCGTATTCCTGATCCGAGACAGCACAGACCGTTCTGCAACAGACTCCTTTTCTTTCAAACTTTCAGTCTTCTTGGGTTTGTGTGATACGTGTAGGGGATATGAATCACTCAGCAATGGAATTACTGCACAGCCATCGCTAGATGATCGGGAATGATGGGGTCGGGGTCCTGAAGCTGGTCCTAAGCAACGCTGGTCACCATCAAGCCTGTCATGTTCCTTCTTACAGCTCATATCTCTGTGAGGCTGTCTGCGATGCTTGGATAAAGAGTCATTACTTTGACTCCACTTAAAATGCGCGTTATTTCGACCGTCAAAAGAAGCTCCGTTTCCGACACTGTTGGAGTCACCACCACGTGCCTTTGCTCTTCTTTGTCTGCCAGCGAGGGACCTGGGTCCAATATCTGATCTTGTACGTATGAGAGCAGTACTGGGTTCTTCCTCCTGACCAGCGGCGGCGGCAGCGCCATGGTTGGAGCTAGAGCTTGAATGAGCGAGAGATCCTGATGATCCAGTCTTCTTTCTTGCTGACGCCTGCTTCTGATTCGCGGCTACCTCAATATCCTGCCTTGTAACACCAGGGAATAATGACTCGCCCTGCTGGACAGCTTGGCCTTGAGGATAAATTGGCTGGGAAACCATGCTTTGTTGAATGTTACTCACAGCAACATCGTAGGCTGGAGGTTCGTAGTTTCGCTTGAGAGTCTGGTTTACTGTGAGGGACTGTTGGGTACCTTGGACTTGAAGCTGCGGAGACTGGGCTCTAGGTGAACGATTTTTCAACCTTGCTACGTCACTTTTTAATTGTGCTTGAGCTGCCGCTGTTCGCATGTTTGCGGGCATGCTTCGATTAAGTCTTGCTGCTCTAGAAGAAACTGACTCGCTGTCGGTGGAACTTGAAGGTTTAACGGCCATGAGGTTGCGCAGGGCGGCAGTTGATGATTGCGAGATGGCTTTATGCTTAGAATTGACGAGAGATTTGAGGAGCGAAACTGCTCCCAATTCCCACAGAAGCTCTTGATCCTCCAAACACCGGGCTGACAGATTCCATAAGGCGCCACAAACATTGCTAACAACCCTAAGGCTCGACGAACGAAGATGACACAGCAGCACTTGAAAACAGCCACAATCACGGAGAGTCTTGCGGTAATCTGGTCGCACAGCGATGTGAGATGAAAGGTTCCTCAGTATCCCTCCACTGCTTTCTACCACGGAGATATTTCCAGATGGGCTGGAATATTTCAAACACTTGACCAGGAATTTCAGGGCACCAGGAGCAGCACATATTTCTGACTTGTTTTCCGAACAGTGAGCTGACAGGTTCCACAGAGCACTGAGTGTTGTTCTGAGCGCGGGCTCACCGTGAACTGCTTGCGCCGCGGATAACAGCGCACTGATTGCACCAGCGTCACGCAAGGTCTTGCGACAAAGTTCATCGGCTCTCCAGGAGAGATTCCTCAACACGCTTGCAGAGACTTGAATGATCTCTTCTTCTTCAACAGTGTTCAGCTGAGCTATTATGGCTTCCACAGCACCAGGAATACTACATAAAAGGTTCTTGTTCTTGACGTTGCCAAAAGTCAGGTTTGTAAGTGTCATACCCGCATACTTCCTCAGACTGATGCTGTAGAAATCTTTACAGTGTTCGTTGATTTGATGATCAATTTGTAATAGTTCTGCAATAGCTTGAAGCCCTCCTAGCTCGCATATGGCCTTGCGATGATCTTCTTCAAACGAAAGCTTCATAAGAGCCGCTACGGCAGGTCCTGGCCCATAATCCCTCAGAGGTGGATACCAACGTTCCGCGCAAGGATGCACGGGAAGTCCTTTGAACTGTATCACATCACAGTGCGCACGAGCAATTTCCAACAATCTTAAAACTCGAACTTCGCGGCGTCCACGCCTATCTTCCACATTTGAATAAACAATATTATGTAGCGCCAAGCCAGCTCGCGCGCGAGCCTCACGACGCACATTTTTGTCAGCAATGCCTTTGCCATGGAGTAGATCAATAAGCAAGGGTAAACAACCTGACTGCCGCATAGCGGCACAGCTGTCTTTACTGTTGGACATAGCTAACAAAGTCCGGGACATATCGTCTTTATCATGTGTTCCTAGCATGGATAAGAGTGACTGAACCATGTCGATACGCGTGTCAAGATCATGATGTGTAGCAGCAGTGCTGGCAAAACTAACCACGCTGGACGTCTCCAAGCCTTCCAACGCGTCATGCGGTGAATAACATATTGCTTCCACGCTGGTCTGACTCACGCTTCTGGCCATACCTCTCGATTGAGTAGCAGCAGACTCCCCGCCAGTTGGGTTTCCTGTGGCCAAGCCTGGTCTGATCTCTTGAGGGGCGGTGGTGCACCTGTGCGGCCGTTCTCTGTTGCTGGGCAATGGTTCATTGACACGCCTAATGTCGTCAGCTGGGTTCACGACAGTTGACATCTTTGTCTGTGTAGCTGTTGGTTTAATGCTTTGCAGAATATTATGCTTTCCATTTGTACTGACAACAGAAAGAGGTTTCGATATTGTGGGATCTGTCTTAACATCCTTAGTGATGCTCGCAACTCCTTGGGTTAAGACGCCACTGTTGGGTGGACCTGTTAAAAAAAATAATGAATGAAGGGTTAGTTTCTAAAGAAATTGAGGAGCTGCGTCTAATAAATTCGCACTGACGAAGGGCTGTCACTCCAAACGTCAGCTTTTCACCCTATTTAAGGTGGTAAAATAGCTTTCTCAACTCAATGGACGTGCAGAACCAAATTTTTTGTTGTAATTTTGCGTTAAAAACCTACAACAAGGAATCACAGACGGACCGGGAGGAATTTATCCCACAATCATTTAAGATTGAACACACTTTTTCATGTGGCAAAAAACTCACATAAACAACTGTATGTGGAGAGTTGGCTAAAGGTCAGTTTAGTGAAATAATAAAAAAGTTTCTGGGTATTACACAAAACTTCTGCAAAATACTTATTGTACTTTAAAAAGCCCATGCCATGACTCAGAATATTTTTCTCGCGCAAAATAGAGTACTAAAGTGTGACGTCATAAAAATGAAATAAGACTTTAATACCCTAAACAGTCCTATAAGACTTTCTTGTTACAGGTTCTCCGGATGAACGGTTTTTACTCGTAAAGCCCCGTTTAACAGAGACAGATCGTAGCCCAGTTATGCTTAGAAAACTCCATACGAATCCTTATAAATTTTTTTGGGGTCGACCCAAAAAGATCAATTTAATGGTAAAAGTAGAGAGAGAATTGACGCATGAATCTTTACCTTGTCCGGCTTCCTGAGTATGAGGATCCTGTTCGCTACCAAAGCCACTGTCTCTGCCAGGTACTGGAGCTGCTACTCCAGGATGAACTTTTTCTTTGGCTTTTTCCTCCCGGAGCGCCTGAACTTTATCTTCAGCTTCTGTCACCCCTAAGTTTCTTGCTTCCTCTTCAATGGCTCTCTGCTCTTCGAGGGTCATGCGATATGACCTACTTGATGCAGAATGATCAAATCCTGCTCGACCCTGTAAAAAACAGTAAATTATTAAAGCGCTGAAATACTAAAGACGAAAAACAGACTAGCATACCACTGTATTCCCTACTTTAATTATTCCTGAGAACAATGGGCAGCCCTCCACAAGACAGGAATAGAGCAGAAATCTTACATGTATCAAGATCTGGCGCTTTAAGTAATAAAATAGAACCATCTAACAAATAAGCAGCCATTTAATGTTTTTCATTGCCCATGGTAGGAAATGTTCAAAACTCAAGTGGAATCACAAGCCACCACAGAATGGTTTTTATGGTATGAACTATGACTGTACAGACAGTGGTAAACAGTATTATTGTCTACTTGCTTTAAAATTAAACATCCAATTCTAGCAAGCTAATTTTATTGTTAAGTAACGTGTGAAAGACAGAGAAACAAATTATGACATTTATTACATCACTTCCATAGCCTACATTCTCACAGATCATATTTCTTCCCAGCCAAATAACTGACATTTATAAGTGCCCCCCCACCCCACCCTCCCAGATATAGGTTCACCTACCTGTTATCAAAAAAATACAGCCAATTATGAGCCCCCCAACACCCCCCCGCTAGCTTTTATTGAAATGAATTCAATTTTTTGTGAAGTTTTCAAGCTTAATTAAAAGCCAGTACAGTGGAACCTCGATTATCCGGACTCGTTAGGACTTGAGTAAAATTAATAGTCAGGATAATTGAGAGTCCAGATAATCGAAAAGTCCAGATAATCAAGGTCCTGATAATCGAGGTTCGACCGTGCATGCAAAACATATTTTGATCAGCAATTCTATAGCTTATTTCGAAGCACTTTTTCTATTCCGGTTATAATCTCGTCCTAAGCCCCTCTGTTTATAAGCACTCCTAAAACCTCTTACAAAGACATGTACACCAAGGGCTTTTAAGTAAGTTCACAGTAGTGCTCAAGAATTCACTCAGTTATTGTAAGAAAATCACTTTAGGCACCATAAGTACTGCTATAGATGAGTGTATGCTCACTATTTCCATTATGAATTACTTGGTTTATCATTTTTTAACACCGATGGACTTACCCCACAAGATTGCTGCTCATCCTCCATCCAAGGTGGTGTCAAGTAAATATTCTCCTCTGATGGTCGCCTGGAGTTTTCCATTGATCTTGTTTTACGATACTGTGCAGCAAAGTCCTAAGTACACAAATACACATTACTTGAGCACCAAATGTAGCTTTGGTGCAGAATTATCCATAATCTCTGATAACACCCAAAACTTAGTAGAATCCCCCAGTTTCTTCAACTCCTGATTCAGAAGTCAAACTGACTACTTCTTTTCCCTCAGTCAAATACTGTCACACGACACAGCCAAAACAACTCAAAGTGGAATGATGGATTATTATGAAGTGGAAACATGCTGCACGATATTACATGAATTGTAATAATATCGTTTACCCACGAAACACTTAGAAGTTCTTAATAATTCGTTTTTTAAATGTATCCCTGTGTTCCAGATTGAATCATAATAACTCTTGGAAATGCATTGTTGTTTTTTGAGAAGAGTGGCAAGGGAGAGAACCATCAACAAACTCAATCAAATTTGATGTCAACATCAGGATTTGAACCCAGGCCAAATTGGTGGGAGATGAATGCTCTTACCACTTTCTCACTTACATCATACACACCATAAGCCTGTTAGGAAAAAGCTTAATCTTATCTTGTAGTATGGATAAAGGGATGTACGTATAAAAGGGATTAGGTTGGCCATGACAGCTGCAAATAATCTTGAAAACCGGTTCATGTTACTTTTATTCATTACGGCAGTATTAACGCATGCCTATGCTACATTTGGGGATTTCATAAACCTTTATTTTCTGGAACAATATGCTTCAAATCACAGTATAAAATAGGGGTTAACAACCAAAAGAACTTTGAAGATTTCTGTATGACTCCAATAACTGAAGAGAGGTACTGGTCATTTTTTCCAACAGCACAAAAAGATGTTTTACTCACTCTTGTGGAATCCACTTCATCTTGCTCATGCCATGGAGGTGGCTGCTGACCAGCTTGACGCATTCTCTCCTCCATTACCATGTTATTGATGCTGAAATTTTTTACTACTGGCTGTTCAGTAACTGGAACAAAATCCTGGTAAAAAAACCCCCAAAAAACAGAAATTTCCTTTCATTTCTGTTCAAAGTTGACTGATATGCACAACTCTACAAGTGCGTTTAAAAGGGAGCTCAAGCAATGACGACAACGGCAATGAGAGTGTCATAAGAGCAATATGTTTAGGTAAGCAAAACAACAACTTTGCACATGAATCTTGGGTTTTTGTACATTTCTTTGATGTTGTGGAGGACATGAACACAGGAAAAGTTACATACAGTCCTTTAGAAATCAACTCAAGACAAAAATTATTCACCAACATTTTACAGGCTGAAGGACAAGGAATAAAGAATGTTGACTTTTGAAACAGTGTGAATTAAGTTTTTAAGAAATGTTTTCACCACTATCGTTGTCATTGCTATTGTCTTTTAAGCTTCCTAATAATGGGTATTCTAGAACAGAAACACAACTGGGCTGAGTCATTGACATAATCAAGTGAATGTTTGGTATAAGAGATTACAGAGTTTGTTTTTGTTTGCCTTAATGCAGCTATCTAGTAAAATTCAGAAGTAGGAAACTATGTCTTCAGAGAAAAAATAGTTCTTTGATAACTGAATCAAAACATTGAAAGAAAAATAGTATTATGCACTTTAAAATGACCTTGCTTACTGTAAGTCAAATGTTGCCCTCCCCTACTTACTGGACAAAGTTGAAAGAAAACTTAGGTGTTTTTCAGGTGTGGTATGTCTTATGCTGGTGTATGTACCAAAATTTCAACAATTCTTACATATGCCAAGCTTATCAAACAATATGTAAAACAAATAGTAGGAATTCTAACACATGCAAACCTTAAAATGACAACTTCATTAAAGTAGGGATGGAAGAATACTTCATATATAAAAAAAGAAATTAGAGCATAACTGCAAATAATGTATGCTTCTTATGCTCTGTCACATGGGTGTTAAAAACATTGTTAACTGAAGAAAGGTAAATTTTCACATTTTCACTTTTTAGTGAATAATTCTGATTAGGTTGAAATTAGTCAGATAGACTCTTACCCTTCAATAATTATCATCAAAATAAAACTTTATAGCATGGCAGTGAGGAAATGTTTTTAATTACATGATGCTTAGTACTATTACTATAACTGCTACTCAGATGCCAGTAAATTGTTTGAGTACAAGATGAGTACCCAACCAATGTATTACAGTAAATAACAGTATATAACTCACTCCAACAGGTCCATCATCTTCTTCATTCCAGGGTGGAGAAAGACAGAGATGCTCATCAGAGGGAAGTCTGCTTAATTGCTGGCTTGCTAAGCCTGAGGTAGGCTCTTGTTTACCAGTGGTTCGGCTGAAATCCTGAAAGTTTACATGGCACAAGGTATTAGACTTACAGCAAGGTGTTTTGCACACAAAAACATCACAACATGTTTGGGAGGATAATACTACATTTTAGAATAATTTCCTTTGCTTTTTAATCATATATGGAATTCTTTTCCATCTGAATGTCACTTTGAAGACGATTTATCAGGAAAAATAGAAGTCACCAAATAAGTGAGCTACCACTAGAGATGAGGTTTAGGTCTCTATTGTCAATTAAATTATCTCTACTCTCTAACATGGGCACCATCAAAACAGTGTTGGGATCCAAATCAGTAACAACAAGATACTGCACAAATACAACGAATAGAATACCCACTGTACAGCTGAACTAGATAACCACTGATAGGACAGTCACTGTACCACATTTATGCTAAGTTAGTGCAAAAACAATCTTTGAGCTTTAATAAAATTATATAACAAATAATTAATATATACACAAGTATACTCAACAGAAAGGATAAAAATCTTTATCACACCAAATTTTAAATAGAAACCTTAGAAACAGGCAGGAAAACCAGTTCTTACTCTGACTGAATCAACTTCTTCATCGTGCCACAAAGGAGGTCTTCGTATGTGTTCCTCGGCAGCTCGTTGATAGATCACTTCATCAGTTCTTTCCATATATTTTTCTTCCTTCTTACGATCATTACCCGTAAAATCCTGAAAACATCATTCAAGATTTAGTCATGCAGCAAGAACAAATCCATTCAGTATCAGACACTATAAACAAAAATGTACATGTACTCTGTCATAAACTTTGTCTCTAACTTAAAATTTGCTGAAAAAATAAGGGTCATACATAAAGGTATGGTGCATGTAGACATTAAGAAAACTGTCAGCCATTACTTCATGTACCGGTGAACTAGAAACTACTCTGTACTGTTAGTAGCAATATTATTCATTACGGCTTGAAGAAAATAATTATTAAATCTATTAACACTCACTGACTTTGTTTATCTTATGACCAGCAGCTTTGACAACAGAGCTACATGTACTGTATTACTGTCACTGTACTGTACCTTTAGTGAGTCAACATCATCTTCATCCCACACATGAACATCAGGAGTTTCCCTGTTGGACAATGACTTGCCCTTTCCTAACTGAACTGGGTTTTGCCCTCTTTCACTGGCACCAAAATCCTAGTTTGAATGGAACAAAACCATGAAAGTTAAAAACTGACAAAGGTTAACAGAGCATCTTTTCAATTCTGTGCTTACTGAGTCATGTCACGTTGTACTACGACAATGCATTTCTTCCACAATGACAATGCAAATATTATCAATGTCATGCTCTGTGATTTTGTTTAAGAAAATTCACAAAGCGTGACCAACTTGTCCTGTAATCATTACTGTAGACTGTTTTCCTTTAAAAAATATCTGATTATAAAGGAAACAATGACTGACTATTTGAAATCCTAAACTATGACTTTGAGCTCAAAAAACCGTTACACCAGAAAGATTTCCCAAATGTCATTGTGCTGCAAGGAAATGCCAATCAGGTGTAAGAAAACTAAACCACAAGCAACAATGATAATGTTAGTCTGAGCTTTTGTGGCTTGCTCATTTTTTCTGATCATAGTTGTGATTGGTCACAATACAATATTCATCATGCAGCATGCAAAGAAATTCTTGTCCAACAAGCCAGGGCTAGTGGATTTTGTGAGCTCAGGCTACCAATCTCTGTTCTTAACTTGCCTGACAGGCATGTGAAGTCTTTTTGGGAATTAACAAAATTGCATGAGTAAAACATGTACTTTGTCTTAAAAGACAAATTGAAAAATCCTTATTTTTCAAGTTGATCATTAATTTTGTAAAAACAAGTATTGCATTACACTTCAGGTGAATGTGTGGTGCAATTTATTAATAAACATTGATCAATTATCATTAGTCCTGTTCATCAAGAATTCTTTTTAGGCTAGTCAAAATGACTCTTGGGTTAGTACATTCTAGCTACTGCTTAACCCAAGAGCAAGTGGTAAAACTGACTTTCTTTTCACCCTGACATAATTCCTGAAATGTTCAAGTTGTTCATGCTTTTCTGAGTTTGACTGTACATATTAGAGTCATGCCAGCATTACCTTTACAGAATCACTTGTCTCTTTGTATGCAGACTTAACCAACGCATCAATCTTCTCCTTGTCCAAAGGATGTCTATACAACTTTGGTGATGGACTACTCTTTATGCTTCCCCCTGAGCTTGTATTTCGTGGCAAACAAGGCATATTTACTTTAGGAACAGGACTGTCAGTGCTTCTTTTCATGACAGGACTTTGGGTTGGTGCAACACTGGGATGTAACATGGGGCTACTTTGTTTCATGGCCAGAGTCTGGCCTAGACTAGCTGTAGGAGGAGCTGATGTGGGAACAGTCCTTGGAGACATTTTCTGTCTTGGTAACTGGCCATTTGCCATTTTCTTCTAAAACATAGATTACAAAACTTTTGGTTCTAACACTTGCTCTAGTTAAAAGTCATTATCAGTGGTTTCATAAAAAAAGCAGCTGCCAATACTATGTTCTCTTGCACTCTAGTTGGCTAGCTCTGATATCTTCTTCAAAAGCTACCAAAACCACTGCATATAAATCATTCATGTACAATAAATAACTGTGATCTCGCAGAGAGAGAGTTGATTTGCATGAGCAAGGTACGCCACATGAAAAGGTACAGCTCATTAGATCATATACCCACGTATTTTGTGCTATATAAATAATACAGCTATGTCACATTGTATGTTGTGTTACATGTAAACTATGGGCTACAAGTTACACATTTCTACCTACAGTGTATATTATGACAGAAACCCAAACAAAGTCAAACCAGTGACTCTTAAGTGGCCACCTGGGCCGAGTTGTTCAAAGCTGGGTTAAGATAACCCTGGGTTAGTGCGAGATTTGAATTCAAAATGAAAGCTTAAAAAGCATTTCAGTTTTTTACAAGTTGATGATTGGAAGCTCTAAAAATAACAGAGAAAATTATCTGAGAAAATGTTCTAGAACACAAGAAAAAGAAAACTGAGTTAAATTTAACCCTGGGTTAAGCGTTAATCAGCCTTCAAACAACTCGGCCCAGCATGTGAAGTGCCAAGATTTAGACTGTATTATGCTTCTGCGGTAAAACAAAACATGCTGACCAGGCATAGCACAGATAAATAATGCAAATGAACCAGAAGGAACGATAAGAGTTAAGCAAGTAACCAAAAAAACCCTAACCTTCCGGGCTGTGCTCCAGTGGCACCTGGTACCTTTTTTTGCTCTTTAGCGATTACAAAATCACAGTTTTTCATTAAAAAAAAAACAAGCACAGCGTATGCTCGTTTTTCACAGGTTTAGGGCACTGGCCTCTCTTTAATTATTCTTAGAGCACAGCCTTGATTTTAACACTAAATTTAAAACTGAAGAAGCAACCAGCCTTGCTGGTCTAAGGATCGGAGAGACCTCTTTTAACTTACTGCAGATTGATGCTGATTAACTAATGTTTCCACGTCACTTCCTACAGATTCCTCTTCTTCTGACAGTTCCCACCTAAACAGAACACAAGTGTCAAGCTGCGCATGAATTTATTTAATTTCAGCAAGCAAAACGATTGGTTACTGCCCATTTCTAGTTGTGCTGTTAACCTGAGCTGCAACAGTACTCATTTACATGTAAGAAACTGGCTTCCACACCCGAACATTCAATTGATGCACATTGTAAGTCTTAGACCCCTTTCATACAAAAACTTGACTCAGATAGAAGGGTCACTCTCCCAGCTGAGGCAACTTTATCAGGGGTTTAAATGAGAAGAAGCACTGTTGGCTTGGGCAATTATTGCCTGAGCTAACGGCGTTCGCACATCCTTTGACCCGGCTAGTTGAGCCAAAGGGTTTATGTGGACAAAAGTTGGCCTGGCTAGGAGGGTGACCCAGTACCATAACAAAAGGGTAACACAGCTAGGTGGGCAACCCTTCTAGCTGTGCCAACATTTTTGCTTCTCATGTAAACTGTTCTGCTTGTGTTGTAAGGCAATGTATGAAAGGTTGAGTCACCCAGGGTAGCTCAGGTAGGTGGGTGACCCTTCTACCATAGACAGCTTTTCTCCATACAAACAGACCCTAAGAGAGACACACACCCAGCCTTTACAGGTTTTTTGAACTTGGCCTTTTGAACCTAACCTTTGATTACTTGGGCCTGCTCTTTCTAAAGAAAAGGATTTTATGCCTGTTTTTGATGCCCATGTATGTGTCTTTTTCATTGTACCAAAAAAACTGAGGGGCTTATATACAACTTTTACTCTGAGGCCACGTCTTTACTCAGCACTTGGCATTAAATCAGGAAAATATGGTACATGTTTTGATCTAAGCAAGTAACATAACTGCTCAATCAAACACAAAGGTCAGGACAGTAAAAAAAGTTATCAAGAAAGATAAAAAGGAAGAAAGAACTGGTTTGAGATTTTTGACTGAACTGAACTTAAAGTGAAAAAGTATTTTCATCTTTAAAAATGACAAAGGTCAAGCTGCTGTCACTGATGCTACTTGATTTTAAATAATGAAAAACTGTGTTACAGTATCATTCTTAAAGAAATAAAAACATAAGAATTGTTTCAATGGAGCTGACAGCTAAAGGACATTGATCTTAGAACTTACAGACTATCAGTACCGTAAATAAATACTGCTATAAACTGATGAAAAACAGTTTTTTTAATACTTGTAAGGAGCTTTTATTTGCAGACTACAGGTCATGTAGATAACTATAAGTTTATCGTAATCACAATTAGAAACCACATCTACTTACCTTGGAGTTTCTCTAACATCGAGCTGGTCAATATTTCTATCAAAAATATCATCTAAGCAAGAATTAAATAATGTCTGATTAATACATTGGTATTATTCATTTAACTCCAGAAATGTTAATTCTGGTGTTTGTAGGCAGTCAAATACACGTAGCGTACATGGTATCCCATTACTTCAATGTATGGTCAGACCATCCAAGCCAGATCCTTCCAATTTATCATTCAACAATATAGTCAGAACCTTTCACGAGCCTCAAAGCCACAAGCAGAAACAAGGTTGTACACCTCATTTTTTATGCTAAGAACCCAAAACAAGCGTGCTCCACATTGAGTTTTACACTGAAACTGCGGAACGATCTGACTATAAAATGGAACAATGTGGCTTGGAATGATCTGACCATGTGACAACTACCAAGCCTTTTCATAAATTAATGCTTGGGGTTGGTGATAGTTGAAAGTTATCATTACTGCTTCAGTGTTACTTCAAAGTCAAGTATTATTTGCTTTCCACAAGGAATACTTAACATTGCTGTTAGGAGAGAACTTAAAGTCATTTCCGTCTAGCAAACAGCATTTTTTTTAAGGTCATAAAAAAATAATTTTTACTGTAAGACCCATATTTCAACCAATCAGATGATTCTAAAGCGGGGACCACGAATCTAAAACTCAAGCATTATACATGTATATAATATTTTTAAAAGCTGTTATCATAACTCTTTACACTTCTGCACCAAAGAAGTATAAAGTTGTCATTTGATGTGGTAGATTTCTCGATACAAGCAAAGCCAAATAAAACAGAAACCTTTTTTTAAACTGATCGCAAAAGGTACATTGGAATGCTAAGCCATGTAAAAGAAACAATCAAAGACTGGATGGACAAAGATATGATGGACAAATGCAAAGGAATAAAATTATTCTTGCCGCTTTTAATGAACCCGTGGCTAAACTTCAGAATACCGAACCCGTCTACTGTTACAAATTGTTTTGGATACCAAAAATACTACTCGATGAAAACAAAATGCGTTCGACCAGATAAAAAGAACGCTGACAACGAAACTTTCGCATTTGACAAACTCAGACAAACTGCTCATGGCATCGTCGAAAAAGGTATGCATCTTAAGTTGGAGATTTGAAATGATCCTCATTAGAGAAATCCAACGAGTAGGTAAAGAGGACTTCAAATAAAGAAATTAGAAAACCATCTGTTTAGCGCATTCACAGAAAAAATGTGCGTGATTTACTTTGCTCAAATCATCAAAGTATCATGCTACACTGTATGTCTCTAGTACTCATATCTAGTCCATTTCAGCTCAAAACACGTACAAAGCGACTATAAGACACGAAGAGAGTGTTAGCGACACGAGCGAATTTCCAAAAAACAAAACACCACAGTTAGTATCTTAACTCCCAAAGCTTATCAGTTAGAATAGTGCTTACCTATTTCGTCGACTTCCATAGCACACTGACTTGGTTGCTTTTTCTATGATAAATCACTGGCTTGATCAGAACCGTATACCGTTCTCCGAGATGCGCGCATTCGAAAGATATGGTTTCCACAGCACTTCAACAGCGATTAAAGTATGGCGGCACTCTCAAAGAAGAACATCGTAAGATTATATTGCCGACAAGCTGGAAAAGGGCCGACAAATTGTTCAGTAAAACACCTACACTTTCCGAAAGATACACCGACAAAGGAATGATGGCCACAACTTCACCGACATGAAAAAGACACTTTACCAAAGAAGCACGAGACAGCACGCAACAAACGTAAACAAAATATTCAACGCTTGATTTCTAACTCATCGACTACAAAGGTTTCCGTATTTCATTCAAAGATAATCGTCATGAGAAGCCCTCCATGGTCCAACAACAACAAAGTCGCGCCGACATGTTTTGCAAATGAAGCGTCTAGGTACATCCTGGACCGTTAATTGATGGGGCTGACTGACTGGGGGGAGTGACATGGGCTATCGTTCCCAGTCCTATCAGCGGCTGGTTGGAGTCTCTTGGAGTCGAACTTTGGGGCCGGGGAAGTGGCCGTTATGGGAAGGTAGGGGTGTAATATGACAATTTTTTTTAAGGAGTACAACCTTTTTATTGCGCTAAGTTCATGCTTACTGTATCCTTAAATATGGTACCGTGTGGCACGAAATTTTTGCGGGTTCTGATTTTTGTGATTTTTGCGTTTTTATTTTTCAGCGATCCGCAGAAATAAGTTCCCGCAAATAAAAATTACCGCAAAAAATTTTCCCGCATAAATTTACTCCAGAGTAAATATTCTCTAACTTAAATTCACTACACAAAATACATTACTAAGAAATTGTATTTTTGAAACAAGGACCAGCTTACAAAAAAGAAGGACCGAAAATATAAAACAAAAGAAGCAAGGCTGATTTTATAGTCAGGAATATACATATATATATTCTTTAACCAATATTTCGGAAGGCACTGCCTTCCTTCTTCAGGGTCTTACATATAATGAAAAGCCAGTTTAAGATAAGACGTTACGATTTCAAACATTTCAAATTGTAACGTCTTAGCTTAAACCTTTTCATTATATGCAAAGACACTGAAGAAGGAAGGCAGTGCCTTCCGAAATGATTATTTAAAGAATTATATATATATATATTCCTGACTGTAAAATCAGCCTTGCTTCTTTTGTTTTATATTTTCGGTCCTTCTTTTTTGTAAGCTAGTCCTTGCTTCAAAAATAATCTTTTGTTCTAAGAAATTGTGTCTGTTCAATTACAACTTGTCTTTTTCGTTCAGAAACAAAGCGGTATACACTGAAATACTGACGCATACCGTAGCCATTGTTTGAACATATGTATTTCTATAACGCGCACTCGATGAAAACGAAAATATTGTCAATGCTGGGTACTGGGTACTTCCTGAAAATCGCAAAATTAATTCCCAGCAAGAAAAACCCATCTCTTCTAATCGGAAAAATTAGTCCCCGCAAAACACAAAAAATCACCAGTCCGCAAAAATAAACTCCCGCAAAAATTTCGTGCCATACGGTAATCCAGTCATACATAATGTATCGTAGACAATCTATGTTTTTTGCAGCAGTATAAATGGAACACAATCAAAATACGATTGCCGCGATTAATCATCCACGCGCCATACGGATCAAATTTTATGACCATCGGGATCAATCGCTGAAAAAACCGGCGGTTGTCGAGGGGTTATTTTGGCAGTCTGGGACACGCTTTGGTGGCCGCTTCTATTGCAGAGAGGTTTAAACAAGAGCAGGAGCCTATGACAATGTATGGACTATGCGCCGCGACAAAAAACTGGCCGTTGTGGAGAGGTGGCTGTTAGTGGAGGTTAGACTGTGATACCAAACTGAAAATCTGCAAGGATTTATTCATTGGTCAGGAAAAATATAAAACAAATTATAGTAAACAACCTTTGTTTTTAAAGAAAAAAGGATGTTGTCCTCATAGAAATTTTTACAGTTATTTTTTCGTCTCTGTTTTTCTCATCATATATTTATTTATCGAAGAGGCAACATCCAGGAACTGCGGAGCAAGTTTGAGAGTGCCGGGCCGGGCGGGGTTCTTTCAAGCCAGTGTGAATATTTTTGGGGTCCGTGGGCATGCTCCTCGAGAAAACCTAATTTTTTTTGGTGTCCTGCCAGAGCTCGGGTGCCAGGGAAACGCATCTGGCTATCATAGAATAAATACGCCAAATTTTAAGGATTGCCTTGCCACTATAGGTGTGATTGATTATAGCTTGCAACAGTCAGAAAGCTGGTACCCCTTGGATAGACCAAGTTCGATATATTAAAATATAGACATGGCACCGAGGCTTAGGGGAAGAAAATAAAATTAAAGAAATTTATTAGTCATTGGTGAGTCTCAAGATGATTTCTTTTGTTTTATTGCCCCAAGCCTCGCTGCCAAGTCTAAATTTTAATATATCGAAATTGTCTATTGGAAAAGGTAAAATACTGCAGGAATCTCAAAATCTTTATGTCATGTCCTTGACACAGCGCTGACTATCAGTTTTCCAGAAGAAGTATTCTGAAAATTCTCTTTCTTATAATGTGGGTTTAGAAGTCTCGCTCGGTTTTGTCCCAGAAAAGATATAAAAATCTCCCGCTCGCGCTTCGAGCTCAGGAAAAATCTTGAGCTCTAAGCTTGTCATAAAAAAGACTTTCTTAATTAAGCTGTTGTTGAATGTTTCATTTTAGAACGAAAACATAATGTAGACGTCCGATTGCCGTAAATTCATCGTGACTTCAGAAAAACAATTAACTCTGCCTGAGTAGCTGGCGGTTTGTTTGCCTGGCGAGAGGGCCAATGAGTGGCGAAGCCGAGAAAATGAGCCTTGAAGCCCCACTTTCGGTTAGCCCCATTTGCGTAGGCTACAGTTTAATACATACCGTAACAGAAAAATAACGAGAACCTGGCTCATATCAAATAATGGCGCTGTTTATTACATACAAGCAGTTCTAGGAAGTACATAAAAAATACGCTACATTTATAAGGATTTAGTACAAAATTTAACTACCTGACGTACACTTGTCATAAAAGACGAGGAGAGGAATGAGAAAGATATATTTTTTATGCATAGCATCGAACATTCTACAATATATAAAAGCATTTTTTCAAACATATTTTCGTAACGTTTGGGACTGGAACTTTCACGAGAAATAAAGAAAAAGAGCATCTACCACTGGCCTGCAGTGAAACAATACCGTAACACGTTTTAAAAAGTGGCTATTGCACATTTACGAGGTTATCCAGTACTTATATAAAAGACGAAAAACAAACATAAAAAATAAAAATAAAGGCAAATAAATAATTTCTACAACACCAAGTACATACATGAAATTCACTTTCAAAATGTATAGAAACGTCTCGACACCTTATTATTACTCTGATTTTGCAACAGTCTCTTGACACAACTTGCATATGAAAATTCAGTTCATTTAAATTTTAATTCCAAAGAGGAACTTTTTTACAATATTATTATTGAATATTTTTCTTGCATATATATATTACTTTTCTGGTCGGCACGATGCAATTCGGCAAACGTGACGTTGGAAACTTGCCATTAACGATGGCAAGAGTCAATTCATATTTCCGACAGAATATCTCAGTAAGACCCTTACATGATTGGCTCAACTTTAACCGAGTTCTCTACTGGATCAGTTAATCGTGCAACCACATCTCGAGTCTCAAGCGAACAATAGAGACAACATATTGCCCTCCTTCTGAGAACAAAAGCACTAGAATAACTGCAATGTAGTTTTAATACTATATATGGAGAGTTTTAAAGATTTCTAGTTTATTCCATGACACGTACAAAAAACTCTCAAAATGGAAGGCAGGTAATCGCGTTGAAACAGGCTGTGGTCTTGAGGTGCGACACACGGTGCCGGCGTACATGTGGTAGTCAGTTGGCGTTACATCACACTACACACGGAACTTTTGGCCGCACTAGTCTGCCTTGCAGAGTTCTGACGCTGCAAAATAATCAGGTAAAGAGATATAGAATGAACATGGCAGGATTATGAGAGTTACATAAAGTTTTAATTAACCCTTCAATCCCGTCATCCCGAAGCCACCCGCTAGCTCGAACTTTTGTGCAATAACTCGAGCGGAAACGCTTGCTACGCAGGTTATTTCGCGTGTAACGGGATGCCTTGGTGTCACTCGCAGGCCAACAAAATCTTCGGCACGAGCGGCGAAACCATGGATAACAGCAAGAATATCCACGCCGAAACCGGAAACTGCGCATGAAAAGTCTCCGTCACCCAGGGTATCCCATCGCAAATTTTCGCTCAATCCCATAATCCCGTTATTATTTTCGGCATTCCGCATCCCATGCACATTTCCGAATCCCGGCTTCCAAATAAGGCACATCTCGGATCCCCAACAAAATTATCGGGGACTCTACCATTTTGGTGGTTTCAGTTCCATTTACCCTGGGTTTACTTGCCCACTTTCATTAAGCCATCTACCGAAAATTAGTGGTCGTTAATGCCCATGAAGCGACTGCTTTTGCAATATTTTTTCCTTAACTTTTCTTTGAGGTTAAGATACTAGCGAGGCGAGACGCTAAGAGTTGATAATTCCTTTCTTCTCATTCTTACCCACTTTGATGGTGCGAACAGCAACTATTTTGTTTTTTACAAATGGCCGCTTGGGATGTAACAATAGCTTCGTTAAAATGCCATATCCGGGTTTTGAACACATAAGCACAGAGAAAAAACGTCCTTCAACAGGCGCACGGTGTATTTAACTTCTTCACGGTTTCGGTACGGTTTGTCGCTTTAAAGCTCGCCAAATCGAATTGATACCTGAACTTTGATCTACTCAGAAAATTGAGAAATAGAGAAATACAGATTACAGATTATCAGAGAATGGAAAGTCTGTGTTTTCCCAAAATTCACTCTGCGTCTCCTCCCAGAATTCGCGTTTGGCGGAATTGGACACGAATATAGTCTGGGTCGTATAGACTCAGCGGAGAACTGCGCGGTCTGTCTAATCCATTTGGTAGATTTACTGTATAGGCTACCCTGTAGATAAAACAAAATTATATATAAAACAACCATCAGCTTACCTTTTCCTTCGCCTGTTGCCTCAATTGTTCCTTTAAAAAAAGATAAAAAGAAAGAAAACGTTGCTGAAAATTAATTTCACAAAAGGGTTAGGGTCAGGGTTAGGGTTGTCTTTTCGTTTTGTCAAAAACATGTGTAGAATTATACGTTATTAACTGAACCGTATAAAATTGTTCCTTTCCATAAACTTCAAAACTAGCAAACAAATTGAAAAAACCCGCACTAGCTATAGCCTAGCCTGTTCACAGATCCAATATTTTCTCTTTGAAGTCCGTCGAGCGCGCGTAATAAAAGAAAAAAACCGTGGGGATTAGCCTGTGTACAGACCCGTCTGTACACAAGCTATGGGGGATTTATTGACCGCCTGTGTACAAACCGGTCTGTACACAGGCTATGGGGGATTTATTGACCGCCATCGCAAGGGGGTAGGGGAGACAGGCTAGCTATAGCCAAATGTTTAATGCTAATAACAGTTCGATGGACGATACATGTAGTACATTTGTACCGTATCAAGACAGCTCAAAAGAAATGAACAATACCGTAAAGAGCATCATGATAATTTTTTTCCTTTTTTTTAAAAGAATAATACAATACAATATCGGCAGAAAAATAAGAAAATTCAACCCCGGCCAGAAAAACAAAATCCTTATAAAAAAAAGAGTGTATTGGCCTCCAAAGCGCCGCGCAAAGCCAATTGAAATACAGGATTCGTTACATTTCAGCCCGCTCGGGAAGGCTGAAATAAAAAATATATATTTTTTATCAGGTATTTCACAGGTGACCCAAGGTCGAAATATGACCATCGGCACTGTTACGTAACGTTCAAAATATAAGGATTTGTATGGGAGAAAAACAATTGATTCTGTAGCCTATGAATGTAAAAGACTTCAATAAAACTCGGTTGCTAATAGAGAGAGTGGACCAGTTCCAATACTGAACACCCATTAAATGGCCATAAATCGGCTTGGACACCACACAGGAAAAAAAACACACAACTTAAGCAAGGTTAGCCAATTTTTATTCAAATCCCTTTACATTCGTGGGCTACGGAAACAATTGTTTTTCTCCTATAAAATCATTATATTTTGAACGTTACGCAACAGTGTCGATGGTCATATTTCGACCTTGGGTTACCTGTGGTTATTTCTAACGTTTCCTGTGTTACGCACACGAACCATAAACGTTAATCCACAAAAATAGATTTTAACGATTTTGGAATTTCTCACTGGACAGCGGGATAATAAAATCTTAGATGAGGTATGTCGCAGAAAATAACTATGGAAAAGATATTTTCCAAGAATAAAACACAAATATGCTAATGTAACCAATAATATCATGTCGTATGCGCAGGGGATCGCGTTCGATTCAAGGCAGTGAGCTTCTAAACACAGACTTTTGCGAAAGACAAATTTGGTTCGGAGTTTATAATAGCTGCGTGAGGGGAAAAAACAGGCGAAAATAAGGGTGCATACCGAGGCACAGCCAGAGCCCGGTGGTTGAGGGCGTTACACTACGGGTATGCCTGTAAGAAGGAGTGGCAAGGTAACTAGCGTAAGGCCTTATTCTTATGCGTTCCAAAAGACCGTTTAGAGAAAACATGGTTGGAACACCGTTCGAACAAGGTAAAGTCAGTGCTCAAATAAGGGGACTAAGAATAAGGCCTTATGCCTTAATCGATCACGCTCAAAGATATCAGTGGAAAAAAGAAATATTTTAACAATGTCCAGCCCACCTGCTGCATACGAGCCAACTGTTCCTGGAGAGACAACACCACATTGAAGTTATCTTGAAGTTTGTCGCATTGCTGAAAACAAACGAACACATGAAAATATATCTTTCCGAGACTTCAACTCCACAGAATAACAGTGGCAGTCTGTCTCACCTTTGACAATTCCATTTTTAAGCTTAAGACTTCGTGAGACAATTTTTCCTCAATCTCCTGAGAACGAGAAAATGGAGGACACCGTCAGAAATCTCACATTTTCTACTGCAGTGTCTCAAAGAAAGAAAGAAAGAAAAAAGGACCACATTCTAACCTTAGCTTCCTTCCGTTGCTCGTCCCGGGACTTCTCAGCCAGTTGCAGCTCCTCTCGATGCTGTTGAATTTTCTGTTCATACTGAAAAGTAACAAAAATAACGGAAAAATTCAGTTCATTTCCAACATAATCGAAAATGAGAATTTCTTCATTGTTACTAACCTCTTCCTTTTCACGCTTAAGTCTGTTTATTTCTTCCTGCAAAGTCGCTTGTTTTTCAGCAGATTCACGGCGAAGCTCTTCCAACGCCTGTAGAGATGCAAATGAGCGGCAATTTACGCGCCTGTTATTTATATGGCTACAAACATTACAAAAGTAACATTAATTATGTATAACAAGTCAAAATAAGCAAAATAAAAAGGCTAGTTAGCAAAACAATATAAAACACTTCCAAGTTGTTTTTGTGATGCGAAACATATTGTTAACACCATTTTGAACTGAAATTATTTAAAGCTTGGCTACAAAAGCTAACAGACAGTGAATTCCAACAGCATTCTCGGGATTACCAATTTAAATTAAAATAAGGAAGAAGACTAGGGAATTTAAGGAAGAAAGATACACATTGAAGATAGAACGACAGAAACCATGTACAAGAAATAATGAACAAAAATTGAAAAAAAGAAATTGAGCAAAGAAAAAGCCTGATTGAAAAAAAGGCTTTTGCCAATTTCATTTTGCGATTTGATGCATCTCAGGTGATAAACAATGCGGCATTTAAGCATTTCGCCGAATATTCACCAGCTCGCCCAGGGCCCAAACTGAAGGCCTAAATAAGCAAAGAGTATAACTGCGCAAAAAGAAAAGAAAAATTGCTCAAAATCCACTAAGATTTTGAGAAAAATAATAATGAAATAAATATACCTGATCACGCCGAGTATTCGCCGAACGGGAATCGCTCGACGCCATTTTCCCACCAGCCCTGTAATCCAAATTGAACAGAAACAAAACCAACTCTTAGCATTTAAGTTGTATGACCCTAGGAGTTATACGAAGAAAAAATTGCCTCCGACCACAAGTTAATGAAAAAAGGTTAGGAAGAAGTCAAAACATGGGTATACTCACCATAAAAAATGCAATTTGTTCAGACTTCTTCTACATTTGTTTTGCTTCAGTGAATAAATTGAGTTTTACTATTTCGTTTTGCTTTCCTATCTCGACTAGCTTGATGAATAATTCTAGTTGGCCATGGTATTTTGCATTCTGAGAGTTCCGGTTTGTCGGATTACAATATGGACACTCTCACTTCTCAGTTTTCTCGAAGAAAATAATTAACCAAAAAGCACATTAAGTGGTTTCGGCAATTAGCTTTCTAGAAATTTCTGTTTGTAATGAATAATATCCGATCGGTATTGAAAATTGTGAGCAACTTGATTTAAACATCAAATTAATCAGTAATGGATGAATACAAATGGATGTCCAAGTCGTTGCTTGGCGACAATGATAACAAACATAATAACAGTGACACCATTAGCAAGTAAGAGAGGAAATGGATGCGTATTAGCAAAAAAACCATAACTGATTCAATTAAACGATTCAAAAGATTAAGCACTATTTTCATCGCTTGTGGGATTAAATATAGTATCCCATTACAAAAGCAATGAGTCCATTAGTGAGGAATTTTTATAACAAACCTGAAGAAGAAAAAATCGTGTCAAAAATTAAAAAGAGTTTGCACAGTTTTGCTTGTCTTAAGTCGGCAAAACTTGCGCAAATAATAGCAAAGCAGTACTCTTTTTCTCATCTTTTTTTCAACTGACTAAAGCAAACCTTAGTTCGACCGGCTGACAATTTGTAACTCAGTGATTAAATTAATGATTTAATGTACAGAATTGTAATGTTACAACTGTAAGTGTCATTAGAACTAAGTCTGTGCGACTTTATTTTGCTTGGATATCATTTTGTCATACTCAGTCATGGTGATAGTTCTGCAAACTTTTAGATATACAGTGGAACCCCGGCTTACGACCACCCCGTTTATAAGACCACCTCGTTATTACGACCATATTCTTTCAAACCAAACGAAACAATCATTGAGTCATTTTATTATTTTGAAGACCCCGTTAATGCGACCACCTCGTTATTACGACCAGGATTTTATGGCCCAACGGTGGTCGCATTAACGGGGTTCCACTGTACAATCAAGCTTTTATTGAGAAAGGGATATCCTCAATACACGGACGCGAGTTTAATAGGCTAACAATGAATCTCTTTCCGTGAAATTTGGCCTTCTACTGCGTAAAACATAAAACTACGAGCCTGAATGCGTCTTCCCCAGATATATTCACCATGGAACCACGGGAACGTCAAAAAGTTGAAAGAAAGTGACAGTTTCTGATTCAGAGTGGCTCTGAAATTTCACGCGTAAAAGATGCGCAGCATGCGGCGAGTTACGCGGGAAAAACAAACTTCAGTTTGTGAATACCTTCTTCCTCCGTAAGTAAAACAAGAAATACCGCGTAACATACATTTCCCGAACGCTGTTTTTCGCGCCGTAATCAAGGACACAATCTTTCACGCAGTAAACAAGAGTTGGTAAAAACTACAAACAAAGAAGGAAAGGGCAACACAAAAAAGGAAGAAAAGTAACCGAGCTTCAGTCAGTGTTCAAACAATCAAGCGCGGCGGTTAAGTATTTGATTGTTATCCAGTGGACAGATATTTATCCAGTGGATCCCGGTGGAGAGCAATATCCAACTTTTGAACAAGTAGTTTCGCGGGTTAGGTCCGGGGTTGATGAGTTGATGTTACAATCAGAAAGAAACAAATTGTTACTTACCCTGCTCTCCTGAAAGGAGCCTGACTATTCCGCGCTCTCCCCACAGGTCTCCTGTGAAGCAGCAAATGACAAAATAACTGCGATCAGTTTAATATTTGTGTGAGTGCGTATAAAGATTTGAAGAGTTTCGGCGCTTCTGACGGATTAACGCAAATTACAACCAACCAGGTTGCGGCCTACTATACAGCCAGAGTAAAACGCAAAAGTTTTTTTCATCTCAAGGCCGAAAATTTTTGGATTAGCATAAAGCCAAAAAATGAACAAAACAAGCAGACCGTAGTTTTCGTCCATGAGTTCACCGTGTTCCGTTTCCTATAAGGTACGGCTACACCGACGCTACAATCTTGGACAAAATAGACCCCCCCACCCTCCCCCCCCCCTTCACCTTCGCTCGGCTTCATCCTTGATTTCGGGAGGATGGGGTTTGCTGTTCCATATTATTCTGTCCAAGATTGGAGCTCTTCGTTAAAGTGGACACGCGTGGACATTTCACTAGTTATGAATCAACAGTCAGTACCTGTCATTAAATACTAGCATTTGCATGCTCTACGAAGATGAGTTTACATTCGAAAAATGACATTTATCGCCCTGTTAGCGCTATTCCAACAGTGACTGATGAACTGACCTGTACTCTTGATAACGATCCGAAGGTTTGCTCAAGGTTGTCTGGCGATCTCCAGCTCTCGGGGAACGAGGAGGCTGCGGTGAGGAGCTTCTAAGGCAAATTTGAACCAAGTGTCAATAAAATCTCACAACGGATACTGGGTTAACTCGACCATAATAATTGATTTCCGTGAGTAAGAACACCATTCTTATCCGTTTCTTACCATCAAACCCAATCCCTTACCCTTTAATAACTGCGCTAATCTAGATCAAAACATTTGCCAACAAGACCGTTCAAATAGCTTTGAACTTGAAATAGAAATAAACAGCAATCTTATTACCTACCCGACACTTTTCTTAGCTGTTCGGGCGACACTAAAGGGGGAAAAAAGCAACAACGGTTAACGCAGAAATGTTCGCTTTATTACTATTGTGACTTACAACAAGTACACCAACGTCTGTGCTTCTATCGCGCAAGGTGACCTTTTATACGAGCGACCAGGATACAACCTTTTACGATACGGTATTTCTTGTCTGTAAAATGACCAACTGCTTATAAACCATAAACTGAATATCAGGCCTTCCTTAGGGGTTAGGGGAGAGGACCCCCCACCCCCTGAACTTGGTCTATAATTTTACGACTGATTCCTTATCGTCTCGCTCCAAGTTGCGTAATGAGATGTCCTTTATACACATTTCTTTAAAAACGTAGAAAAGACGCCAGAAGGCATTTCATGATGGAGAAAAACAGGCTTTACTTTCCGTATAACTCGGTCCAAATGAAACCTTTTAACTCCTCCACCTCCTTTGTCCTGGAGCTCCCGATCCCCGCCAAAATCATTAAACGTTTCCCGCAATTGGCAAACTCTTCCTTGGCTTAAACTGTTGAGAGCCGACTGACGAGAGATTAAACTGACGCTCTGTTCGACTGTCTAAAGCTACATGATCATATCGACTAGCTTATACTCTCACTCAGGTTTGCACAAAACATGCTCTAATTTCACAAAAAATATTCATAAAGATTGACCTTCCTCAACCTGTGACCAGAAAACTCAATGACTCATGCCCTTGCTTGAATTTGCCTAAATAACACATTCCTCCGGTACAACCTTTCGTAGCGACTATAACGCAACAGTCCAGTTTTCCGAATAGAGATCCAGAATTAACGCAAAATACAAGCAATTTCTGCGAGTCTTCCTTAGGCTTGCGGTAAGCTTTCCCTAAAATTTTGCTAAAGAAAGAATATCTTCTTAACAAAATTTGTGCAGGATTTCAATAAAGACACAACACTGAGAGTATCACGTACAAGCAAAATTAATCACTTACTCAAGAGCAAAAACGAGTAGGGATTATCCACGCATGGCGAGATTTTGACGCAGAATAACATACTGTCACGTTACCTGTTCTCAAGTTCACCTGTTTATACCTGATTAAAACTCGCTGCAATCCACTTTTTTCCCATTTGTACCATTAAGAGAGCTCAAAACTTACTCTAGAGACGTCTTGCGTGAGCCGCTCGCGGCACCCCCTGATCCCTCACTCGAACTATTAAGTTTCTCCACAGGAGTCAACTCTACACCAGAATCCGACGGAGTTCTTTTCTTCTCATCAATAATGAGCCCATCTGAGGATGAACGCTTGTGTTTTGATGTAACAGGACTGCTGGCGGGGCGAGGAAACACTTTGGATAAATTCAAAGAAGAACCTTTATCTGAATCACCAGTTCCCGGCGACTCAGAACCCACATTCTGTAAAGAAAGGCAAAAAATGCGCTGTCATCCTCTCAATACACAGTGCCGCATGCAATAAATTCCTGTCGGTTTTTGTTGAATTTTTGAGAGTCTCGAGGATCTTTTAATGAACCACATAAAAGAGAAGCGCAGGCTTGAATTGAGGCGATGTTTATCATCAAGCAAAGATTTTATTTCCCTTACATGACGTAAATATGCGAGATTAAATTACTGCTGCACTTTCAAGATACTGAGCTGAGATATACTCACGAAAAAGCCAAACCACCCTCCAATCACAATTACGAACGATGTTTTTTTTTATACGTGAACGAAAAATTTGAACGTCCATTGAATCAGAAGCCGCATCAGTGCAAGACTGCGACCAATGGATCATGGACTCTATAAGTAACCTAACGTTAGTAACATCTCCTTAGGAGGAGGATATACAATACGTTGCCTAACGGATAGGTGGTGACGGTGGTGAGAATTGGCAAATTTATCAGCCAGAGGATGTTATTTAACAATTATTCCTCGAGCCCGAATGGGCTCTGAGTCAATAGCCCATGAGGCCGACGGCTGAATGGGCTATTGACTCAGAGGCCATGAGGGCGAGAGGAATAATTGTTTTAGTAAAATCCAACTAGTTAGTCAAAAATATTGAGACAAAACAACTTAAAGTAAGACTTTCATCCTTTTTTGCCGCCAAAAATCCGGCGCTTTTCGCTACTGGTGGGCTATAACATATAGCCTAGTAGTAGTTCAACCAATCAGAACGCAGCATTGATAATAGACAACTAGTTGGATTTTACTAAATTGATATATCCCTGAATTCTCTTATTTAACATTCAATAAAATGTATAGCAGTCACAAAGGAGAATTACTTATCAGATCTTAGGAGTAAAAGGGTCAAGTAAGATATGAGAGGTAATGCAGTGAGAGTAGATGTCAATCTTTGATACTTTGGTATATATTTGGATTTGCCCCAACGAAAGCCCGCTTTATTCGCAACAACAATAAAAACAAACAGAGCAGAGGAAAATATAAAATAAATCAAAAGAAGTACCTTGTCTTGTATTTTCTCAAGATCTGGCTCCGATTTAATCGATACTGAACTTGACCGTACACTGAGGGGCACTTCATTGTCTACTGCTGTGTTAATAGCTACGCCTCCTACAATTCTCGTCTCCGATTTAGATTTCCTGCTTTGCTTGAACCTCTCGACTTTAGCCGCAAGCTTAGACGCAGAACTCTTGGAGTTCTTTTCGCTGTCTGATACAAGCTCAGCTGTGGATTTGACTGTGGATTTGGAACTGTCTCTCTCCTGGCCTAAAAGAATTTTAAAAAAAGCGTTTTAATGAATTCTTTATCTAAGCGGTTATGAGGAGTGACCATTACGAATTCAACAATACGGTACTGTTTATTAAATAAAAGAGAGAAAAAAAGGCTCACAGGAATCAACACTTCGCAAACTTTCATCAAACATTCGACACTACAATGTTTCAGGAACTCTCTTCGCGGTGTTTAACATGAAATATATGTATCTTGTGTTCGACAGGTTACATAAGAACACATAATTCTAACAAAAGTGTTAACTACACAACAAAACGATCACCAAGGAAATGGGGCAGAAGGCAGGCAGCGGTCCCGGCCGGCCAGCTCTCCGTGACTACTTACCATTGTCTGTTTCCTCAGTTTCACTGTCAGCCTCTTCACTATCGCTATCGTCATTTGAATCCTGCTGATCCGTGTTACCAGCTATAATCCCTTCTTTTAACTCATTCTTTAACCACGTCGGAGCCTACAGGAAAAAAAAGACAGCAGGCTACACTCCCACATCACATCAGTTTTCACTTAGATACAATCAGAGACAAAACAAACAAGCTAGACCCTCTCTCCCTCCCCAAACCAAAATTGGCCAGTTTGGTAATTCCCACATGGAGCACGAGTGACGGCACAACATCATTTAAGCCGGGTGGGGAAGGGAAGGCTTGCTTTTTCCTTTTAGAAGTGTATAGTGTTGGAAGAAAGCGCGAAATGCCCGTTGACCTCACGAAAATGTTCCACAAATTCTGTCGCCGATAGTAGCAAAGAAATAGAGGGGGGGGGGGGGTGGGTATGCAGTATGCAGGGAAAGTTTAATGCGTACTCACCCATCCGCACTGTTACTTCCTACTAGTTCCGGTTGTGACACACCTTCCTGTACCCCATCCTTTCTTTTCTTGTAAGACTGAGGCATTGAGAATCCCTCCTGCATTCCATCTTTCCTGCCACGTTCAAACCTGGTGGAACTACTTGAGAGTTCTAGAATGCCATCTCGGCGCTTCTTGGCATCTTTTGGAAGAGAGGTCTGGCTTCCGGAGTTGTGATCGCTTTTACTCCTGTAAAATTCAAGAAAAAAATTCCTAAATCTTTCAGTTCTCCTTGGTTTTCTATCTAGCATTACATTGAGTTAAAATTAAATGCTCTTTTGCTTTCTTTCCACAAAAACACTGTCGAGAGAAGGCTTAAAAACATCGATGATCATCGTAGTTAAAGACGTAACTTTTCCAGCTGCGAAAAGAAAGCCTGGAATCGAACCCTGACTTCTGCAATACCGGTGCAGTACTCCCACCACCTGAGCTGCCCAGCTAACTAGGAGTTCGTCAGTCAGAGACTAGGCTTTGTTTTCAACTGAATTTTTTTGGTGTGCATTGCAGTCGAAACTATAGTACTAATCCTCATACCCCGTGCGTTTACAAACAGCCACTAGGGCTCATCAAGGAGGAGGAGCTCGAGGTCATCCCTATAGATATAAGATACGTTTATCACAGTGTGGTCCAAAGAAAATGAAGTAGAGTACTACATTTTGACCACATGAGGGAAGGGAATGGCTCTTGAGATTCTTTTCAAGAACTTAGCATCCTCAGTTTCACTGTCAGCCTCTTCACTATCGCTATCGTCATTTGAATCCTGCTGATCCGTGTTACCAGCTATAATCCCTTCTTTTAACTCATTCTTTAACCACGTCGGAGCCTACAGGAAAAAAAAGACCAGGGTGCAAAGAAAATCATTTTTACAGCTTGCCATTCGGGCAAGCTGAAGCTAGCATTTACTAGCCCAGATGTCATTTCAACTAGCCCAAAAAACTTTTTGACTTTCAGAATTGATTTCATAGTTCTTCTGTTATTCAAATTCCTCAAAAAACATCACTTGCCCGTCGGGCAAGTTAAAAACAGAATACACTAGCCCGATAGGAAAATCCACTAGCCCCGGGCTATCGGACACTACTTTCTTTGCACGCTGAAGACACTCACAACTTTTAGTATAACCTGTCCCCCACCTCGCTCAAAAAAACTCAGGATTTCAAACTATGTTTTGCCTGCATTACAAAACTCTTTTCGTAGAGGAGGTATGTATTTATTTTTGATTCCTACCTCTCCTAAGGTGGTTTCCAACTCGGAGGAGCTCGATCCCATGGAGGAGTCCAACGCAGGCGCCCGCGGACCTCCAATCGTACTGTAAGGAACAAACAAAATTGTCTTGTTAACTCAGCATCATTTTATTACGTTCAGTGTAAAATCCGAAAATAAAGCTCTAGTAGAATCTGCATTACTTTGATTTATTTCTGAGCATTAGTCTCGTACGAAGCGGTTGTTTTTGTCCAGGTCACTTCTTCGAAAAGTGCGTGAAAAAACTGATTACAACTCTTAGAGTCTGCTAGAAAGAAAGGGTGCGGGATCATTCAGCTTTGAAGCAGCACTTGCAACTCTGATAAGGACTGAACTTTTGAAGGGGATTCGGCTTGAACATGGATTCCGCATAAGGCTGGTTTTCGCTTGCGACGGAGTTGGGAGTCGTAATATGACCTTGCATTGAAAATCAAAAATCAAAGTCGTTAGCGGATTTATGAGCGCGACGGAAGAATCAGAACGTTTCCATTTTCTTTCTACCCCGCGTAGGAATACCTCGCAGTTATGATCTAGTGAGAACCAGATGGTAGTAGACGGAAGCAGAAGGATAAACCAATCACAAAGCTTAATCTCCTGCTTTGTAATTGGTTTAGTTCTACCGCTTCTGATTGTGACTCCGACAGCCTTGATTTCACTAGATCGTGGGCGACGTAGTCGTAAGAGGAATCAAACGCTGTTTTAACTAGATTACAACACCCTGCCCTTCTTTTTAAACACTGACTCTAATTCCGTCGCTAGTAAAAACCAGCCTTAGAGTGGTTTATTGATGTTTCAATTAACTTGGATTTTGTTTAGTCTTACTCTGTGGCTGGCAAAAGACATTTCCGCCACTCATTCACTCAAACAGTAATGAGACCAAAACCAAGCGTAACTTGCGCTTTCCCTCGCCTGCACCTACTACTGTTCTGAACTGATTAGATATCGATTGTACCGTTAGGGCTGACATAATCGGTTGCTTTGCTTTCAAGTAAAGAAGCTTTTTGTGTCTAAAAAAATTACTTTTCAAGACTGTTTGGTTTTGCGTTTCTATAAACCTCTGGAACTTGCTTAAAGTATCCTCAGTTTCACTGTCAGCCTCTTCACTATCGCTATCGTCATTTGAATCCTGCTGATCCGTGTTACCAGCTATAATCCCTTCTTTTAACTCATTCTTTAACCACGTCGGAGCCTACAGGAAAAAAAAGACACTCACAACTTTTAGTATAACCTGTCCCCCACCTCGCTCAAAAAAACTCAGGATTTCAAACCATGTTTTGCCTGCATTACAAAACTCTTTTCGTAGAGGAGGTATGTATTTATTTTTGATTCCTACCTCTCCTAAGGTGGTTTCCAACTCGGAGGAGCTCGATCCCATGGAGGAGTCCAACCCAGGCGCCCGCGGACCTCCAATCGTACTGTAAGGAACAAACAAAATTGTCTTGTTAACTCAGCATCATTTTATTACGTTCAGAGTAAAATCCGAAAATAAAGCTCTAGCAGAATCTGTATTACTTTGATTTATTTCTGAGCATTAGTCTCGTAGGAAGCGGTTGTTTTTGTCCAGGTCACTTCTTCGAAAAGTGCGTGAAAAAACTGATTACAACTCTAAGAATCTGCTAGAAAGAAAGGGTGCGGGATCATTCAGCTTTGAAGCAGCACTTGCGACACTGATCAGGACTGAACTTTTGAAGGGGATTCGGCTTGAAGATGGATTCCGCATAAGGCTGGTTTTCGCTTGCGACGGAGTTGGGAGTCGTAATATGACCTTGCATTGAAAATCAAAAATCAAAGTCGTCAGCGGATTTATGAGCGCCACGGAAGAATCAGAACGTTTCCATTTTCTTTCTACTCCGCTTAGGACTACCTCGCAGTTATGATCTAGTGAGAACCGGATGGTCGTAGACGGAAGCAGAAGGATAAACCAATCACAAAGCTTAATCTCCTGCTTTGTGATTGGTTTAGTTCTACCGCTTCTGATTGTAACTCCGACAGCCTTGTTTTCACTAGATCGTAGGCGACGTAGTCGTAAGAGGAATCAAACGCTGTTTTAACTAGATTACAATACCCTGCGCTTCTTTTTAAACACTGACTCTAATTCCGTCGCTAGTAAAAAACCAGTCTGAGAGTGGTTTATTGATGTTTCAATTAACTTGTATTTTGTTTAGTCTTACTCTGTGATTGGCAAAAAACATTTCCGCCACTTATTCACTCAAACGGTAATGAGACCAAAACCAAGCGTAACTTGCGCTTTCCCTCGCCTGCACCTACTACTGTTCTGAATTGATTAGATATCGATTGTACCGTTAGGGCTGACATAATCGGTTGCTTTGCTTTCAAGTAAAGAAGCTTTTTGTGTCTAAAAAAATTATTTGACTGTTTGGTTTTGCGTTTCTATAAACGTCTGGAACTTGCTTAAAGTCTCACGCCAAATCTCAATATTTTCCCGCGCTTCAAGGCAGCCTCAAGGCTTATAGATCTGATTGGATGATTGAATCACCGACCTCCTCTGTGATTGGCTACAACTATCATACGAAGGACACCTACCCGTCAGACAGCACAGTTTGCTTGGACAGCCTTCTCTCACTGGCTTTTTTCTGCGATCTTTTCTTGGACCGTCTTCTAATAGGAGCCGGTGCTGTGGTTTCTATTTGTACGAACACGTTCACGCCATAACCATTGACATCAAGCAGGTAAACAGGAAATTCTCGGTCACTATCTGCTCCGTACATACTGTAGGAATCCCAGTGAAAAAGGCGAGTAGGAGAGGAGACTGTTTCATTGTCACTGATTCGTAGAAACCCTACATATGATTGGTCATTCATTTGCCCTCGGCGAGAACTCATTCTGATGTAATTAACTGACGTATTTTCCTTTGATCCGCAGTCGCTCCGTTCCGCGTCGGAGAAAACACTGAAATGAGAATGGAGTTTACTAGTTAAACAACCACTAACTTCCAGTCATAAGATCATTTATGTTAGAAGGATACCTACAATTAGATCATGTTTTCATCTTATTTCCTGAGGGAGATTCTTGTCTTCCCGTTCAGAAACTACACTCCCATTAGCCTTCGTAGCAGGCGCTTGAAAGTAGTGGGCGCAAGAAAGATCGCACGCCCGTTTTTTCTTGCGCCCACTACTTCCAAGCGCCCGCTACGCAGGCTACACTCCCACATCACACCAGTTTTCACTTAGATACAATTAGAGACAAAACAAACTATCTAGACCCTCCCCTCCCCAAACCAAAATTGGCCTGTTTGTTAATTCGCACAGGCAGCACGAGTAACGGCACAACATTATTTAAGCCGGGTGGGGAAGGGAAGGTTTGCTTTTTCCTTTTAGAAGTGTATAGTGTTGGAAGAAAGTGGGAAATGCCCGTTGACCTCACGAAAACGTTCCACAAATTCTGTCGCCGATTGTAGCAAAGAAATAGAAGGGGGAGGGGGGTATGCAGTATGCAGGGAAAGTTTTTTGCGCACTCACCCATCCGCACTGTTACTTCCTACTAGTTCCGGTTGTGAGACACCTTCCTGTACCCCATCCTTTCTTTTCTTGTAAGACTGAGGCATTGAGAATCCCTCCTGCATTCCATCTTTCCTGCCACGTTCAAACCTGGTGGAACTACTGGAGAGTTCTAGAATGCCATCTCGGCGCTTCTTGGCGTCTTTTGGAAGAGAGGTCTGGCTTCCGGAGTTATGATCGCTTTTACTCCTGTACAATTCAAGAAAAAAATTCCTCAATCTTTCAGTTCTTCTTGGTTTTCTATCTAGCATTACATTGAGTTAAAATTAAATGCTCTTTTGCTTTCTTTCCACAAAAACACTGTCGAGAGAAGGCTTAAAAAACATAGATGGTCAACGTTTCCAGTAGTCTGCTACACAGCCGTTTTTAGTTTCGTCACGCAATGCTCCTCCCCACAAAGCGAGCGTTGCGTGACGACACTAAAAACGGCTGTGTAGCAGACTACGTTTCCAGTTGCGAAAAAAAGCCTGGAATCGAACCCTGACTTCTGCGATACCGGTGCAGTACTCCCACCAACTGAGCTGCCAAGCTAACTAGGAGATCGTCAGTCAGAGACTAGCCTTTGTTTTCAACTGAATTTTGTTGGTGTGCATTGCAGTCGAAACTATAGTACTAATCCTCATACCCCGTGCGTTTACAAACAGCCATTAAGGCTCATCAAGGAGGAGGAGCACAAGGTCATCTCTATAGATATAAGATACGTTTATCACAGTGTGGTCCAAAGAAAATGAAGTAGAGTACTACATTTTGACCACATGAGGGAAGGGAATGGCTCTTGAGATTCTTTTCAAGAACTTAGCTAAGAACACCCCAAAGGAGGCTTGTGTTGCGGTCGGTCGGCCTCCTTACCCTGGGGACAGCTCCACACTATCAGCACTACCAATACTCATGCTTCCACTTGGATTTCTCCTGTGTCTTTTGTTGTTACCACTTTCAGTATCTGTCTTGTCTCCGCTTTCACTCTGGGGACGTCGGCTATCTGTGGGTCTCGCCCCCCAGAAAAACAGATCATTTTCATTTGTTCCAGCTACTGTGAAACCATTTCCGCAGAAAACCACCTACAGAAAAAAAGAATTCAGTGAGCTAGTAAGCCTGTGGGATACGTTTAACAAGTAGTTTATTAAGTAAATGCACAAATAACCGCTGATTGGCTGGCTCATTGAAAGCTTTAGCGCTAGGGTTCTAAGATTCTTGGCCGGAACAACACTCAGAACTAAAAAAACTGATGAAGGTGCTGCTTTTGTTCCACGGTTAGTTCTGAGGTCGTCTAGTAAGAACGAAAAACCAAGGCCGCGTCTCACAACACTTTCACTATCTGTCTACCAAAGGACGTAACTGAACCACTTTTTATGTACATCTACATATTAAATGCTTTTCAACGTAACACCGTGTAGTTGAAAAGCTGTTTCATTACGGTTCGTAGCATTTTTGTCACATTTGTGTCAACCTTTTCTTCTTAATTACTCAGTTTTTTAATAGAGGTTACGTATCTACATTTTATTATACACTATGAATATTTGTATAAATATCGACGTATAGACTCTTTTTGGCTATCTCGCCTTTTGGACAGCCGTTATCGGTGACCAAACTTATTGTTAGTTCCTTAGTTAGTCTAAAGCTCTAATCGTCGGAGCTCGATACACTGCATTCGATCGAGGAGTACGTTCCCGGTTTTTTTTGTCCCACTGGGTTTTTTATTCCGGGTTTTCGTACCGGGTAGTGTATCATTCCTTTGATTCTACTTTTTGTCACGTTCCATATTACTTAAATGTTCGTTTATGTTGAAATTATATTATTCTGTAATTTTTTACATTACTTCAAGAGCATTTGTATTGTTGAACTGTATTGCTAAGATATCTTGTCAATAAAGCACACGCTGGTCCATTGTGTCCATTAGGCACCCAGCAAGAGTCACACTCCATATATGTCGTTGTGTTTTCATTCGCGATTTGCGCGTTGTGCGAAGGGTAGTAATGAAACTACATATCATACATATACATATACATACACACATCTACATATACTAGTGACGTAATTATCTCAAGCTACCATGGGTCAAAGGAGTGAGTAGGGAGGGGAGGGAAGGGAGTGAAGAGAGGGCACCTGACATGTTCCACCTATCCATCCCCTACGGGCTAATCTGTGCCTAGTCAAGTTGGTAAAAAATAAAATAAATAAATTGGCCTACATACAGTTTTATAAATGTGTTTGGCATGATATGTAGGAGCATGTGCTGTATTTGTTACATCCTTCTTAAGTTTCCTTCTCGTAGTAGCCACCGCGTGCGGTGCGTATTTTAGCGCGAAATTTTTGTATTTGTGTAAAGTTGGTGTCCTAGAAGCCCGGGATAACTTTTTTGGTAGCTGACATGTCTCATGGGAACAAACGGTCATTCCCGAGGTAAATAGACGCTATTCCGCGGAAAAAGGCTCTTACTAACCGCAAAATAATATTGTTGTCTTACCATAGTGGTCTTGTCTTCTAACGCTTTGACAATTGCAGGAACATCACGTGGTTTACAGTTACCACAAGCCAGTTGTCCGAGTGAGTTATCACCAAATGTGTAGACCAGTCCTGGCTCTACAATCACCGCACTGTGATATGGACCCAGCGATACGTCTAATACACGATGCTTGGATAACACTTTGACAGCTGTTGGAACGTTTTTACCGTCGACTTGAACCTAAGGTGAAACGTCAAGGTCACGACGCTATATCAGGTGATCATTTCCTATAACTCTCGCCGGGCCAAGCTGCTTGTAACCTGTTTCAGGTGTTCAGATTGTGAAGAGCGGAGAGAAAGGGGCGTAATTGTGGTCGTTTTGCGTGAAAGTCGATTCCCCCGAAGTTGCTTCGCCCGGAACTAAGTCGATTCGCCCAATGACAAGCAGCACTCTACAACACGGCTTATCAGAGATGTTTTGGATTCTTCCACCCCCTCTTTCCACCGTCCCCACAATCTGAACGACTGGAAGCCTTCTTAAATTCAACCTTGATTAACTGTAAACAGTCATATGAGTTGTTAAAGCCCTGGATTGGCGCTTGACGCCCATCAAACAACTCAGCCCCATTTCATCATTCATAACGTCAACTAAAACTTCCATAAAATCCTTTATCGAGTAAATTATTGTCAATGTCAACAACCACAATTAAAATTAACCTCTTTTAGTCACAGTGATCCAAACAGGTACACAATAAAAATGACGTCAGTGAATGAATATGTACCTTATTTTTAAAAGGTTTGAAGCCAAGAGTCATTTCATAAATTTAGATGGAATATGATATTACGGATGAGAAGAAGAAGAAATTTTATTAACAACAATGCTAACTATTAAAATCCTATTTACAATTAATTCGCTTTAAAAAAAAAAAAAAACTATTCATTCAAAAACACTAATTACCATTCCTGTTCAATTAAAAAACAATTAATTTAAGTTAAAAAAAATTAAATTAAAGAAAGAAAAATTTTTTCAATTAAAAACATTTCATTTCAATAATAAAAAAAAACTGTCAACCTCTAAAATTCAAAAGTTTCTTTCAACTGCTAAAAACAAAATGATGAGTGTATTGCTGAAGAGTGAGTGTAGTCCTCCTATTCAGGTCTCAAGCGGAAGATGATATTCCACCTATTTATTAATGTACCTTATTCAGCAAATTTTTCATCTGCATCAAAAATCCCTGCCGGTTGTTCAGCCCAAGCTTGTTGTTTGCATTGCTGTATAATTCAAAAAGAAGAAGAAAAATGGCATTACTTTTGGGAAACTTTCAGGGTAAAACAAAACATAGGTTCATTCTTGAGTAAAATTAAATAAATTTACCTGCCACATGCAAGCAGCGCCCCTGAATCAGTGATAAACATGGTGCCATCATATCCACACTTGACTTGTTTTATGGACACAGTCTCGTCAATAGCAGTCACCTCTGTGGGGACACATCTAATACACAACAACACTGATCAGTTTTAAAACATCTGATCTCTTATCTCACCAAAATAAATCTAGTGGGGGAGGGGGGGGTCGCTGTTGGGCATCAATTCTATACACTTCTCACTGTTGATTTGCCCTCGAACATTCTGTGACTGTTGTGGTCACTTTCATGGGCACAAAATTCTATCATAATTTGTTACACAAAAAGTTCTACAGTCGACTCTTTCTTAACGGACTACCCTATAAGACAGACACCTCTGTAAAGCGAACACCTGGAGTTGGTCCCTGTCTTTCTTTACCTCCTTTATTTGACTCTCTATAAGACCAACATATCTTGAACACAGACACTCAATGCCCATCCCAGAGGTGTCCGTCTTAAAGGAAGTTGACTCTATAACATTACAGTCCCTCACGTCTCTAACATTAGCCAACTTTGGCTGCTTCACTCAGTGGCTAGCCACTGTAATGATGAAGATACATCCAGATTTGCATAAATGGTAAATTTTGCAGCTGCATTCAAATCTGGACATAAGTGGAATAACGAAGACCAGAATGTTACCTCTTAGACTAAATAAGTAAGCCTTTCTCTGCTGTCTGCATTTGACTTACCGGTTTTCTTCATCCCCCAATCCCAATCTGCCATCGCCACCGGAACCCCAAGAGAACACCACACCTTCACTGGTAACAACTGCGACATGGGCGGAACCACAGCTCACTGAAGTCACATCGAAACTTAACAATGCCTCAATCAACTTTGGCTTAGTTGAGTTGATCCAGTCGCCATGCCCTAGGCAGCCCAAGTCACCCAGGCCACAGGTCATGACAATACCATTGTCTGTGACAAACACAGTGAAGTTATCTCCACAGCAAACACTGTAGACAAATCAAAACAAAACGTCTGTTGAGTTACAGTCTTTTGGTTAAAATTGGACTGGAATCCCTTAATCAGTTAAACAAAATATCCCATTAATTCCTGGAAATTTTGCCGAAAGCAAAGTTTGAAGCAAGTAGAGCTGTTTCCTCACAATCCACCCAAAAAGAACCAAAACTAGAGAAAACATTGTTTACACAACAACGCTATCCTGGCTTTTTGTCTGAGATGTTATTACAGCTTTCAGGCATGCACGGAAGGCAAAATTCTGAGATTCATTTTTTCATTGGAATTTTCTGATCAACTTTACAAGAGGTTTAATTTTGGGTTTTCCTCTGGCCTGTTTTCAAGATAGAATTGTGCTAATTCAGGTACCGTTTGAAAGATCTCCACCCCCTGCAAAAGTTAGTTAAAGGTTATGTATGTCTTCTTTAACTCATGACATCACAAGTGGTACAATGGACGATAATCTCCAAGGCTGTTTAGGAGTAGTTTATCAAGCTAACCCTTTACATTATAGAAATGTCAGTTGAAAACATAAACCAGTTTCAAAAAATGAAACTGATTTGAAAATTGAACCACAACATCAACACCTTCCCTTTCACTGTAACAGCAAAAAGTACCAAAAGAACAGCTGCCTAGTTAGCTCAGTTGGGAGAGTGCCAGTCTGCTGAGCGGGAGGTTGCCGGTTCAAACCTCAGCCGGACAAACACTCAGGGTCTTTAAATAACTGAGAAGAAAGTGTTGCCTTTGTAAATGACATCTGCAATGGTTAGACTTTCTAGTCTTCTCAGATAAGGATGAAAAACAACCATAGGTCCCATCTCACAGCACTTTCACTGATTTGTTCTTGTGGGGTATAAAAGAACCCACATCACTATTAGAAAAGAGTAAGGCTCGTAGACCCCAGTGGTGTGGCCAACCCTCACAGGTTGTGGGATTGGGTAGGGATGGCACCTCGCATGGGACCTGAGTCCCGTTGATGCACACTCCCTCTGGGCATAGCAGGCCTGTGTCCAAAAAAGCTGGTAAAAAAAGAATATCACTCTGTGATGACAAATGAATAAATCCTACCTCAAAATAGTTTTAGACTTAAGTGCTTCAACTTGTGTTGGTTTGTCTCGTCTGTTGCTGTCACCATGACCAAGCTGACCACAACAGTTGCTACCCCATGTGTACACTACATGTTCCATTGTCACCATGGTAACATGGGAACTACCAACAGCAACCTTTCAAAAAAGAGATGCGGTGCACAAAATGTATTATCAACTATGTACAATAATGTTACTAATAGAAAAAAACCAAATCTTTTAAGACATTACTGACAGTCCATTGGAATATAAACTGTAACGAACATGAAAGTAATTACTTAAAAGAACACTAGGAGTTGTTTGAAACAATGACATACATGGGCTAGAGGTTAATGAGAGCATTTTACTGGCAGATAAACAAACACGTTGGCTGTAGAATGAACAAGGAATTCAAGAGTACAGCACGAGGTGTGACCAAGTACTGTATGAAGAATTTCCAGTTCACTCTATGCCCATCAAGTGCATTATTTTATTTGCTAGTAAAGCACCGACAAGAAGTCTCTAACCCTCTTAATAATCAATCTGACCGCTCTGCATCACAAAACTAGCAAGGATTTTTAAAAGAACAATGGCAATAAGAGCAAAAAGTACATGTAAAAAACATTTTTTTTCCTAATAATGGCATCTACAAGTAAGTATCATAAAAATATAGGTAAATATTGGGTAAAATTAAGTTCAAATAACGCAGCACTTCCAGAAATTCATACAGAGCATGAAGTTTGAATTGTTGCAGTAGTACCTTCATTCTTACCTCTCTAAGCTGTCCCTTTGCAGGTATCTCAATAGGGCACATGTTAGTGTAAAGCAGGTCCAGGTAATACAAAAGTGTCCTAAAAATGAGAACATACACAGAAATTAATAATAATACAGTAAAAAATACAGGTGCCATTACTAGCATTCTCTACAGGTAATTTTTTGTAGCATTAGCCCAGCATGAAGAGAGGATGAATATTAACACCAACATGGGCCCTCTATATTTCCAAGATTGTTAACATACTGATCTTCTATCATATCCCAAATTCTTGCTCTTATTCAACAGAACAGTTTTGGTTCATATTTTTGACAGTATGATGTCAAAAACCAGCATTAGTTTAATTAGTATATATTTGTCTGCAATTTTTGAAGAAGATCTCCTGACTGATTTGTACCTTCTCTTTGGTTTGTTACTATGATCAATGGAACTACCAAGTTCATCTTCACTGGTGTCTTCAAACCTTTTCATTAGCTAAAAAAAAGTACAAACAGTATTACTAAATGTTACCAACAAAATAGCAATAAATAATAATAAACTTATATTATAAACTTTCAGAGTGTTTCACAAACACACAGATTCATAAATAACATACCTTTGGGAGTCTTTCATTCAATAAATCATCTATTTCTGGTCTCAGATCAGGGTCGTTCTGTAGTATATCCCCAACCTAAAACAATACAAATGTCTCAACCATAATGCATTTTATACTTAACATTAATTAAGTTGAGCAAAATGCACATAATATTATTTTGTTTTAGACTTTGAGACCTAAAAAAATTCAGTCAGAAAGTCCTCATTTATTGTGACATGGAAATAATAAAAAGAAAACTTTAATGCCTAATTATTGTCCTTTGTCCTTTTCCTGTGCACTACAAAAAAGGAAAATTAAAACAAAGAGAAAATATAAGCAGAAAATGGTGATTTGGCTCTGAAGCCTGTTTTTTAGTGTAAACAATCATGCACGTACTTATGTCTAAATTTTGTGTTTCTTTGAAGGTCAGAAGTTTGAAACTCACAGAATTGAGAATGATCAAGTCACCCTCTCTCAGTTCAAACCAAAAATAAACAACTCTTGTTTCTACTGTCTATTTACTTTTTTAGTTAGGTCACACAATTTAACACCTGAAATCATTTCCCACTCTCTCTTCTTGTAACTGCTTCAGTCAACAGATAAAAATTCTCAGCATATCAACAAGTAAGATGAAAATGAGCTGCTTAATTATGCATGCACCAATGATGATTTTTTGAACTAACCAAAACTCTAAATTCCGGACTGTAGTTTCCTCTGATTGGTGCAAACTGACCCTGAAACACAGAAATATGTCATACTATTTTTAGCACATGTTGATGAATTTATAAGCTAGCTATACAATCTTGAGAATTTCACAAGATCAGAGTTTTCTTTTACCTTCATGATTTTGTTGACCAATGCTGGAAGGTTAGAGCCTTCAAATGTTTTCTGTCTGCTGGCCATTTCATAAAGAATACAACCCAATGCCCACATATCACTCTTATGATTGTACTCTTTACCTTCACACTGAAAGACACATACATATAATAAATTAACTAAAAAGAGAAATAATATCATGTTTGTCCTTTGTTTCACTGGCAGCTCGAGAGACAAAGACGGTCCAAGACCTTAACAAAGTTGGTCAATTTTTATTGATGCTTTCAGTAAAGTAAATTAACAGCAGCATTCACAGAAAATTTTGTGGTTCTGAACAGACATTCATTCCCTGTGACTCCTGAGACAAGGATAAAGATTGTGAAAGCATTCCCTATAAAAGGGCTATCAAAATGGCTACCGTAACATTCCGAAAATAAGCCCCGGGGCTAATATTTTTCAAAGGCCCTTTTTGAGGGGCTTATTTTTGGAGGGGCCTATATTCGGAGGGGCTTATGTACGGAGGGAAATTTGCGTTTGAAAATCGGTTGGTCTAGATTGTAGTGGAAAGGAAATTTACTACTTTTGCTTTGTTTTACTTTATATTCGAGGGCAAATTCCAAGTACAAGGCCCCCGGGGGGCTTATATTCGGAGGGGCGATTTAACGGAGGGTTTCTTGCGTTACGATTTTGGGGGGCTTATATTTGGAGGGGCTTATACATGGAGGGGCTTATTTTCGGAATTTTACGGTACTTGCATAGGTAAACCTCTTCATCATCCTTTCATGCTTGCTTAGTATTTTTTAATTCTGATTTGTAAGAAAAGTACATGTAGATGTCTGGTGTACCACTATTAATGGTAGTGTTACTAATAAAATTGAAGCTAAAATAACTTCAGACCAATCTTTATGTCCTACATGTATGCTTTGAAACACATGCAGTAAAATGTTTCTGAGTGAAGGCTCTAGAAATATGAACCACCAGATATGGACTCTCTGTGTATTTTTTAGGGCTTAAAAAACCTTGAAATATTTGGCTTTACCATGGTGGTTGTGGCTCTACGTAAACATGTGTGAATCCTACAAAGTAACCTACCATCTCTGGTGAGATATAGTAGGGTGTTCCCAGCACAGTGTTTGCTTTAGAACCTTCTAGCTGTTTGCTGATACCAAAGTCACCCAGCTTGACCACACCCTCCTTGGTTAAAAAAATGTTGGCAGTCTTCAAATCCCTGGTAGAAGGCAATAACTATTAATATTGGAAGATTCCAGGTTAAATCCAGGACATTTCCACAAAATCTTCTTTTTTTGTTTTGATATACTCATATCAACAAGGTGTAATGCAAAAAATTTTATACTGCTAATTTACCTGTGTAAGATGTTGTTCCCATGAATGTATCTTAAGGCTGAGAGCATCTGTTGGAAAATTATTAAGATCTCTCGTTCCTCCATGTCCTTCTCTAGCCTTGACAGGTATTGAGCAAGAGTTCTGCAATATAAACAATTTTATTCAACAGTCAGTAGCTCCAAATGAGCAGAAAATTATAAATCTTATTATTTAGCACAAAAAAGTTTGGCATATTTAAAACAAATCAGTAGCAGATAAATAGCCATACATGTAATACAATTTCTGTAATCTGACTGACTAACATACATTGTACTCACTATCTACTGCATAATAAATAGTAAGGAGTTGGCATTAACAAAAAACAAAAGCAAGTTCTTCAACAAATTGTTTTTGCAGTGTTTCTCAGAAAAAGATTAATTAATTAATTTATTAAAATGAAGCTTGCCCAGAAAATAAACTGAAAAAGGCATATAAAAGGAACACTATTAATGGAAAGAAAATTTAGTTCTTTGTTTGTGCAAACAAATGATCTCTTCCTGAATTCAAGTTGACTATTTTCATCACAACATAGTACAGAATCAAAGGTAGTATGCTGGTTGGTTTTTGCTAAACACTAATTTTATAAGACTACTCACATAATTTTCTAACATTAAGACATGTACAGTATACTAAGTTTGTACTGAGCTGCAGTGGTCTCATATTTTCTATCCGCTGAGTTTATAACTCCCCCTATTACAGAGTATAAACTGTAAAAAAATACTTGTCGTGGTCAAACTATTCTACAGTTCTGATAATTATTGTCTAAAAATGTCTCAAAATGCATTCAAATGATCCTCTAAATACAATGAGGTACAATATAAAGAGGACTGAAGCAATCACAATTGCCAGGACAGAGGTAACCAAGGCAACCCGAGGTGGGTACAACGTACATGTATGATGGACTTGACTCACCCTCCATCAGCATATTCCATTTCAATCATCAAAGTGCCATCCACCTCAAAACTGTCATAGTAGCTGATGATATTTGGATGCAAACTTAGCTTTGAGAGAACCTTGGCCTGAAAAAATCAAAAGTGAAATCCACAAAATAAAATCACCAGTGTATTCCATGGCAAAAACAAAGAAAATTAACTAGATGGGGAAAGGTCAGTTTAAGTTAGCTGCAGGATCTCTTAGTTATCACGGGCAGAATTACAAACAAATGTACAGTACCTTTGTAGCAATTTCATGGAAAATCAATAATTTTTTTGTAATGGAACTTTTCCAAGTTAGTGCGAGATTCAAGTGATCAAGGGTTTGAATTACCAGTAATTGAATCAACTGTATATAATAAGAGCAACAGTTGCAAAGACAGACCTCATTCATGGCCATTTGCCGCTCAGTTGCTGTCAAATCATGAAGAGAAATCTCCTTAAGAATAACAAGTGAGTCATCATCCTTTTTCCTGTAGAGAACAGCTGCACCATATGCACCTAAAGTAAAAAAAAAAACATGCAGCCAATATGAGAATATTATCATGGCAAATGTTATTCTCACCAAAAAACAAGAGTCCCAGTCATGAGAAGGTTCCATGACAAAAACTAAAGAGTCCTGTAAAAGGAGCTTGAGACCCCTCATATTTCATTCAAATAGGAGAGATGACAAATCTCCTTAAACAACAGCCATTCAAGTTACACTTTGTTTATTTAACCATGTCCCTACAGTTGAGACCTCTATGAGGGCTTTTTAGAGGACTTACAGAGGAATCTAAGGATCTGTTATATAACAAAGTCTAACTTAGGCTGCGGTTCAAGAAATCATTGGACCTCCAGATCTCCTTCCTAGTGGGTTAATTTAAGAAAATAAATGCTTTCCCAGTCTAAACTATATGCTTTATTGAAATTGCTCACGACAAATGGTGTTCAGATAAAAGCGTTGAACAAACTGAAAATGGATTAGAACGCAGTTTTGTTAAACACGGGCTAGACTCTGTTTAAATAAGTGGCCCTAAGAGTTTTGTTCAACTACTTCATAATATTTTAGTTTGGTTATACACCAGAGCCTCCTACACCAAAATTTTGCACAGAGGTACTGGCATATAGCTGTTACATTTAACAGTTAAAATACCTTTTCCAACAGTTCTGATCTTTTCAAAGTTGTTAATATTTGGCTGTGGAACGCCTGACCATCCCCGCATTTTCTCCTGCTTAAAGTAAAGTTCACCTGGGTGAAAGCTGTCACATAAAAAAAGAAAATAAAAAAAAAATGACTTATTGATCTCATGGGAACAAAATATTTCTTTGAAGCTTTTCTTCTTCATTTGCCTCAGAGAAAACACTTTTATGAACCAAACAGACAAAACTGTATGAGCTTACAGAAGTTAAAGTGCTCTACAATTTTCAGTTGGGAAAACATGCACTCTCTGCAAAAAAATTGTCACAGAATTTTCCTGTTATATTTCAGCTTTCAGATCATATTTTTATTCAATTTTTATATAAACATTATAATTATAATTATGCTAATAACAGGCCACTTGTCATGAGGTTTGAATTATACAGAGTAACATAATTTTGTTTGTTTGTTTGTTTGCTTTTAAATGTCTGCTTCTTTATAACCACAGCTTGCATCTTACCTGGACTCATCACCTCTGCTTCTTATATCGGTTCCCATGATTTCTTTTGTCATGCCAACAGGGACCTAAAAAAGTGTCCAAGTAACACAAAATATAACTCTATTGGTAGGGTATACGCATCTACTCTCAGACTACAACACTGTTAACACCAGAGTTATTTTTTGAAGTAACAAGCTTAGACCTTTCATTTCTCCCCTTGCAAAACAAGTATGTTTAAGGTGGCATGACAGCTAAAACTCCTCTGATTTTTGTCCACTCACTTGTTCTCTTTATATTACTTACTTTTTAATGTTTGTAAGTGAATTTTTTTAAAAAAATGTCAAATTAATAAAAATATTGAGAGATAATTTTCAACAATTCAAGAAGGCAAATGAAAACACTTACATGTGTCAATTCTTCTAAAATTTGCAAAATTTCCAAAGCATCAGGGCTCTGAGTGAGTGGACAGGCAAGGAAATCTAACCTGGCTCCAGGAGAATCAACATCTAAACAGAGTTTTACANATTTTTATTCAATTTTTATATAAACATTATAATTATAATTATGCTAATAACAGGCCACTTGTCATGAGGTTTGAATTATACAGAGTAACATAATTTTGTTTGTTTGTTTGTTTGCTTTTAAATGTCTGCTTCTTTATAACCACAGCTTGCATCTTACCTGGACTCATCACCTCTGCTTCTTATATCGGTTCCCATGATTTCTTTTGTCATGCCAACAGGGACCTAAAAAAGTGTCCAAGTAACACAAAATATAACTCTATTGGTAGGGTATACGCATCTACTCTCAGACTACAACACTGTTAACACCAGAGTTATTTTTTGAAGTAACAAGCTTAGACCTTTCATTTCTCCCCTTGCAAAACAAGTATGTTTAAGGTGGCATGACAGCTAAAACTCCTCTGATTTTTGTCCACTCACTTGTTCTCTTTATATTACTTACTTTTTAATGTTTGTAAGTGAATTTTTTTAAAAAAATGTCAAATTAATAAAAATATTGAGAGATAATTTTCAACAATTCAAGAAGGCAAATGAAAACACTTACATGTGTCAATTCTTCTAAAATTTGCAAAATTTCCAAAGCATCAGGGCTCTGAGTGAGTGGACAGGCAAGGAAATCTAACCTGGCTCCAGGAGAATCAACATCTAAACAGAGTTTTACAAGTTCAGTAAAGAAACTTTGAAGTTCATCCACCTCTTTGACAGCATGAAGCAAAACCACCTTTAAAAATAATATAATGAATTTTAGTTTAACTGAAAAATTAAAATGTTAGTTGCTCTACTATGACAATAATCATCTAACGCACTGTGCAATAATTATTAAAGACACCATACTCTTTTATTTGTTTCATTAGAGCATATTTAGCATTACTCCTTTGTCTTGGTTTACCATGAAATTCTGGTTGAGGATAGGCTGACATTCAGTAAATAAACAATAAATAATAAAAGACTTTATTTTATGAGGGCCACACATAACAGTAACTAAACATTACTGATCAACTTGTGGCCGTCAGTGAGTTAAATTCACTCATAGAGACAGCATGCAAAGAAAGTCGTGTCCGATAGCCTGGGGCTAGAGGATTTTACTATCGGGCGTATTGAATTCTGTTCTTAACTTGTCCAACTGGCAGGTGAATTTTTTTAAGGAATTCTAATCAGACAAGAACTGTTATCAACCCTGCTCACCATCGGGCTAGTTAAAATGACTTTTGTTAGTACATGCTAACTGCAGCTTGCCTGAATGGTAAGCTGTACAACTGACTTTCTTTGCACCCTGAAAGAGCTCTTAGCTACATTCCTGACCACTGTAAGTCAAGTAGAGTCCTTGAGGGGGAAGAGGTCACTCCCATATACAAGCTAGAAAGGCATGTGCCACCCAAAAGGGTATGGGTTTTTAGGGTCTTGATCCATACATGTAAATAAGGTATCATCTGTGCTTTTGTGGGCAATTGTTCCTGGTATGATCCTTGGATACAGATAGGGTGCCTTACTGTGTTTGTCTCATCCTCAAATAGGGTCATACATACATACATACATNTCTCAGACTACAACACTGTTAACACCAGAGTTATTTTTTGAAGTAACAAGCTTAGACCTTTCATTTCTCCCCTTGCAAAACAAGTATGTTTAAGGTGGCATGACAGCTAAAACTCCTCTGATTTTTGTCCACTCACTTGTTCTCTTTATATTACTTACTTTTTAATGTTTGTAAGTGAATTTTTTTAAAAAAATGTCAAATTAATAAAAATATTGAGAGATAATTTTCAACAATTCAAGAAGGCAAATGAAAACACTTACATGTGTCAATTCTTCTAAAATTTGCAAAATTTCCAAAGCATCAGGGCTCTGAGTGAGTGGACAGGCAAGGAAATCTAACCTGGCTCCAGGAGAATCAACATCTAAACAGAGTTTTACAAGTTCAGTAAAGAAACTTTGAAGTTCATCCACCTCTTTGACAGCATGAAGCAAAACCACCTTTAAAAATAATATAATGAATTTTAGTTTAACTGAAAAATTAAAATGTTAGTTGCTCTACTATGACAATAATCATCTAACGCACTGTGCAATAATTATTAAAGACACCATACTCTTTTATTTGTTTCATTAGAGCATATTTAGCATTACTCCTTTGTCTTGGTTTACCATGAAATTCTGGTTGAGGATAGGCTGACATTCAGTAAATAAACAATAAATAATAAAAGACTTTATTTTATGAGGGCCACACATAACAGTAACTAAACATTACTGATCAACTTGTGGCCGTCAGTGAGTTAAATTCACTCATAGAGACAGCATGCAAAGAAAGTCGTGTCCGATAGCCTGGGGCTAGAGGATTTTACTATCGGGCGTATTGAATTCTGTTCTTAACTTGTCCAACTGGCAGGTGAATTTTTTTAAGGAATTCTAATCAGACAAGAACTGTTATCAACCCTGCTCACCATCGGGCTAGTTAAAATGACTTTTGTTAGTACATGCTAACTGCAGCTTGCCTGAATGGTAAGCTGTACAACTGACTTTCTTTGCACCCTGAAAGAGCTCTTAGCTACATTCCACTGTAAGTCAAGTAGAGTCCTTGAGGGGGAAGAGGTCACTCCCATATACAAGCTAGAAAGGCATGTGCCACCGAAAAGGGTATGGGTTTTTAGGGTCTTGATCCATACATGTAAATAAGGTATCATCTGTGCTTTTGTGGGCAATTGTTCCTGGTATGATCCTTGGATACAGATAGGGTGCCTTACTGTGTTTGTCTCATCCTCAAATAGGGTCATACATACATACATACATACATGCATATAACCATACATACATACATACATGTTTTTTATTTGGAGTGTTATACAATAAAAAGTATATCAACTATTTCCAAAATTATAACTAAAATTACAAGCAACAAAAATCCTAACCATATGTGGCTAATGAGTTATTAGAGTATTTACTTTTTTGCTGTCTTTTCTTTTTTCAAAGCCTTCGAATACATGTTTTGCTATTAGTTTTTGTATTCTAGCATTTCCACTGGGGGGGTTTATTAGGAACATGAATATTTTGTTAGGTGACATTCTGCTTATTTTTACTCTATATTCTTTTACCAAATTATCAAGTAACAAACATCTTCTTTCCTGGTAAGCAGGGCATATATTTAGAAAATGGTATTCGTCCCCTATTTCTATTTTACAAATTGGGTAACTTCTTTCTTCAGGTTTCTTAAATGGTCTCAAATAACACCCTGTCCCTATGGCTAATTTGTGGTTGCTAAGACACAGTCTTGTTAGAGTTATTCTGTGTAACGTATTGGTGACCTGATGTCTACTAGCTAGGTAATCTTCACATTTGTAATTGTCTGTTGTTTTGAATAACCGCTTGGTTCTCAATTTGTTGCTTTGGTAAGCATCTTTTCTAGTGTCGTTATTTATTTCACTTAGCCATCTTTGTATGTAGTTCGATATCCTTAAGTCGTTGCCTGATCATGTTTACAATTCCTGTCTTCGCATAGTGTGCTTTCATCCAAAATTCTCCTAACCCTATCTGTTCCAATAAGCTTTTGAATTTTTTGCTCCAGAGAGTTTTATTTTCATTCCATTTAATGTCATTGTATGCTATTTAGGATAATTTGTTTTCATTTTTGGTTAAGGTTAACAAGAACTTAAAGTTCCTACATTGGGCTTCAATTCTGATTGGAAACCTTCCTGTCTGAGCCCTGCATGCATTGCATATTATTGCAGTATTTATTATTATCTCCCAGCAACCATGTCATGTTTCAAGACCCTGGGCAGTCCAAACCTCCCCCCCCCCACTCCCCACTCCCCTGTCTCAAGTACATTCTGATTGTGGATTCGTTGACTGTATCAACAGTTATTGCCACCTTTTCCAACATCAAATGTGTACCTAAGCATTCTGTCTTCATTTACCAAGTGTTTCAATTTTTTTCCAATGACTGATTCTGAAGGTTGCTGAATACCAGTCAATCAATAGTGACAGTTTCACTCTGCTGTCAATAATAACATGACGGCTTTTGTTGCTATGCATTTTTACTCTCCATAAATGACACAAAGGATTACAGAGATAAGGACCTCTCTTAATATTATATTGTACCTGCATTTGGGCAATTGCTCCTAAACTATGAGTGTCTCGCATACACACTATGACATTAGTGTCAAATTTAGAGTTAGATGTTTTTGAATTTGCATGAATTTCCATAATAATCTAGTTGCAGAAATTCATCCCAGAAAATTATTGTTCTCATTCTTTTTTATTATAAAAACACCCCAAATAACTAACATCTTTTCAAATTGCAATGCCATTTGGGGTTTGCAAAAGGCTTAACCACAAGTTGGCAGACAAGCTATCAATATAATATGAAATACACATCATTCCTGATCTGTAAAGTCAACACAACAATCTGCTAATCTCATTTACAAAGTTGGCACAAGATTTGCAGCTGCTTGCTACTTAAGTCAATTGGAATTTCAAAATAAGTCTGGAGTGTGGAAGATTTCTTTAGATCGAATTTCAGGTAATTAACACACGAATAAAGAGGCAAATCGAAAATTTTATTCCAGAACGCAAACGTATTTTTTTAAATTAGGATATTGCTACCTTTGACAGAGGTTAACCTTAGAAAACAACAGGATTTTGACATGTTAAGTACAAAACAGTTTATGAAAGTGAAACAAACGCGTTATTTAAGCTTACCTGATCATCGTGCGAACAAAGCACTGTATTACTTCCTTGCCCGTGAACTAGAAATGCGATGCTTTCAGCTTTTCGTCCATTTAGCTTTTGTTGAGCTTGGAGAAGGAGAGACTCCAGTGTTGTATTATCGTAAATGTAGGGTACAAACAAAACTGCTGAGCGAGCAGCAGAGTTAAGAACGGTAGAATGGCGCAATTTGGAGCTTACAAACACAACACGCCATGCTGGAGGAGACACAGCGCTGTTTGAGCGACTGTGGTTTGGAGTTGTAGTTTCTCTCGATTCAGACACCGTACCGCTGTCGACCGCTTCATTCTGATTTTCACCCTCACTTTGTGCATCCTTTGAACTTGAAGCCATTCCTTGCGTTACATCATTTATACTTTACGGTATTAACCAAAGGACTCAAGAAGTTTTGGTGCAGTGTACATCTGTCGGCCCTCATGGCTGAAAGTGTCAAGCTCAAAGATGAATGAAAGACGACACGACAACCTCGATCGACGTGAATGCCAAGAAATTTTTCCTCCTTGAACTACTTCCTCGTCCAGAAAAATTATAGTCTTATTTTTAAGCCATCCTCGTGGGTTGAAATTTGTTGTGAATGAACACTAATTTAGTAGAAAGTGTTCCACTCCAGATCCGGCGCGGGCCTGAAGATAGACAAGATGGCCGGAAACAGTCCGAGATCAATATAGAGAACGGATCGTCGACTCAATTCATCCAAAAATCCAAAAATCGTTGATTGTTTTAAGTTTCTCAGGTACTGGAATAAGCGAAAAGCTTGATAAACTATAAGTTGATGTACTGATGTATGACCCACATGCACCAAAACAAATCTTTTCGCTCCAAGACTACAAGTTCTTTGTAGTCGGAAATATTCGTCACATGCCGAAAATTGTCGTCAGAAGCTCGGAGATTCGCTCTCGGGGGCCCTGTAATTCATGGGGCTCCCTGGGGCGAGTGGGAGAATAATAGGCTGTTCATTGTTTTCAATTTTGTTTTTTGTTTTTGTTTTTTTGTTTTTTCGGTCATAATTGCCGTATACCCTACCACTTGCAACAGCACAAGTTAATTTTTTTTCTGGATATCTCATCGAAACCAAGACTTGTTCATTTTTTTATAGACCCTTCTCAAAACCCCCGCGCGTTGTCCCCAGGGACCTCTCCGTTCTATTACAATGTTTACAATGAGGGTGAGAGAGACTCAGCTCGACTCAGCAGCAAACATACATTTTGGACAGTCTGTTACTGGTGCTATTCCTTTGTTTGTGAACGATTTTTCAAATCAGCAATGACATAGAGTGGATTGTTGCATGAAAACTTCGATAAATGGATCGCATTTGCATGAATAGAGGCCTACTTAAACCTTTGTTTTAGGCGTGAACATAAAAAACCTGCAACTCCGCCTCGACATCGACCGCGGTTAAGATGTCTTCCATCGAACTCAAATCCAAGCGTTGCTAGGATGTTGTTGGAGTTTATGTCGCCTTTCATTAAGCTGCGGGAATTTGCGAAGTCGAAATCTTCGAGTTGTTGATCTGTTTGACATACCGTGATGCTTTCAGTACAAAGTTAAGCATACTCAAGGGATTAACTGGGATAAATAATTCAGGCTCTGTTATGGAAGTTTCACGCGATCACTTGTTCATCAAGCTTAACTTATTTTTATTAGTTATTGGTAAGTAAGTTTTACATGTAGGATGGGAAAAGGGACACATTGATTTTTAGGGGAAGGGGATGAGCTTTTCTTGTTATTCTGTGCAAGGTTGCAGTTATGTTTCAGTCTCAGACTGTAAATTTTATCTTTTGGAGTGTCCATAGAATGAACACATGTACATCCCAGTGACAGTCACAGTAGATGTGCCATCCTGTGGAGAATATGAAAATATAGACACTTCAATTTGTTTCAATGACTTGCGTCAATGATTCTCATTGATGATGATGATGATGATGATGATGTTGATGATGACCACCACGCTGAAGATGATGATAGACTAGAATATTTTGGGGGAATGAGTCAATTTCAGTGATTCGCTGAATAGTTTTATTCAGAAAGTGTTGATTTGATTGTTACAAATGGTGCCAAAATTGATGAATTGACCTAATTTTTATTTATTTCAGCTATACTTCTTGACTGTTCACTTGTTGAAGGTAATGTGATAAGGAAAGGTAATTGAGTTACAGAGCAGGGGCGGATCTAGGGGGAGGGTGCAGGGGGTGTGCACCCCCCCACCCCCCGAGATGACCTGTGGTTTTCTAATACAACTGGGATTCTGCAAAAAAATATAAACTATGTGGTTTATTGGTGTTGAAGTAGAGCAAGAGACGAGTGCACCCCCTCCTAACAAAAAACCTGGATCCGCCCCTGCAGAGGTAGGCTCCATTACCAGCTGCCCTTCGGAAAATGAGCCCGTGCTCCTCTTCTGAACAGTCTCTTCTCAGGGAGGAGCGGGGGGAAATCAAGCCTATTACAGAAGGGGGTTAAAATACTGAAATTGTTTTTGTTTTATAAGTTCATGTCCCCTGTTAACTACAAACAAACAAATTTGATAAGTAATGGTTTGACCCCCTCTTCACTTTAAAATGTTCTCTACCAAGCCTGGTGAGAAATTGTCTTAGTGTCAAATAAAATTGATATTGTTCAATGGAGAAGAGAACAGTTTTAATAGGACAAATACTGGTAACTAGGAGCTTCAAAGTAAAAGCAAGTGGTGGCATTGAACCTTAGTGTCACTTTTAATTTTACTGCAGGGCTCGAAATTGCGACTGATATGGTCGCCAATTCGACTAACATTTTCTCCCTAGCGACCTAAAATTTCTGGTTTGGTTGCCACTTTGGCGACCAGGTATCTCTATGATTTAGATTTAAATTAAAAGATTAAAGTTTAAACAAACATTTCATCTTATCTTGCTTTGCTTTCATGACAAAAATGTGCCAAATCGCATAAACAAAGCCAGTTTACCCCCAAATTTATACCCACTTCTGACCATGATTTTTCAAATAATCAAATCTGTTGGATCGCGCCAAAGGACAGGGCTTCTGATAGGTCGCAAAAAAAAGTCAAATTTCGCGGATTTTCAGAGACAGATTCACGGCAATTTTGGGGGCTAACTTTACCAAAAAACAATTGGTAAAAAATGGCCAATTTCATGGGAATTTTCTGGGCAAATTTTGTTAGAAATCAATCAATTTTGCACTGATTTTATGAGCGTTTTTAACGTTTTTTTAACAGAGATAATCATTGGCAATTTTAACAACAAAGCACTCAAGGAATGAGCCAATGGCAAGGCTTTTAACATCATGACTAGTGCCCAGTTTTTCGGAACATAATTTACACCTGGTAGTTTGGGACGTTGTTTGCTTGTTGTGGTGATAAATTTGCAAGTTTACAGCAATTAAACAGCCCCAGTAGCTGAGATAAGTTTCACATATGTTGTATTGACATTTGTTTGATAAGAGTTCTTGCAAATGTCATGGTATTTTGCATGTTTTTGTGAATTTTGCAGGATTTCGCGGATTTACCTGAATTTCATGGCACTGTGACCGCCCTAAATATCAGAAGCCCTGATACTATGAGCTGCATCATTTACATTATACAAACTGGTGACTAAAAATTTGCATCTGGCAACTCTATTTCTACAGCTGGTCACCAGACAAGCTGAGGACTTTTTAATTTTGAGCCTTGTTACTGTGACAACTACAACTGAACTCATTATGAAGGATAAGATAACTGAAATGGCACTTAAAGAATAATATTGTTTCAGTGAACCAAAGAGTTGGCAAAACCAGCAGGTCTAAAATACAGGTCACTTTCCACAGGTCAGAGTTCAGGTCATCATGCGACAGAGAAATGAACAGCGCCAAAAGTGTCTCCTCGCCTTGGCGATTTAGATTGAGGGGAAAATATTTTACGTTGTAATTTGTCAATGGAGCAGTGACTTTTAGTCTTGACCTGTGGAATGAGACCTGTACTTTAGACCCAGCAAATTTTATGTGATGTCAAACATGACAGTTGTATCTCCTAGATAAAATTTAACTCACCTGCATATTATACTCACAATGACGATCTTACATCCAACAAAATTATCTTGTGATCTGGCTACGGTTGTTCAAATGGTGGATAATGCTATCCACTGGATAAATCACTATCCAACAGATAATGCAATTGTTTCCCGTAATACTTATCCTCTGGATAGTGATTTATCCAGGGGATATGAGTGCTATCCACCGGATAAATCACTATCCAACGGATAATGCAATTGTTTCCCGTAATACTTATCCTCTGGATAGTGATTTATCCGGGGGATATGAGTGCTATCCAGCTTTTGAACAACCTGGGCCTGTTACATATAAAGATTAGCGTGCAGCATAGTTAATGTTTGCCAGCAAAGCCACATTTCAATTATTAATACGCCCAACGGAAACATTTTTCTCACTGTGAAATTTATATCTTTCATTTTTCTCATGTTAGGAGAATGTGGGACACATCTGACCAGTACATCAGGAACCATTGAATCTCCAAACTATCCCAAACCTTACCCTCCAGGACAACAGTGTACATGGACTGTATCAGTATCTGGGTCAGTGGAGAACATTAAAATCTCATTTAGGTGAGAAAATCAATTGTATGTGTGCATATCAGTCTAAAAACACAGTTCCAAGCAGCTGTGGCTATTTTGGTGACCATGTAATGTAATGTTTGCTCAAAATTTTTAACACAAGGACTTTTTGGAAAAATAAATTATGACTAATCACTGCAGACACTGTATTTGTTAATTTATCCACAGAAACAACTCGTTATCTGAATGATGAATATAGCCATCCAAAGTTGTACAATCTCAGTTTTACATAATTGTTAATGTAATGCATTGTACACTGTACTTTTCAAGACAGACTTGATTAATACTTTTGCAAAGCATTTGATTATTGAGAGCATAACTAACAAGTATGAAAGACTTCAGTGTGTGCATTTAGTAAAAATGCTTTGTTGTGTAAGGAATGCTTGAAGGCTATTAGAACAATCAACATGTGTTACTCTTTTGAGAAGGGGAAGCTAGGTTGAAGTCAACACTTTAATTTCAAGACAAAACTTCATAAAAAAAATTGAGAATAGGGCCTTGTTTGCACTTAAAAAAAGCACTTTATTTGAGTGTCAATGTATTTAACATGAAAGTGCTAATTGGTGACACTATATTAACGTCTCCTACTGGAGAAGGGACCGCCCTTTTACGTGGTCATCCAAGCCACGCGAAGGTCTAGCCATTTGCGGGGCAAAGGTAGTACCTTCATTTCTCAGTTATTTTAAGACCGTGAGTATTGGTCTGACCCTGGGAATTGAACCCGCTACCTCCCGCTCTGCAGTCAAGCACTCTAATAACTGGTATTTAGCATTTGCAAAAATTCAAAAATTTGTTTATCACCAATTTTTTGTTTTTGCAACCTTGTTGGCATCTGAGACAATCAAATTTTTCATGTAACCAGAAACGTCAGTTAAAGGAACTTTAATATTGGTCATGTTCCTGAAATAAGATGACCTAACAAAGGATAGCTGTCAAGGAACAAAGGATTTTGTTGTCTGACAAAAAATTGTAGGCCTCCAAATGTTCTCGATGGCATCCTTGAAGTTTGGTGACAGTTGAGAAAATTTTGGTTGGTGAAAAAAATAATTTTTTATTGTGAAAAGGGCCTAGGACACTTATTTCTTCTTTGATTTAAATAGTACCTTCAAGCTGAAACCAAAGTCTCCAGGTGGCCAGTGTGTAGATTATGTGGCAATATACAGTTTACTGCTTGACAAAGATAAGGACACAAAGATGAAAGGGAAGTTTTGTGGAGATTCAAAACCATTATCTATGACAATTACCCAGTCATCTATGACAGTACAGTTTGTCTCGGACCCAGCAGATTCTGATTCATATACTGGATTTTCCCTTTATTATAAAGCCAACTTTAAAAATGATACTGGTAAGTTAAGTTTAGCGTATTTTGTTTGCCTTTTAAACCCTTAAGAGCCAATGTCTGTAATTTTCGAGAATCGGTTGACAGTCGTGAATTTTTGAATTTCTTCATATTTTGCCCACATAATCTCTATAGTGCACGTATTTCAAAAATCACATTAAAACTTGTAACGGCTTTATGTACACTGTACTTTTCAAGACAGACTTGATTAATACTTTTGCAAAGCATTTGATTATTGAGAGCATAACTAACAAGTATGAAAGACTTCAGTGTGTGCATTTAGTAAAAATGCTTTGTTGTGTAAGGAATACTTGAAGGCTATTAGAACAATCAACATGTGTTACTCTTTTGAGAAGGGGAATTAAGCTAGGTTGCAGTCAACACTTTAATTTCAAGACAAAACTTCATAAAAAAAAATTGAGAATAGGGCCTTGTTTGCACTTAAAAAAAGCACTTTATTTGAGTGTCAATGTATTTAACATGAAAGTGCCAATTGGCGACACTATATTAACGTCTCCTACTGGAGAAGGGACCGCCATTTTACGTGGTCATCCAAGCCACGCGAAGGTCTAGCCATTTGCGGGGCAAAGGTAGTACCTTCATTTCTCAGTTATTTTAAGACCCTGAGTATTGGTCTCACCCTGGGAATTGAACCCGCTACCTCCCGCTCTGCAGTCGAGCACTCTAATGACTGGTATTTAGCATTTACAAAAATTCAAAAATTTGTTGATCACCATTTTTTTGTTTTTGCAACCTTGTTGGCATCTGAGACAATCAAATTTTTCGTGTAACCAGAAACGTCAGTTAAAGGAACTTTAATATTGGTCATGTTCGCGAAATACGATGACCTAACAAAGGATAGCTGTCAAGGAACAAAGGATTTTGTCGTCTGACAAAAAATTGTAGGCCTCCAAATGTTCTTGATGGCATCCTTGAAGTTTGGTGAAAGTTGAGAAAATTTTGGTTGGTGAAAAAAATAATTTTTTATTTTGAAAAGGGCCTAGGACACTTATTTCTTCTTTGATTTAAATAGTACCTTCAAGCTGAAACCAAAGTCTGCAGGTGGCCAGTGTGTAGATTACGTGGCAATATACAGTTTACTGCTAAACAAGGATAAGGATACAAAGATGAGAGGGAAATTCTGTGGAGATTTAAAACCATTATCTATGACAATTACCCAGTCATCTATGACAGTACAGTTTGTCTCGGACTCAGCAGATTCTGATTCATATACTGGATTTTCTCTTTATTATAAAGCCAACTTTAAAGATGATACTGGTAAGTTAAGTTTAGCGTATTAATGTTTGTTTACCTTTTAAACCCTTAAGCCCTGTTCAAAATAATTCAACTTTTATTAGTCTATTTTATTTTTTTGCATATATATATATATGTTACACATTTGCAAAAACACCTCTAAGGCCTATTTTAATACCTAGATCCCTCAAGGTAAGACTGTAGAGAACATACAATGTATTTCAAAATATCCGCTACTGTCCTAGCATCTTTTGTATGGACGGCAAAGTCTACTCTGTGCTCTATCAGTGCCCAGCGGCCCTGGCACCTATCTTTTCCTCCCTGGCGACTAGAAAATCTAAGTTTTATCATAGAAACATATGCTGGGTACCCCTGGATTTCACAGCTTCAGATCACTGAGCTCCCTTTAATTTCTCTTGGTGCACAGCCCTGAAAGTATCATTAAACATAAACTTAAACTATTGATGATTAGAAGGGGTTTTAATGACACTGCCTGCCTGCCAGCATCCAGTCAAGAAAAATTCTTGGCACTACATCTCTCTCTCTCCCAGATTTTGTTTGAGGGAGAGGGGGTGACTGTACACAGGCTTTATTTTACCAGTAACAGAGTGCAAAGAAAGTCAGTTTTACAGCCTACCTTTCGGGCAAGCAGTGGCTAGAATTTGCTAGCCCACAAGTCATTTCAACTGGCCCAAAACCCTTTTTGATGAGCAGGATTGATTACAGTCCTTCTGTCATTTGAATTTCCCCAAAAAACAGCACCTACCCGTTGGGTAAGTTAAGAACAAAAATCAGTAGCCCGATAGCAAAATCAACTAGCCCTGGCACGGTGAAGTAAGCCCAGTATAAGATTCTGGCTGGGTCTATTCTGATTTTACTAAGAAGTGCTTCTCTCAGTGCGGGGGCGGGGGCAGGGGCAGGGGCAGGGGCGAGGGCAGGGGGAGTTCAGTTAAAAAATATATTGTTCCAGTGACTGACATATTATATCATATTGCAGCATCTAAAGTGTCTCAGACAACAGTTGGCATTATTGCTGCTATCTTCTGTGCCGTGGTTTTTGTTGGAGTGGGTCTGCTGCGCTGTATTATGATTGGAGCATGTAATGTTTGCAATGCTCCAAACCCACCACAGGAAAGGCAGGTTATGGGAACCAATGATTCCTATACATTTCGAGCAGATTTTCCTCCTTCCTACAGCACAGGTTAGTTTAAATAATAACAACGTAGACCTTCATTTATATGATTAAACTTTTATGTGTGATCTGAGGCTATTTACTTAGAATCAAAGAGTTTCAAATATCCTATTCACCATATTCATCAAGACCATAATGCACCTTGTCTACCCCTTCCCCGCCAGAATTTTTGCACAACCATTGTCTTTGATTTCTCCAGGGACAACTGTAATACCGAGGAGAAACTGGAAACAATCGTTATGTAAAATTTTGTGTGGTAAACAAGGTGCATTATGGTCTCAGTGAAAATGGTGAATGGAAAAAAAAAGGAATTAGTGCAAATTATTGGGAGGTTCAAAGAGTGGTAGGTGATGTTCAAGTGTAGCTGAGTGTTTGATTGGGGAAGGGAAGCTGAATTACCAAGAGTTATGAGAAATCAAGAACTCCATTCATCGATCTATTGTATGAATTGCATCTCATTCATTGTCTTCGCTGTCATCTACTAGCTGAAGGCTCCCATAAGTTGGAGTTCATTGGTGCCATAATTTTACCAAACATGTCATAACTGTGAGTCCTGTTAGAGAGTACTCTCATTTTCTCCTCTGAAGTTAAATACCATTTTCAATTTAAGAATTTTTTAGGAGCATTAAAATGTTCATCTTAAGTTTTAGACTAATGTCACTTTTCTGATGCTTTAGTTTTAAGACACCCAGAGAGATTTCCTTCACCAGAGTCAAGCCCCCAGTTTAGGGAGCTGAGAAATGGAGAAACAGCTAGGAACTCTCATTCAGCAGCTCTGGGCCATGGTGCAACATTTGAACTACAGTCAAGCAGCAGTGAGAGTGATGATGATGATGATGGCACAGCACCACCTCCCTACCCTGGGAATGTGCATGAAGATCAGGCTGGTGTTAGCAGAGTGTCAAACTTGGTTAGGCCCACTGTCGAAGATGGTACAAATGAACAAAATGTCACTGCTGTTCGTGAGATCCCTTCATTAGCAGTGATTATGGCAAATGAACAAATTCCTGCAGGAGACAGTCCTCAAGATCCATTAGCAGATTTGCCAATCCTATCGAGGCCCATTTATTCTTTTGATGCAGCTAACAGTATGAACAGGAATGAAGGAGTTGCACTTTCATCACAAACTTGTGGGTCTGGTAATGATGAACAAATTCAATCAGCAGCTAGTGCTCAAGATCCATTGTTAGATCAACCTACTTTATCCAGAACCAGTCGTAATGATACAGACAACAGCTTAAGTAGAGCTGAAGAACTTGAGTTGTTGCAGACTCATGTGTCACATGATGATAACACAGAAGAGTTTACAATTTAAGGAACAGAATAATACCTTAAAATACATTGCACCAACAAGTTACTAGTACTTGTATGAGGATATGATGTATCCCTTGTAAATATGCAAAAGAATTGAATAGAAGAGTAGTGTTGCCAGGAGGTGGCCCAAGCAGGAAGTTTTTGACTTGGTTGTTATTTAATTTAATCCAAAGCCTCTTAGGAGAAAAAGAACTTAATAACTGTGTGAGCACAGCAAAACGTTATAAGAGGTAAATAATAGATTGTTAAAAACACAGATATTATTTTAAGCTTTTCAGACAATTCATGGCCATACCGAGTTTCTGTCACTACATACAAATCATGTACGCAAGGTTCTAAACCTGTGACAGCAGACAGGCATTTTTATGTGCAAGCAAACTTCTATGAAATGATTTAGGAACCCTTAATTGCTAAATAAATCTAATAGATCTTTGCCTGCTGATTTGCATGCTTGCAATCAGAGATTATTCAATATATGTGGGGTTTTTTTAAAAAAAACAATTTTTTTGATGAAAAAATTAGGTCCATATTTTTATGTGAGCTCATATGGTTTGTCAACTGTAATCAGTGATTGTGGTTCTAAAAAACATGTGGAAAAAGTAACTGAAGAAAGAAATCAAAAGATTAATTTTTAAGTCGGATAAAAGAATCGTGTTTCATTTTTAAGCAATCCACAGTTTTCTTGGCCAGAATTACCGAAAAACAAATTTTGGAAAAAATAAGACCTAACCAGAAAGATTGTATCGCATTAAAATGTACATGTTATTTTTAACCTGTCATGTACATAATAGCCAGACAATGTTGACAACTGTAGCTGCTTAAGTTAACAGTTCTTTATCCATAGGATTAAGGAATAATTTAATGTTCTGTCCAAATATTGACCTCGTGACTTTTTAAAAGTGGAACAATATTATTATTGTATAAACTACGTATATTTATTTTCCAATATGACATTCATAATACAGGCAAACCTGTATAAATTATAACGGCCCTGTATATAGTGATCACCCTGTACATAGCAGTCATTCTGCATATAACAATCACCTTGCCATTTCCCAAGGATGGTCGTTGTACACAGGTTTGACTGTATCATTTTACGTGAAATTAAATGACAATAAACAATACCCCCTAGGTTACAGGAATAGAGATTTTATACATAGCCCTAGAAATTATATACCGGTACATGAAGTACTACAAGTTCTCTTTAATATTTATAGTTTACTCAAGAAAAAAATAAAATCGTGTAATGCTAAAGAAAAGGTAAAGACAACGAGAACAGTAAAACACAACAACAATAGGTCTAATAGAGAGTAGTCGTTACATCATGTTGCCTTGGTTGCTCTCTATTGCTCTCCACTTCTGCTCTCTATTCACAAAACAACAAATTTGCATATGCAGCACACTTTTTTTGTACATTTCTTTGCTGTTGTTTTGCATGACAATGTGACACTTAACAGCAGCGGTGAGAAAAATGAAAAATGCTTGTGGCCACCAAGGTAGACTGGGTAGCAGGCGCTTGGAAGTAACAGGTGCAAGAAAGAACAGGGAGCATGCCATGTTCTTTCTTGTGCCCATTACTTCCAAGCAGGCTACCTTGATGTCCACCAGCATAGCCTGCATTGCAGGTGTTGAAAGGGGTAGGGGATTGGGAGGAAAAGAGAGGGGGATTACAGCCTACCACTAGCACTTCTCATTTTCTCACTGCTGCTATAAAATTTTCATTTCTTGCTCTAGCTCTTTCTCTGTTTTGCACGTTAATATCAGCTTTGCCGTTTTTTTTTTACTCTCTAAAAGGTCGTGTGGCCATGTGATTTACTGCTGAAATGCTTGGGCTGCTTGAAATGCGAAATTTCACCCCAGCTTACATACATACGGACGGACGTTTGTGTTTTTTTACTTCAGTAATTTATTTTTCATGTTCTAAAAATATGCTTTTCTTGCATTAAATGCAAACAATGAATATTAGTATTTTTATTTTTACTCTTCATTTAATTCTGTTCACAGTTTTAAATAGAAGTGGGCAAATTGTACAATTACTTTTAATTACGTTCCTTTAGTGTATACAATGAAATATTGAGTATTGTTTAAAGGATGACATCATTATGGGATAAAGTAAACATGTTGTACCCTCAAAAAATAATTTGTCATATTACACCCCTACCTCCCCACAATGGCCACCTCTTCACAACGGCCACTTTCCTTTGTCCCAAAGGTGGCCATTGTGGAGAGGTTAGGGCAGGGGGAGTTCAGTTAAAAAATATATTGTTCCAGTGACTGACATATTATATCATATTGCAGCATCTAAAGTGTCTCAGACAACAGTTGGCATTATTGCTGCTATCTTCTGTGCCGTGGTTTTTGTTGGAGTGGGTCTGCTGCGCTGTATTATGATTGGAGCATGTAATGTTTGCAATGCTCCAAACCCACCACAGGAAAGGCAGGTTATGGGAACCAATGATTCCTATACATTTCGAGCAGATTTTCCTCCTTCCTACAGCACAGGTTAGTTTAAATAATAACAACGTAGACCTTCATTTATATGATTAAACTTTTATGTGTGATCTGAGGCTATTTACTTAGAATCAAAGAGTTTCAAATATCCTATTCACCATATTCATCAAGACCATAATGCACCTTGTCTACCCCTTCCCCGCCAGAATTTTTGCACAACCATTGTCTTTGATTTCTCTAGGGACAACTGTAATACCGAGGAGAAACTGGAAACAATCGTTATGTAAAATTTTGTGTGGTAAACAAGGTGCATTATGGTCTCAGTGAAAATGGTGAATGGAAAAAAAAGGAATTAGTGCAAATTATTGGGAGGTTCAAAGAGTGGTAGGTAATGTTCAAGTGTAGCTGAGTGTTTGATTGGGGAAGGGAAGCTGAATTACCAAGAGTTATGAGAAATCAAGAACTCCATTCATCGATCTATTGTATGAATTGCATCTCATTCATTGTCTTCGCTGTCATCTACTAGCTGAAGGCTCCCATAAGTTGGAGTTCATTGGTGCCATAATTTTACCAAACATGTCATAACTGTGAGTCCTGTTAGAGAGTACTCACATTTTCTCCTCTGAAGTTAAATACCATTTTCAATTTAAGAATTTTTTAGGAGCATTAAAATGTTCATCTTAAGTTTTAGACTAATGTCACTTTTCTGATGCTTTAGTTTTAAGACACCCAGAGAGATTTCCTTCACCAGAGTCAAGCCCCCAGTTTAGGGAGCTGACAAATGGAGAAACAGCTAGGGACTCTCATTCAGCAGCTCTGGGCCATGGTGCAACATTTGAACTACAGTCAAGCAGCAGTGAGAGTGATGATGATGATGATGGCACAGCACCACCTCCCTACCCTGGGAATGTGCATGAAGATCAGGCTGGTGTTAGCAGAGTGTCAAACTTGGTTAGGCCCACTGTCGAAGATGGTACAAATGAACAAAATGTCACTGCTGTTCGTGAGATCCCTTCATTAGCAGTGATTATGGCAAATGAACAAATTCCTGCAGGAGACAGTCCTCAAGATCCATTAGCAGATTTGCCAATCCTATCGAGGCCCATTTATTCTTTTGATGCAGCTAACAGTATGAACAGGAATGAAGGAGTTGCACTTTCATCACAAACTTGTGGGTCTGGTAATGATGAACAAATTCAATCAGCAGCTAGTGCTCAAGATCCATTGTTAGATCAACCTACTTTATCCAGAACCAGTCGTAATGATACAGACAACAGCTTAAGTAGAGCTGAAGAACTTGAGTTGTTGCAGACTCATGTGTCACATGACGATAACACGGAAGAGTTTACAATTTAAGGAACAGAATAATACCTTAAAATACATTGCACCAACAAGTTACTAGTACTTGTATGAGGATATGATGTATCCCTTGTAAATATGCAAAAGAATTGAATAGAAGAGTAGTGTTGCCAGGAGGTGGCCCAAGCAGGAAGTTTTTGACTTGGTTGTTATTTAATTTAATCCAAAGCCTCTTAGGAGAAAAAGAACTTAATAACTGTGTGAGCACAGCAAAACGTTATAAGAGGTAAATAATAGATTGTTAAAAACACAGATATTATTTTAAGCTTTTCAGACAATTCATGGCCATAACGAGTTTCTGTCACTACATACAAATCATGTACGCAAGGTTCTAAACCTGTGACAGCAGACAGGCATTTTTATGTGCAAGCAAACTTCTATGAAATGATTTAGGAACCCTTAATTGCTAAATAAATCTAATAGATCTTTGCCTGCTGATTTGCATGCTTGCAATCAGAGATTATTCAATATATGTGGGTTTTTTTTTTAAAAAACAATTTTTTTGATGAAAAAATTAGGTCCATATTTTTATGTGAGCTCATATGGTTTGTCAACTGTAATCAGTGATTGTGGCTCTAAAAAACATGTGGAAAAAGTAACTGAAGAAAGAAATCAAAAGATTAATTTTTAAGTCGGATAAAAGAATCGTGTTTCATTTTTAAGCAATCCACAGTTTTCTTGGCCAGAATTACCGAAAAACAAATTTTGGAAAAAATAAGACCTAACCAGAAAGATTGTATCGCATTAAAATGTACATGTTATTTTTAACCTGTCATGTACATAATAGCCAGACAATGTTGACAACTGTAGCTGCTTAAGTTAACAGTTCTTTATCCATAGGATTAAGGAATAATTTAATGTTCTGTCCAAATATTGACCTCGTGACTTTTTAAAAGTGGAACAATATTATTATTGTATAAACTACGTATATTTATTTTCCAATATGACATTCATAATACAGGCAAACCTGTATAAATTATAACGGCCCTGTATATAGTGATCACCCTGTACATAACAGTCATTCTGCATATAACAATCACCTTGCCATTTCCCAAGGATGGTCGTTGTACACAGGTTTGACTGTATCATTTTACGTGAAATTAAATGACAATAAACAATACCCCCTAGGTTACAGGAATAGAGATTTTATACATAGCCCTAGAAATTATATACCGGTACATGAAGTACTACAAGTTCTCTTTAATATTTATAGTTTACTCAAGAAAAAAATAAAATCGTGTAATGCTAAAGAAAAGGTAAAGACAACGAGAACAGTAAAACACAACAACAATAGGTCTAATAGAGAGTAGTCGTTACATCATGTTGCCTTGGTTGCTCTCTATTGCTCTCCACTTCTGCTCTCTATTCACAAAACAACAAATTTGCATATGCAGCACACTTTTTTTGTACATTTCTTTGCTGTTGTTTTGCATGACAATGTGACACTTAACAGCAGCGGTGAGAAAAATGAAAAATGCTTGTGGCCACCAAGGTAGACTGGGTAGCAGGCGCTTGGAAGTAACAGGTGCAAGAAAGAACAGGGAGCATGCCATGTTCTTTCTTGTGCCCATTACTTCCAAGCAGGCTACCTTGATGTCCACCAGCATAGCCTGCATTGCAGGTGTTGAAAGGGGTAGGGGATTGGGAGGAAAAGAGAGGGGGATTACAGCCTACCACTAGCACTTCTCATTTTCTCACTGCTGCTATAAAATTTTCATTTCTTGCTCTAGCTCTTTCTCTGTTTTGCACGTTAATATCAGCTTTGCCGTTTTTTTTTTACTCTCTAAAAGGTCGTGTGGCCATGTGATTTACTGCTGAAATGCTTGGGCTGCTTGAAATGCGAAATTTCACCCCAGCTTACATACATACGGACGGACGTTTGTGTTTTTTTACTTCAGTAATTTATTTTTCATGTTCTAAAAATATGCTTTTCTTGCATTAAATGCAAACAATGAATATTAGTATTTTTATTTTTACTCTTCATTTAATTCTGTTCACAGTTTTAAATAGAAGTGGGCAAATTGTACAATTACTTTTAATTACGTTCCTTTAGTGTATACAATGAAATATTGAGTATTGTTTAAAGGATGACATCATTATGGGATAAAGTAAACATGTTGTACCCTCAAAAAATAATTTGTCATATTACACCCCTACCTCCCCACAATGGCCACCTCTTCACAACGGCCACTTTCCTTTGTCCCAAAGGTGGCCATTGTGGAGAGGTTTGACTGTAATTTGCATTCCTAAAAAAATTTCCTTTGTAACGGCATATAATTATTTTTTGTAAATTATTAATTTTACCCCACGATTTAGTAAGGACAAACATTTTAGCGTTGTAAACGGCGTTTTCAAATACCGTATTTCCTTGAATAAGCATCCAAGACTTCAGATAACCTACAAATTTTCTGCAACCATTTTCTTTGTTCCAGAATATACATGAACAGGATGGGTCAAAGGTGGATTAACAATAATATTAGATGAAACACAATAAGGAAAAAAATCCTTTGGAACACAGGGAACAGTTAAATTGCCAAAAAACTCCCTCTTTTGCAGGTACACCTTCCATCTTTAAATCTCTTAGACTTACACAAATTTATCTTTATGGTAAAACCATTATAACACATGTATTACACATAGACTAAACTTTATGATGATATTTTGGGGGGGGGGGGCAATCAGAATAAATATCACATGACAATGACGTCACAAGAATTTTAGCTCTAAATCGATTTGCAGCCCTTATCGGCATTTTCTTTAGAAATGCTCGACGCTACCTATACTTTGGATGCTTGTCTTCTGTAGTGTGAAGTTTCACAAAAATCTATAAGACGAATTTCAAAAAAAAGGTCTAAGAGATTCAAAGATGGAAGGTGTACCAACAAAAATAATGGGTCAGGCCACCTTAATCTTAAGTTACTTTTAAAAGCACCTAGCCTGAATTTCAGCCCCCTCCCGTAAACAGAGGTGGTGGTTGATTTAACCTTTGTATAAATATTATTTTAGAAATCACAATCACTCAAGCACCTTACAACTGATTTTATTTTTAAATTTTATCTGTTGTTAGAATTTAAATAACATTTTCTTGTAGTAATTTGTGTTTCTTTTCATAATTAACATCGTCTTAGCACCTCATTTTTGTTGTTTTCAACACTCTGGACATGATTTTTCGTCCTCAGGCTATCTCCTTTAAGTGAGAAAAGGAGACATTAAAATGCAAGTTCAAGACGTACTCACAATTTTTTTTGGCCTTGGTTGTCATGTGGGAGAGAGTGTCTTATTTTTCTCAAATATACAGTTATGAAAAGTAGGAACTTTCAAAAGATCTATTCAGAGGAAAGAACAATTGCTTCTGCCAACATTTATCCCCTGGATAGTGATTTATCTGGTGGATGGCATTATCCAGCTTTTGAACAACTGGTGGCTGCTCTTTTGTGTAAAGACAGAATTTTAAAATGAGCTAGTCCTCAAACAGTTTTGAGCAGTGCTACAAATAATGATGTAACACATAATACTATAGGAGTTACAATCTTAATGCCTTAATAATATTATTAATTTTAATTCTACATCCTTGTCCCAGTGTATCATAGAAATAGCAAGGTGAGGGGTTTTTAAAAAATTATTTGATATTCTGAGAGTTGGGAATTAAAAAATGGCCATTGTAGGGGGCTTGTTTCCATGACAACATGGTCACTGTTGTGGAAGTTTAGTGCTGCATTAATGATCTGAGCCTGCAACTTTAGCTGTCAGTTGTCTCTCCAGTTCAAGTTGTTTTTCATGAGCTTCTGCTTTACTGCGTTCCTCTTTCTCTTTCTGTAACTTGAGTTTCATTGCTCTCTTCTAAAATGTTAAATATTAAAGTACAGATGTAAGAATCTGTCTTACCAACTGGGAAGACACAATTGGTAATTTTACTTCATAAAAATAATAATTATCCATGTTTCACTTTCAGTACAGTAATGAAAATATTTTTTGTAACAGTACTTCCGATGATCCTTTATTATATAAACACCAATGAAATACCAGGTGAGCATTTGTACGAAAACTTGTTATCTTCACATGTGAAAAATAACATGTTATCTTAACATGTGAAAATATCACCGTTGCTATGGTGTCATAATAAATTGTGCCCTTCACACCAAAAAACTATTAAAGTGGAATGGTTTGGTAGTTCATTGGTGTTTATATAAGAAATAGAACATTACAGGGCCACTTGGAGATACAAAATTTCTCATCTCGTGTTGAAAAAATATTTCACTCCTTCGCTACACTCACTCCTGAAATATTTTTCAACACTCGAAAAGAAATTTTTTTTCTCCACGCGGCCATGAAATATCCTCTATTTATTTTGTTTTCCTTGCATTTCCAAAGAGTAGCAGCGTTGTCACTAAGGGCCGGGGGCCGGGGATTTCCCCCAGCTACTCAGAGCATGGCCCCCGGCTACTTTCGTCGTTAAATTAAACCAAAAGAGCACACCTTTGAAACACACAAAGACTATCCATCAAACTAAATGCGAATTTCATCTGCAGCAGGTTTAAGTAATTCTGAAATACTCGCGTGCAAAAACTAAGAAGCATCGGAAAAAGACATCTGACTTAGATTTGGTACTAGTACAAACGCTCTTCCGTAGGTCAGTTTCTTCGTATGTTAAGTGATGTTTCGTTCATAAATTCGAGACCACTAACGTCACCAGTTGTGCAGTTCAGTTTTGCCATATTTTATCCTGTGATTTTTCGTGCATTACGCTTGTTTTAGCCTTATCATACTTTTATTTTTCAACAAGCCATAGTAACCTTATGTTTATGATACTTTTTTGTACATTCATCGTCCGCTTTTCTTCTTTCCGCTTCTGCGTGGGTTAATTCATTTGCAATATTAGTTTCACTTTTGTTTTCCGTAAGTTGTTTCGTTCTTACGTATAACTAAAATAATGAGGATTTACAATTGATTTTACAGCGCATGTTAATTCATTTGCACCGTATAAGAATCGATTGTCCTTTCAACATTTTTAGCATTTGTAAAGTATCGTTGTGATTTAACACTTCACTGGCCAGCATGCGCCTTGTCTGCGTGAAGATAAGACTGCGCAGATAACGTGACCGGTGCCAANGCTACTTTCGTCGTTAAATTAAACCAAAAGAGCACACCTTTGAAACACACAAAGACTATCCATCAAACTAAATGCGAATTTCATCTGCAGCAGGTTTAAGTAATTCTGAAATACTCGCGTGCAAAAACTAAGAAGCATCGGAAAAAGACATCTGACTTAGATTTGGTACTAGTACACATGCGCGAAAACTCTCCGTTCGCAAAATGTCAGTAGGGAGTTTTAGCAACGACGACGGCGACGGCAACGAGAACGCCAAAAAAGCAATAGGTTTATTGAGCAAAACAACTAGTTTGCACGTGCATCACGCTTTTTTGTACATTTCTTTGCCGTTACTGCACGACTACGACGTGAAAATGCCTAGTTTCACGTTTTATGGAGGACGTAAAACAAACGACGACAAACTTTTCCTTCTCTTTCTAAACTTGAGTGCGCCCAAAGAAATCAACTCCAGGGAATTGGTCTACATTAGCTATTTTCAGCGAATTGAAATAAACGCGACAAAGTTGGAAAAAAAGCCAATTCATTTTTAAAAGTGACGTTTTCGCTACCGTCACCTTTGTCGATGCTAAAAGTCCCTAGTTTCAACCGTTGTGTAGGGTTTGTGTTGAACATGTCGAAGAAGTGGCAAAGGATTCTGCACTCTTTGTTCACGATGAAAGACCTGAGCAGATCTCTCCCTGATGCTGATGTTGATGATAATTAGGATTATGATGAAGGCTTTGAAGATGAAGACTATGACTGATTACCATGTTTAATATGTGGACATTTAAGTGACCAGGTCTACATTTAGCTTTAGGTATCGAGTATATAAAATAACGCACGGTCAACGGGAAATATTCGATCACTGTCCGCAGGCCATGATCACATGCTCTTAGTTCTACTTCCAAGAAGTTATATATAAAAGGGAAGTTGAGTATTAGCATTACTTTTACATTCTTCTCCTTGAGTCTTGTTTTGACACCTCAGCGTCGTTTATAAAGTATTAGCCCTGTCGTTTAAATGCTCTTCCGTAGGTCAGTTTCTTCGTATGTTAAGTGATGTTTCGTTCATAAATTCGAGACCACTAATGTCACCAGTTGTGCAGTTCAGTTTTGCCATATTTTATCCCGTGATTTTTCGTGCATTACGCTTGTTTTAGCCTTATCATACTTTTATTTTTCAACAAGCCATAGTAACCTTATGTTTATGATGCTTTTTCATACATTCATCGTCCACTTTTCTTCTTTCCGCTTCTGCGTGGGTTAATTCATTTGCAATATTAGTTTCACTTTTGTTTTCCGTAAGTTGTTTCGTTCTTACGTATAACTAAAATAATGAGGATTTACAATTGATTTTACAGCGCATGTTAATTCATTTGCACCGTATAAGAATCGATTGTCCTTTCAACATTTTTAGCATTTGTAAAGTATCGTTGTGATTTAACACTTCACTGGCCAGCATGCGCCTTGTCTGCGTGAAGATAAGACTGCGCAGATAACGTGACCGGTGCCAACCTGTCCTTTTTTTTTAGGCCCGGTGCTTACATGTATATTCCCATTTGGCGGCCACTAAAAAAACCCTCCAACGAGCCTTTACGTAAAGTAATTTAACTATTATTTTAGTGTCTCAGAATGTTGTAGTTTGTTTTCTTTAATAAAGACGTGATCATCATAAAACCGCTAATGATAGCTGTACTCTTGATGAAGATTGCTCTTTTGGGGCGGTAATGCCTTTTCGAAAACGGTAAAAACTACACTTCAAAACCTTCTTGGGGGAGGGGGGGGGGTGGGAAGGGGCTCCATGACTGCTTGTGACTTCCCCGGCTACTAACAACAAATACCCGGCAACTTGAAATCTTAGTGACAACCCTGAGTAGGTACCTAATCATGTAACACTGCACACATTATGTGTGAAAGCTGATGAATTGTTTAACTAGTAAGCTTGCTATTAAACTCCTGGTTAACTTAATACAAAAATGACTATATAATTCAGCTCACCTGAAGTCTTCCTACTCTATCTTCAACAGAACTCATATCCTGCTTGATTTTCATGAGCTTTATATGGTATGTGCGGACATATGACAGCTGAAAAAAGGAGTAGAAATTATTAAATTTTATATCACATTGCACACTTAGTAAAGTAACAACCATCTATCTTTTTGTCATATTGGTCTCTGGAGTTGAAACTTCCTCACAATACAAAGTATTTCAGGCGTGGTATATTATTTTCCTTAAGTCACTTTAACAAACCTTGTTTTGTTTAAGCACAATAGAATTATTTGTTTTAAAAACAGCATTTTCTATCAAGGCATCTTCTCCAGTATGTTTTGGGAATTTTTAGTGAGAAGCCACAAATGGCTTTTCTTTAAGTTTTTTTACTTTTCTATATTAGGCACTCCACTTGGGTTAAAAATGAAGAAATCTTCTGTTCTCTACCAGTACCAATACAAACACACTCAATTAAACTTATTATTATTTGAATACATTTTCAAATTATTCTTAACTCAAATTTGACCTGTCACATACATGTTTATCAAAGAAGCTCAAACATTCATTACTGTTATAACACAATATGTAAAAAGAATCAATACAAAAAAAGCTCGGATTTAATGTTACAAGCCAAAAATAAATTAAACTTAAAACATTTTAACCTTGGTTAATTCTCTTTGACTCCTAGCATAATTAATTTTATCAACACAGCATTAATGGTCATGTTTTCTTACCATCAAAGCGAGATTTCTGGCTGATATACAGTCAACAAACTTGTCATTTTCCTGTTGCATAGTTTCAATCAAAATGCCTTGATTTTGCCTGAAAAGTTTATACAGAAGACATAAAACATCACCATAATGTTATAATAATAATTTAATATTTATATTGCACAAAATACATGTAAATGTTCAACTACATGTAAGAGTTGGAGAATTTTAGGCATCAATTTCAGACTATTTTGGCATCAAGCAAGTTATACAAAGAATGGTTTTTGAATAAGTAATGTGAAAATGAGCAAATTTTTCCAAGGACACAGTCTGAGGAATGATGGCTTTTTGAAGGTCAGAGATGTTTAATTTGTCTATGCTAATGCCCTGTTTTATTTCTTTAGTATTTTGTTCAAATAAATGAGGCAGTTTTTAACTTAAAAATCATGACCTGTAATGTGGACACCTTCTATTGCCTCCTCATGATCAGTGTCATCATCAATGGAGTTTGACTGTAACCTTTTTCAGTGACAAATAGATAGCAAGTGCCAAAATGCTGCAGAAACAGTGCTATGAAACAAAATATTTTTGAACTTTGCAGGGAAATGGGCTTAATTCCAAAAAAAGCAATGAAGAGCTAAAAAGTCTTTTTATCTCTAAGATTTGGTAACTCACACAGGAGACCAGAAGATTTCTGCTGTACCTGGGAGGGTTGGCATATATGACCTCTGCCAAAAAGTTCCCAGTTGACAGTCAGCTTTATTCAATAATTGTTAATTATGTATTGGTCAAATTGAAGCTTCAACATCACCCCTGGGCATTTGACATCTTTGCTGTCCCAGGGGTGGGGAATTTGAACCACAGCCTTGATTTCATGTGACATGTCTCGGTGCTTCACACGAGGCTGGTGGACTTTGGAATGATTTCAGAGAGAAAGATTGTGGCTTCATGGCCAAGTGGCTGCAAAGCAACAGTCCACACAAGCTTTGTGCCATGTTCAAAGGTATTTAAATTATTTTTTATGATTCATGCTTTGAATATATTAATATGTTTTAAGTTGTGTTACAATAAAATACAGTACCGGCAATTTGTTACTGGCCACATGTAATGTTTATTAATAAAAAATTAAAAAGGTATGCAATGATCATCACTGAAAAGGTCATGAATGTATGGATTTGTCGTAATTGAAGTAGGTGGAATGTTTAGAAAGCTTTCTGTTGCATGACACGCGAAGAAAAGCTGTGCATTCAGTGTGGTATATGTTTCCACCGCTTTGCACAAGAGCTTTGTTCGTATTATGAAATATGGTACCTTTTAAATTTTCCTGAGGTGGGGGCATTATTTTGATCACCTAAAATGGACCTGTATGATGGGGCATTTGAACGGCTTTTTGACTTGGGGAGGGGGAAATTGGAACAATAATTTTCAAACAAGTAAAATGCCTGGGGGATTACCCGGGGGATGTGGAAGGTTCGATTTGACTGATACATTACAATCTGGCCAAGTATTCCTTAATCCAATATGGGTACCATAAGTACAGAAAGCAGTTTTTACATAACCCCTACCACAATCACCCTGCCTCAAGCTGAATTTGCACAAAAACTGACAAAAAAACAATGGAATAAACGCACGCAGTATGATGCGATGCATTTTAAGTGAACTAAAGCTAAAAGCACTTGAGCTAACAAGAAACTTAACAAAGCTTATACAATTAATATAGCGTGAACCGACTTGCTCACGTTAATTCGCCCAGACGTCCTTGAAGGCTCTCCATATTCGGAACAAATGACTGCATGAAACCTTCGGTAAGAATTTCTGTAATATCTGCACTTTCCTTGCTTTCTATACTACTGTCCGCGTCGTCAACAGCTGTTTCGTTACTCATTTCGAAACCAGGTTTCGCCAGCAGGGAACTAAGAACTTCTTCCAACTCGTCCTCTCACATCTCAGATCCCAAATAACACTGCATACTCGGAAACGAATTTTACACGAGACGGTATCGACATGTATCGGTAAATCCGAACTTTTCCTAAAAAGGGGTGTTTACCATAATCCGCTGACCATCTGTAAAGGTGCGAAATTTCGAAATCGTGACTTTTCCTGAATATTTTGAGGAGAGAGAGTGGAGGGATGGGAACCGGCGACCGCTTCACGCGGTAGTTGTGAATATGATCACGTCTTGTGGCACTATTCTATGGCTTTGGAAAATTTTCTCTTCTTTGGATTTATAGCATCATGTCCGAACATTCTCCTTTCGCGGAGTGTGGAGATTTAAGGCCCCGCCAAGGGTCATTTCTAGCCAGGAAAAAAACTTGGAAAGATCTACAAATTGCCGTGAAACAGACCAAGTCCGTTCAACAGAACCTTGTAAACCGAGTGCCTCATTCATTCACGTTTTGTGATAACAAGCTTTATTTTCTCGCTGTTCCTTTTGGGAGTCGCGAGAACACAGTTCATTATGTGGATCTTCCATCTGAACACCTAAACAAAGAAAAGACAAACGATTTTATGCCGCTCTCATGGAAACCTCTTCTAGACTCCTTTAGAATAAGTCGTTCGTTTTCGGGATATTCGAGAGAAGAACAGCTACTCCGAGAAAGAAAACGTTTAGGTGCATTTGGTATCACTTCGTACGATTTCGACGCAACTTCAAGGCGGTTTATGTTTGCGGCATCCAGTAGTTTGTATACGTGCACAGATTGGCGAATCGATGAAGAGGTAAGAAACCACCAGCTAATCACAGTAAGGAGCTTTTAAAGCAAAAATGAGAGTGAGATGTGTCCGTGATTGAGATGGCGTGAAACATACAGTTACACCGTGTCAACTGCTAATTGAATTACAGTTAACTGTTGGGATGATTATTATCTTATCATCATTTGTCATTGGCTAATGAGAAGCAATTGAACCTGTCTAGTTTCATCGTAAACCAATTTAATTTGTTGAAGCTGTTGTTTGTATTTTTTGTCAGTGATCTTCATTACTCTGTTGGTTGGTTTTCTATCTAAAAGAGTCCATTGATCTTTTTACATTCATTATGGTTTGCAATGCACCTATCAATGTTAATGTGGAGCGGGGGAGGGGGGTGGGGAGGGCAAAGGCCAGGGATTTAAACTTGAAGCAATTTTTTGGGTCAAATGCCCTACCCCAGGGACATCGTATTTGGTCAAAAGCGGACGAATTCCCCACCACTCCAACCAAGAATAGAGGTCAAATGGGTTTCATTGAAATTAGCAGCATACATGTACCAACATTCTGAAAAGGCCTCATTCATTTATTGTAACAATAATATTGTCTTTAAATAAACAGGCTCAATAGTTTTGTCAACTTACTTTTATAGAAGTATAACAGAATGCAATCTTTCTTAACCTTATGCAGCAAGACCTCTAAAACTGTATGGCACGATGTTTTCCATTTTATTAGCCCCAAATATAACTAGCCAATACACTTTGCTGCATTGTGAACTTTAATAACTGTGAAACCAGTGGTAGAGTTTTGTTTTTCACAGCCTTTCAACTTTTCATTTGCATAGTTGGATGTATTGATTTGAATCAGAATAGACAGGATAAAAATAGATATCTTGTCACGTCCTAATTAGCCGCTATCTTGCACATGAGTATAAAATGTACTCACAGATCCTTGTGAGAACAATGGCCGCCATCTTTGGTCACCAATACCCCTGATAATGCAACTGGTAACCGACTGGTAACCAGGTCTTCCCAAGATGGTGTCAACAATGAGTGGAAATTCAAAAGTTTCCATCCTTGGGACTTGGTGATGATCAAAAGTTCCCACCACAGGCCGGCTTTCTTTATCAAATCTTCGCCCTTCACTCGACCTCCCTTCCCCCTTCCAGATTAAACATTGATAGGTGCATAAGCTGCCCATAGGTTTTTAGTTATTCAGCTGTTACCAGGAAGTTGAAGAATTCATTAACCACATTCCCAGCTTTAACCTTCATCTAATAATTTATTGTGCACGCTTTGTGACAAAAGTGAAAAGAAAAAATTCACTAAAAATCACAAATTCGTTGTTTGTATAAATTGCCAAAATATTACCATTGCAGGGTCATACATAGGACCTTGTCTGACACATTTAAATAACACTATTTAAAGTCTCCATGTTGGACTGCAGAACTGAAGGGATGCATATAAATCTAGCCTTGTTTTTTATCTTGGTGACCACTACCAACTTAACTGTTTGTTTCTAAATTTGTTAGAAACAGCTGTGATGTACAAGTCTTACACGTCATCACCTCATGCAATCCAGGTATAAGGTAGACTTAACAAGGTCTGCCATCTGTAAAATCCCCTGCAATATATGTGTGTCATGCACCCACAGATCAAAATATCAGTCACTCTTGACAGGACAATTTCACACACTTTTGGATTAATGTCTTGTTCAGTATAAACCTTTAGAATAAAAAATGAATTCAATTTCCATCCAAAATATTCTAGTGAATGGCAGTAAATGTCTTGTTTGAGTCCTAAGTATCAAACTTAGATGTGGTGTTTCAGTTCAAGGAACAGGACACCAACTTGTGGTTGTATGGTGTGACACATTAGTAATGTATTAACATTCACATGAGTTCTCATCTGTCATGGTTTGGGTACATTCTACAACCTTTGGAAATCAAAGGAGTCTTTGTTTATGTTCAGAAGTTGTCAGAATGTCTTTGGCACTGTTTGGAAGTCGTCAGATTTTTTCAGAAATTTAGGTATAAAAGTAGCATGCCTTTGATTTTGGAAAAGTCGGCGGGTATACTATCATTAATGGTTTCTGCCCATTTAAACAGTCCCTGTCTCTTCCGTTTTGTTGAGGATCAACTAATATATAGCTGACAGAATTTGTGAATCACAGCCACCATGGTGATGCCAGTTCCAGATCCAAGCCAATATCCTGGAAAATTAAGGGCTTGAATCTCTGACTCAGTTTCTAAACCAGTGCTGTGAGTCCAGTGGAATTAATTTTGTTATTATTCATAAAATGTATAAAATTTATTTATAATACATTTAATGTATTATATTTTTTGTAGGATGAAAACAGACTGCCAATTCTCCCAGAAGAGCTTCATTCACAGACCCCAGAAACAAAGATGGATGCTAAACTTTGTCCTTGTGATCCCAACTTAGTGGCTTTCATTCATCGTAATGACATTTGGATCCATAATATTATTACAGAGGAGGAGAGAAGACTGACGTACACAAATCAAGGCTCACCCAGTCATATGGAAGAGCCTGTATCGGCTGGTGTAGCATCTTTTATTGTTCAAGAAGAATTTGACAGATATACAGGATATTGGTGGCAACCAAACTTTAGCACTGACGAGAGTATGTACTACCTTATTAAAGCACATTAAAACTTCATGGAAAAGTATAAATCAGTTATTTAAGATACTTTAATTTTATCCATATTATTTAATGCTTAAGCATAAATTTCCAGTCATAGGGTAATACAAAATTTGACGTTGAGTTTATTGGAGTAAAGCATGTGGTTGATGACAAGTGTTATTGACTCAATTGGTCTTTTGCATTTAAATTGACTTATTGATCATTCACTGACTAATCACAGCTGACTGGTTGGTTTGCACACTAAATGACTGGCTAGCCAATTCATGAGTTGATACAAGAAAGTCAGAAAAGAGGTTCTGAAGCTGACATTTTGAGTGCTAACCCTCCGGCCAAGCAGACAGTCCATTCTGAGTGGCTCTAGTAAAAGGCTAGTGCTTAACAATATTAGCCTTTAATCTAGTTAAGGTCGCAAATTGACTTCATCACCTCAGTTGATGAAACCGAATTTTGGTATTTCCCTCCCCACCAACACAGCACCAAAGTTTCTTTTACAGTCAAGCGAGGTCAAGCATACCCCGCAAGATTCCATTTATAAATTTACTATTCGAAAGTTGAATCAGTTGGTAGTTGTAGATTTCAGTTTCATCTCAGCATTCCTACATACGTAATGAGCAGTGAATTCACATGTGAGGTAGTTATGAGAGTTCTGCCAGCTGAGTTTTCTTGAATTTGATGTAAATGTCTGAAAAAAGAAATTTTATCCAGTCAAAGATTTTTCAATCTGACCGAATACAGAGGAGTTATCTTGAAAAAATCACCGCTCATTACACATGCAGGAATGCAGATTTGAATTTGAGACTAGTTGCAGCAATGACTAACATATGCATTTTTCAAAAAATCGATTCATTAGTGCAATCTTGGCGCGTGCGCTTAGCTTGGCTTGACTGTAAAGCTAACTTCTTTCATTGGCCAACTGATTGACTAATTGATTAGTTCACTAGCTGACAGTTCTGACATAAGTGACTGGTCAGATGGCTTCAAAATCAATCAATTTGGTTTTAAACAGGTGATTGATGTAAGCCTGGATACTCTTAACGTTATTTTTTTCTTTTCCAAGCACTAGTAGTTTTATCTTTCATTGACTTATATAATTTTTAATGATTTGTTAATAGGTTTGACAAGGACCTATAGAATTTTGTTTGAAGAGGTAAGCCTAGCATAATGTAGACTTGTATACATGTAACTAAGCTCCCTTCTTTGGTAGAGAATCAGTGTCAGAACCAGTAAATATGAAAGTGCATAAGTTGAGAGATATGATTTTATAAACAATTCCTAATATGAAATCAGAAAAACTTTGCACTGTTTTGCTGACCATTCACAAGTTCTTTTGACATTTAAACACAATCTGCTGAACTCAAAATTGTAAATTGTAATTTGTAATTGTAAATTGTAATTTGTTTGTAAATTGTAATTGTAATCTGTTTTACCCACGGAGCACTAAGGAGTTCATAAGAACTCATTGAAACGTGTCTGTGCGTTCCAGATCGAATTGGAATTTGAACGTGTTGGTTTTTTAAGAGAGGGGAAAACCAGAGTACCTGGAGAAAAACCTCTCGGAGCAAGGGAGAGAACCAACAACAAACTCTCAGCAACAGCAAGAACATGTTATGAATAAAAATAAAAATAATAGAATGAATGATTTTTAGTCAGGGTGGCCTCTGCAGCATAAAATGCTGATATCATAGAGGGCCCTGGAAAAAAATTAGAACAACTAGCCTAAATAACAGCAACTAAAAATACAAAAAAAAAATCCAAAAAATACAAAAGTTAAAATACAACAATAATAAAAAGTCATTTAAAAAAGCTGAAATACAAGAATTAAAGTACAATTAAAAAGGTTAAAAGTATTTTGCTTGTGATCTAAAGAATTCCAAAATACAAGTGGGAAAAGTGACAACTGACACATTGTTATGCACAATGCCTGAAAAATCAGTTTTTTCCTTACATTTATCAGGTGGATGAAAGCGCAGTAGAGGTTCTTCATATTGTCTCTGGCCCTGACAGTATGGCACGTAACAGTCATGTGGATAGCTATAGGTACCCTAAAGCAGGTATTGATTGCTTCTCTGATCTTTCATAACAGTTTCTCAATAACCCACGTAGCACAAATAGAACATTATATGTATACCACCTACAGTAATATACCATAAAGTTCCCAAAGTAACCACCCTTGAAACTAGCAATAAACTTTCACACTGTGTTACAGTCAAACCATGTCAAGTGTACCCCCCAAGAATCCATTAATGACATTATTATTTAAAAGTTGAATCCGTTGCTGGTTGTAGATTTCAGATTGATCTCTGCATTCTTGAATGTGTAATGAGCTGTTTATTCACACGCCAGGCAGTTATGAAATTTCTACCAGCTCCATTTTCCTGAAATTGATGTAAATGTCTTCTAAGAAGCTTAATCTATTCAAAGATTTCCAATCTGACCAAATACAGAGAAGTTCTCGTAAAATATTCACTGCTCATTACGCATGCAGAAGTGCCGCTTTGAATTTGACACCAGTTACGGGAACGACTAACGGATTCATTTTTCAAATAATCAATTCACTGATAGAATCTTGGGGGGTACGCTTGACTTGGTTTGACTGTAACAAATGCCAAAAGTAGCGACCCTCCAAAAATAACGACCCTCCAAAAGTAGCGACTTCAAAAGTGATTTCCCTTCTTGCTAGAAATGACAAAAGTTACAGTTACAACAAACTTTACCAAACTTATCCGAGATTTATTTTTTCATGGTTATAATAATCTTTGACATTCCTTTACATAATGTAACTCAAAAGGTACAGTACATCTTTTTTTTTTAAAAAAAGTCTTCCTTTCATCTGTGAGTACCCACACCATAATCAAACATAATTCTTTTGAATGTTTATACTTATTTGAGTTTGAGTGGGAGGGGGAAGGGGGTGGGCACTTATTGGAGGCCGGGTGCTCAAGAACTTTTTCTGCGTTTAGGGTGGGCAGTTATTAGAGCTGGGCATTTATTTAAATAAATATGGTATGCCACTTATGCTTTTATGTAATGTTTATGGTGTAGTTATTACTTTGCAGGCTCTACCAATGCCAAATCCAAGCTCAAAATCATACAGTTTAGTATAGATACAAGTGGAAGGGTAAGTTCATTAGCTTAGTCTGCCATCAATCCAATACAGAACTCTTACTTAAACAAGTTTGAGTTCCCCAGTGTAAGTTACAGACCAAGTTTTTTACTATTGATTTACTGCGCAAGTGTGTAGCACGTAGGCCATATATTAAGGATCTGAAACTTAATGTACAGACAGAGAAACTAGGTACTATATAGATGTATATTACCTTATTGGTAGTATATTTCGCGCTTTTGGCAAGACAGTATTTTACAGGATTTTATTTTTGCTATTTCATTCACTTTTTGAAAGATCAAGATAAAATGAAACAGGCAAAACACATATTAATGTTATTTCACAACAGAACACGTTGTCCAGAGTAAGAGAAAAAGTTTCTTATCCACTTGTCCTTTAGACAAGCACTACATTAAATTCAGTTGTCCGAAAACCCAAGAGTTCTTGTCCAAAAAGTTTTGCTCAAAACTCGGGTATTTATTGATCTTCTCTTGATTGACTTAATTCTTTGCTAGCATCCAAGATTTTTTCTTTTCTCGGTTGCTTTGAAAGAAAAACTAATAGTGAAGACTGTAATTTTCGGACTTTTTGTGATTCCTCCATTATCGACTTGAATTTTTAGCTTGGGAATGAGTTATGTCTTAACAGAAGTAATTCTAAGGTAGTTTGAATTTGTATAGCACACTCAGGTAATACTTCTTTGTGTATTCTTTGTCACATCCTTTAGATTTGTGATCATGTGACAGAATATCAAATGAGAGTGCCCCTGTCAGAATCATTTCCATTTATGGAATATCTTGTGAGATGTGGTTGGCTGCCAGATGGGGAAAGGTATACTAAGCTTCACTGTTATCACTCATTTCCCTGTAAAGGGATAGGGTGCCAGTTTTTTAAAATTCTCAGTCTAGCCTTTCAGGGAGAGGCCATATTGTAAAATCAAAATCTTTGGAACAATTTGTGGTTTAATGATAATAATAATTATAATAATAATAATTATAATAATAATAATAATAATAATAATAATAATAATAATAATAGTGAAATTCTTCTAGAGCACAGTTCCATAATCTCAGCATGCTTTACAAACGTAAGAAATAAAATATAAGAAATATAATTAAAGAAACTAATTTGTAATTGATTAAATAAAAATGTTTTGAGCTTTCTTGTAAAGAGAAAAAAATGTTTGGACGTTTTTAATTTCTGCTGGTAAGGAATTTCTACCAATGACAGACCCCTGGAAGCAGAACAAAGATTTCAGTTGGGGGTGATGAACCTGTGCTAGATCACAAATGTAGGACAGGGCCATTCCGTTCATTGCTTTGTAGGTTTTGGTTAGAATCTTAAATTCAATCCTTTTGGTAACAAGAAGCCAATGTAGGTTACGCAATACCAGAGAAATGTGCTGAAATTTTTTAGTCTTTGTAGTAATTCCGTATGGCCTAACCCCATAACAGTCCATTTCTTTCATTGACTTGGAGTTTTGTTGCTGGCAGCATTAGTTTCAAAACCATTTAAACTGTTTTGTTTTGCTTGATTCTCAGTGTGTATGCTGAGATCCTTGATAGAAATCAACAGCATCTTGTGTTGGTTCAAATCCCTGTGGCATTCTTTGTTCCTGTCAATCTTCCAGCCAATCAGCTCCTTACAATCACAGAAGGCAGCCCGATGATTGAGGTCTTAGCTGAAGAATCAAATGATATTTGGATAAATGTGAGTATTTGAAGACCTCCATGGCCACATGCATAGTGAAGATTAGCCTACGTCACAAGTCAAGCACCATGTAAATCAAACCAATAGTTGGTTTGCAAGTATTATAGACCAAATTGAATTGATACAGCACATGAAGATTGTGCCATATTGGATGTGTGCCTTCTTATCTTGAAAATTTATGTTGGTTTTGTCAACTCTTTTCTTAAAGAGGTACATAGCTAGTGTAGGTAGATTGGGGGGTTTATTGAAGGTTATAAGTATGCTTTAACTTTTCGTTATAGGTGGCAGACATTATTCACTTTTTGCACAAAAGTGATTCAAGACTGCAATTTATCTGGTCAAGCGAGATATCAGGATTTCGTCATCTTTACCTGGCAACTGCAAACAGTAACCACACCCTCACACGAAGGAGAGCTGGAAGCTTTATTGCTGAGTGCTGCATTCATTATCCTCTTGTAACACAGCAGCAGTTAACAGATGGAGACTGGGAAGTGGATTGTAAAGAGGCAAGTAAATGTTATTTTTCATTCGTGATTTTTTTTATAATCATCGCAAAGAACTGCTGTTCTAGCATGTAATAGACAGGAGTAAAACATTTAGGTCACGTACTTTTGATACAACGTCTTTATGCATAAGTGCAGTGTGTCTGTAGGCCACTAAAATCTTTTAACTTGCAGTTTTTATGCAGTGAGGTTCTCTTATTATTATTGTATGACAATTATTATTTTCACTCATTTACACTCATTAATGTAAGATAAAATTTATATTGTAATTTCTTCTTAGATTTGGGTTGATGAAAATCGTCAACTTATTTACTTTATGGCCACGAAAGACACGCCACTGGAGCAACATCTGTAAGTAACCTGATTGTCGTCTATTCTAGCTGTTAATGCAGTCCAATAAGCCCCTGTAGCTACATCTCTAAATATTATAAGCCCCTCTCCAAACCTTGTTAATACAACTGGATTCTCATGGACGGACCATGGGTCTACAGTTTAAGCTGCCATGACAATAATTTGGTCTCACTGTACGTCATTAGTCTCTCTGCACATTGCAGATTCTCTTTCCTTGGATTCTTTAATGCCAATAATTTTTAACTCTTAACTCAAAACAGATATTATAACTTAAAGTAATACTTTTTTGTGTATTAGGTATGTCGTATCTTATGCAGAGCACAACTATGGAGAACCTCAGCGGCTTACACAAGGTGGCTACTCACATGCAGTCACTCTAAATGAGGTAAAGAAATAAATACAGATTACACAACTACCAATAAAGCTTCCAGGAGGTATATTCTGAGAAAGCAGAAAGTCAAGACAAAGAAGTCTCTCTGCCTTTGTAAACGATCATTATTCATTTCCGATATATTAAAAATTCTTACTTGGATCTGAGGCTTGGGGGAACAAAACAAAAGAAATCATCTTGAAGCAATGAATAATACATTTCTTTTGCTTTATTCCCCCAAGCCTCGGAGCTAAGTATGAATTTAAATATATTGAAAATGGTCTATTAGGGGGTGTTTTGGTGAAAGCACCTGCCTCCCAACAGTGTGGCTGGGGTTCAAATCCCAGCATCAATGCCAATATGTGGGTTGAGTATTTTTTGGTTTTCTCCCCTGCTCCAAGAGGTTTTTCTCTGGGTTCTCCACTTTTCCCCTCTCCAAGACTTCCAAATTCCATTTATTCTGGAATGCATAGCTACATTTTAAAGGAACTCATAAGTGTTTCAGTATCTTATGCAGAGCACAACTATGGAGAACCTCAGCGGCTTACACAAGGTGGCTACTCACATGCAGTCACTCTAAATGAGGTAAAGAAATAAATACAGATGACACAGCTACTAATAAAGCTTCCAGCAGGTATTCTGAGAAAGAAGAAAGTCAAGACAAAGAAGTCTCTCTGCCTTTGTAAACGATCATTATTCATTTCCGATATATCAAAATTCTTACTTGGATCTGAGGCTTGGGGGAATAAAACAAAAGAAATCATCTTGAAGCAATGAATAATACATTTCTTTTGCTTTATTCCCCCAGCCTCGGAGCTAAGTATGAATTTAAATATATTGAAAATGGTCTATCAGGGGTTTTTTTGTTGAAAGCACCTGCCTCCCAACAGTGTGGCTGGGGTTCAAATCCCAGCATCAACGCCAATATGTGGGTTGAGTATTTTTGGGTTTTCTCCCCTGCTCCAAGAGGTTTTTCTCTGGGTTCTCCACTTTTCCCCTCTCCAAGACTTCCAAATTCCATTTATTCTGGAATGCATAGCTACATTTTAAAGGAACTCATAAGTGTTTCATAGGTAAACAAATAATTGCAATTTTATATTAAAAAATAATTAAATAATAAAATTTACAATGAGATTTACGTTGTAGAACCAATTAAAATGTAATATGTGCTTTCTCTGCATGGCTGTCCCACACATTTGGATAACAAATCTTTTCAAACCTTTCTTGGTGCCATACAGTTGAAGTTTGTTTGCTACATATGAAACCAGGCCTTAGCAAACTTGCCCCTTTTGTTAACTTAGAATTTGTATTTTTTTTTACATTTCAGAATTTTACAAAATTTGTAACAGTGTTTTCTTCTATCCAACAAACCCAAGCAGTGATGGTTTATCAAATAAACCATGATGAGGTGGAGATGAATAATATTCCTATTATTACAGTTGAACCACTAGCTGAAGTGTTGAGATCAAATGGTAAGCAAATTCTGCAGTACAATGGATGCATCAGCTATTAACATATACTTATTTTGTATAAAATTAATATAATGTGCATTGTGTTGGAAAAACATTGAGAAACATTATATTTAATAAGTATCACATCAAAAGGTGTGCTTGAATGACCTAACTCATTACGAGTGGTCAGAGCCCTGATCAGTATTGGGGCTGTGTTGGATTCATATTGCCCATGTACTCTTACTTTCTCTCTTGATTGGGACATTTGTTGATTTGTTGTTTACAGTCATTCCAGATTATCAGCCACCTGAGCTATTTTCCTACAGCAGTAAGCATGGTAAGTTTTACTGTCTTAAATCAAGTGTTAAGTAATCAACTTATTTTATGGAAGGAAGCTGTTATACTGGGTGTAGACTATGTAACTAGTGAAGCTGAGGTACTGATCAGCATGAGAATCTCCCCCCAAAAAAACTAGTTATGATCTGCAGACTGTTCACAGTCCCCTATTTTTCTGTAAGACTGTCGAAATCAAGTGCTTACCAGTATGGGCGGCCATCTTGGTTTCATATGTACCAAAGGGACAGGGGTCGGGGTCTGTAGTGGTTGGGGGAGGGAGGCCTTCTCCCAAACCCTCCCCCATGCCTTACTTACATTTTAACATCATCCCCAGTCTAGACTCAGTACATTTAAAATCAAGCTGTCGGCGGTAACACAAAGCACTCAATCACGACAGTCTTACGGAAAATAGGGGACTGTAAACAGTCTAGCTCATAATTTTGTTCTGCCAAAGCCAACAATAAATTAATTACAGTTATGTTTTGCTTTTAAGGTCATCAAGTGTATGGTATGATGTTTAAACCCCCCAATATTGAGCCTGGAGTCAAGTATCCAACAATGCTGTTTTTATATGGTGGACCACATGTACAGGTAAGTCAAGAAGGGAAAATTGTAATGGTTAATAACCTACTCATACCTCATTCCTTGGGAAACTTTATTTTTCTTTGGTAAATGAACTAATGTAATATATTTACTGGCAGCTGGTGACCAATTCGCACAAGGGGTTTCGCTTTCTTCGCCTGCACACCATAGCTAAACTTGGTTATGTTGTGGTGGTAATGGACTGCAGGGGTTCTGGGCACAGAGGCCTTCAATTTGAGGGACATATTAAGAATCGGCTGGTAAGTGAGACAATGGGCAGCTATAATGCTAAGTTGCTGAATTGTTTTTTTGTGAGTAGTCAGGCTAGCTATAAGCAATTATTATGATTTGCAAAATTTTTTGAAATTACTAATGATATCAAACACAGACTACAATGTTTGGGTTGCACAGCAGTTTATTGACCGCAAGATCAGATTTAAGATCAATAGACTAAACCACTTTGGGTGGAGTGACCGGGTAAACATTGACTAGCTACAAACTGGCTGAAAGGCTGAGCTATCTGAAGGCAACTATTACAGACAGCTAAGGGGCGTATTGTGTCCCCTGTCTCCCCATGCTCCACAATCCGTGGCAGGGAAGTGCAACCCCTGGCTGCACTTCACCCTATAGTAAGGCTTAGCCCTTGGAGACAGGTCCGGAAAAATATCCACTCCAGGGTGTAGACCCCCGGTTCCACCTGGTCTGTACCCCTAGTTCCTAGTGACTGGGGGATGTGGACTCCTGTCCAGGGTGGCTACCCCCGGTACCACTCGATCTTGTCTCCCCCCAGGAGGGCTTCTCTCCTGGTCCCCTTACCCCTAGATTTAAGCACTTCCCTGCCACCAGAAATTTGCAAATTGGTTCGTCTTGAATGGAATGAAAAATGCTCTAATTATGCCTCATTCTTGAGATTGTGTTGTTCATTTGAATTTCAGGGTCAAGTTGAGATTGAAGAACAAGTTGAGGGGTTGGAATATGTTGCCAAGGCAACTGACTTTGTAGACTTGTCTAGAATTGCCATCCATGGTTGGTCATATGGTATACATTGTTTCTTAACCACTTTTCCTATTATTTTTGCCTGTGTACATGTATTAATTCAAACTACTAAATTATTCATTAAAATATTAAAAACGTTAACGCTTCATTCATTGTTTTTTATTCAGGAGGATACTTGTCCTTACTTGGTTTAGTGCAACGTCCTGACATATTCAAGGTAAGAATTATCAGCTCCTTTAATTGGACAATCTGGACAAATGTCAAAATTTTTAGCATTTTTTTCAGCAGTTTTACTTTTGAATCTCATCAAGTTTTTACTCGATCCTTGTAGATGAGTCCTTGGTGCAGTGAATAGTTTCCTTTCTTTTTTTTTTTTTTGATGATTCAGATATTGAGATTCACAGAGGCTATTTTTATCTTAGAAAGAAACAGAATCCTGCAGTAAGCTTACATTGTCTTTTTTGCAGGTAGCCATTGTTGGTGCACCAGTGACAACATGGGAATCTTACGATACTGGCTACACTGAACGATACATGAGCACACCGGCAGAAAACCCATTAGGGTACAAAATGAGCTCGGTGTTAAACTATGCAAGCAGATTCCCAGATGAGTAAGTTAAGCTCTGGATTGAACAAGTAGTTACTGTGATGATAGGAATAAGAGAAAACATTTATTATTCAACAGTCAACAGAACAAAATTCATGATTGAGAAATTATTAGCAACACAGGCTAGTCTCTCCACAGGGTTACCAGCCTCTGTGTTGTGAATTGGAGCTCAAAATGCACTTTTCAGGCTCCCCAAAAATGAAACTTCCTCGCTTTATACCTAGCCCCACACTCGCTGCGCTCAGTGGAAGACTATCCATATTTTTTTCTCTCCCGTCTACTGGACAATTTCTGATGACTTGCTAACTTTGAGTCTGGACGAATCCCGATGGTTTTACCACAATTTCAAAGAAAACTTCTTGGCACAGTTAGTTAGTACGCAGCCTTCTGCGTCATGGCAGATTCAGAGCTCGATTCCCAGGTGCGGCCTCAGATTCTTGTTTCGACGCCTTTACCCTTTCTAGAGTGACGCTTTGCATAGTAATATTTGCCTTCTGTGAGATCGTTATAAAGGCAAATGGCCAAATACCGTACTTTAGAGAATTTACCCGGAACGGAGGAGGGGGCGGGGGAACTTGTCTGACTATAGGAAGGCGCGCGCGGGGGGGTGGGGATGGGCAACGCATTATTATTTGAGAGTTGGTTTCATAGGGTGCTGAATATTCTGCACGTGGGCTTAAAACGATGAAGGATTTTGTAGCTTAATTTGTCTTTCTTGATCTTCAGGGAGAACAGGCTTCTTCTTGTCCATGGTTTAATTGATGAGAATGTTCACTTCTACCACTCAAGTTTACTCATTAGTGAGCTGATTAAGGCCTGCAAGCCATATCAGCTTCTGGTAAGTGCGGTCAAACATGCTCATTCCGCGACCAGTTAGGTTATCTATGATGTAGAGAAGCGGAATAAGCAAAATTTTAAGCAGTAGCTCCAGTGCATTGTAGGTTTAAAAGGGGCCACATAACTATTGGTGATCCAGTATTTTACATCGTGGACCACAAATAAGGAGGGAAATCAGTTGGCTGTTTACAAGTATGACCGAGGAGTTGTACTTGCGACCTGCCGAGAATAAAGCTAACTAGCTGGTGACCGTAGCGGGATTTGAACGTGGGCGATCAAGATAAAATGCAGCCCTTAAAGCCAATCGGTCATACTGGCTCCGTTTGAAACGTAGGACACGTATTAATACTGGATTTCTAGCTTCTCACTAAGACCACTAGATACAATAGTCACTATAATTATCTGCTATATCTCTTCCCAGATCTACCCCAGTGAAAGACATGGAATACGCCAGTCGGTTTCTTCAGAGCACTACGAGACGATGCTGCTCTCCTTTCTACAAAAGAATCTTTAAAAGAGAGTTAAAACTACCATAAATTATCTTAAAATAACTGTATAGACTGTATGAAATACCTTAAAAGATATAATGTAAAGTTTTGAAGTTCTGGGTTTTCGGGGTTTAGGTAGACTTATGCTTAGTGTAAATTTTTATTTTAGCTTAGATTTGCAAGCACGTGTGCAATCCCGATTTTTCGAACCAAAACTTTCCCTTAATTTCCCCGGCCAAACAACGTAATTTTATCCTTGAGTTTTAATTTCAAACTTCAGGTTTTTCAAACCTTGAACTGTCTTGCCATGCATGTGGTAAGCCTTTTGAAAACCATAATACAGCTACAGCAAAATAAGTTATAAACCAAATTGCATAATTATGGCAAAATAACAATCATAACGTTCCAAAGGATAAGTGCTGTTGAGAAACATCCATTTGTAAGAGATCGCACACAATTTCTGTGGATGGATGTCAAAAGTTAGAAACGTAAGCAAGTACTTCCAACACCACTTTGCACATAGCATAATAAATCAAACCAAGGGAAAGGAAAACCCAGCAGTTTGCATTCGAATGATTCGCCATTAAATGGCAGTTTTGATTCTGTTTGTAAAATGGCATTTATTTTTTGACCAGAATTAATTAATAGTTTCAAAACGCCAGTAACTGATGCATATTCAATGGTAGTGAATGAATACTCGCTGAGAAAAGGCCTCCCAATTTATGACAGATTTTACTCAATTTGCTGAATATTTTGTAGCGGACAAATGATGGCGTAATTCTTGCGAAAAGCCAAATTGAAAGACAAAAAAGAAATTATTTATTTACGCAACCCTCGATTTGGCTTTCTTAGTGATGTTAAAATTAAAAAAAAAAATAGAAAGCGTTCTGCACGGCCGCTCCGCTGTATCTTGTGATTTAGCAGTTCTTTCATGATCTCCTTTTATTAAGTTGTTACCCATTTAAAGAACAAACGTCTTCAGTTGCTGCACTTAGGACAATATAGCTGCTATATATTAAATGAGACTGCTATATTTTTGCTGCCTTTATCGTGTTTCACATTCTTGAAAATAATAAATTAAAAACATTTTCGTTGTCCTGACATCAAAACAGAGCTCCAATTACAATAATACCAAAAAAACGAATACACTCTCCTTTTCAAGATTTACCCCCCCAAAAAGAATGGTGTCTCGGTATTGAGTCTTAAATGCGTTCACTAGGACATTAAAATCCTCGGCAGAATAGGTTTGTTATCCATACCGATATCTAATAACGCAGTGAGTGACGTAACACCACCCTAATGGCTAATGAGAAGCAAAGATTTCGCACTTACCCCTCATTTTTTTTAAAAAAAAAAAACAGGCTTGAGGACGTTGAGGCAACTCGGAAATTTGAAAACATTTTCTATTTATTATTCCCGTAGTAATTTAATAGTAGTTCTTTTGAATTCGAGCGAGCTTGAAATGATGTCTTGAAATGAAATTATTTTAATCTGTTAGCCATTAAAAGCGTCAAGTGTAACCATAGTTATTAGAGGAGACTGGTTATGAAAAGCGGCAAACATCAATGATAAAAACAACAGTTCTGCAGTTTATGTTGGAAGCACCCTGAAAGTGCACAATCCTTCGTTTTCTGTTGGCAAATTGTTACGGAATAAATTAATGCAACGTTTTTATTGGTCAATACAATCAAAATGATAGGAATTCTTTTGAACG